TTTTTTTTTTTTTTTTTTTTTCATGCATATATGTATGTTCATGCCAGTGCCATAGATTATGGTCAGAGTACGTACATAGGTCCGTCAACATTCATTGACAGTATGTTCATTCAGAAATTTCCAACGTCTATACAGTCGAGGCAAAATGCTCGCTACTTGAGATATGCTAGGATGCGCGGCGGCCCGATAACAATAAGACTAACAATAGGCAGATCGCTAACGTTCCAGAAAAAGAATACCAAAGCTCCATGCTTCCCAATGCAAATGATAGACAAAACGATAGGTATCCGTGTGTACATCTGTACAGCATCGGAGTTTGGCGGCCCTTGGTATAACGATAACAAGGGGCGGGAACTACACCGGCTGGATGTAGTTGGCTGGCACGCTTTTGATCACTCCTCCTCTTTCCACGTCGGCCCATCCATCACCGCCATCTCGGTTGACCAGCACAAAGCGGTCGCCTTCAGCCATATCCCATTCCATGTCGCTTCGGGCCTCGTAGTCGTACAAGGCTTCAACATACTGCAGCTTCTTGGCTCCCCGACGGGGTGCCACAGCGGGCCCAATTTTCTTGCCTGCTCCACTACCTGCCAATGAGGCAGAGGAGGTGGAATAGGTGGATCCGGGGCGCTCAGCGAACCCGGTGCTGCTGGCTGAAGGGGTTGCGGGCGCCGCGGGTGCCGCCTCGACGTACGAGGCTGGGACGAGGCCCTCGGACGAGCCGATGCGGACCCGCATCCAGCCAGATCCATCTAGTCAAGCAGTCAGTAACATTTCAAGCATTTTTATAAAATATATGTGAAAAGACTTACCATCTGGCTCAAGAATCGCTACATCATCACCTTCTTGCACAGTTACTTCATCGGCTCCTCCAGCCTGGAAGGCATAGAGCATCTTCCCTCGTGGTTCGTTTGGCTTCGTCGATTCGGTGACAGGCGGAGCCTTGATGTATTGCGCTGGAGGGGGAGCCAAAACCCTATTCCGCTTTGGCTTAGTCTCCTGAACAGGGGCGGGGGTTGCCGCCAGTTCGGCCGCGGGAGCTGGGGCTGGAGGCGCGGATTCAGTCGGGCTGGCCAAAGGCGGCTGGCTAGTAGCGTTGGATAGTGACCGGTTGGCACTGACGGCATAACCAGAGCTCAACGAGTTCATCGTATCTTTCCGAGTAAGGGACGGCGCGGCAGATGAGCCTGTAGTTGTCGGCTCCAGATCGAGGTGTGGTGTAGCATTGGCCTGCTCTTGTCGTTCCGCTTTGAGTTTCTTCTTTTCTTCCTTCGTCTGTTCGCCAGGGCACTCTGCGGGTACTTTCATTTGACATTTACTGTGGCATGTATACCCGCAATCCCGGCAGTCAAATCCCTTCGCCGAAAGTCCCCATATCCGCTCCCCACAAAGGTCACAGTTGGTTGGGATCTTGAAGGTTTGCGATTTGAAGTTGTGATTTTTGGCGCCTAATGATAGATCACCGACTACCGACATGATGGTTGATGTTTCTACCTCCGCCGTGAGCATTTTACGATCCACCTCATGCGAAGCGCCCTGTAAAAAGAAGATAGAACGAACTACATCGACCTCGTTTCGGTTGTCTTTGCCTTGCTGGATGCTCTCACGGACTCTCTTGGCGGCTTCAACTTCTCGGCGTTTCTGGTCGGACTCGACCCTCAGTTCCCGGACCTGCGTCTTACTCTTGCTGAGCAGGTTGCGCAAGAACACCTTAGCCGCCTCATCAGTGACAAGCGCCTCATCGTCGTGCCAGATAGGGCTCGGCTCAAAGGCCAAATTTGGCGGTTCCTGGGACTGGCTAACATTGTGGCGCAAGAACATGAGCGAATCAAGGTGTGGGACATTCCGTGGGATCTCGTTGAGTAGATGTGTCATATGTTCCATACTCTTAGACAGAGACGATTTCTCTAGTTGCCCTGCGAGGGTCCATATCGAATTTAATTTTGACACGCGCATTTCGTTGAGATTTTGCAAGCTCTAGAGACGATGTCAGCTCTACGTTTTCACCCGTCCAAATTGTGAACCCACATCTAGTAACTCCGGGACATATTCATGGTAGAATCGTTCCTTCAACTTGTTGGTCACGTTTATACTGATCAGGTACGTATTCTGCTGGGGTTAGCCACGGTCTTATGGGCAGGAAAACATCACCCACCTTGACGTTGTTCATGTCCAAGATCTGCTGCTGGTATGCAGCCTGCGCCTTGGGCTTGCTGTGATCGAATGAACTCTCCATCTTTTTACGCCTACCCTCCACTTCTTGGCACGCTCCGTCGTATTTGCCTTTTGCCTTCTTGAGTTCACCATAAGAGGCTTCTCTTTCCTTCTCCAATTTCGCATGGAACTCAACATGGCACTTTCTGATTTCCTCATATTGCGTCGCAACATGTTTTAGCGGCTCCGCCACTTGGCCAATGAGGTCTGTAGCGAACTTATCGCGTTCTCCCGCATGCGATTCAATAGCGGTCAAGTGGGTAGTCCACGTAGTAAGTGAAGCGCTTTCGAGGGATCCTGGGGTCATGGTGGGGGTGTCTCCGACGCTCAGTGTGCTTATCTTCTTGGCTTTGCGATCATGGTACTTTCTGCAAAGGGCCGTTAGTTTGGCGGCGTACTCCTTTTCAATGGCACTCCGCTCGCGGTAGAACTGTTGTATCTCGTCGAGCCATTGTACACCGTTGAGAACCTAGTTGGAAAAATATCAGTAACGTTCTGCTGGTGCCTTTGGTACAATAACTGCCCAGTGGGTCACAAGGAGAGTGGGCAAAGTTGACAATAGAGACATACCCAATTGTTGACCGGTTTGAACGCATCCTATAATAAAGGCGTATTAGATAGACTTTCCACATCCTATTCACGCCGTCAATACCTTTAGTTCTGCTCCAAAATGAGGAGCGACATCTGATGTTGCCATTGTAGATGTGACAGGCGCTCGGGGATGGCGCGCATGAGACTTTTGGGTGGAAGAGACAAAAGCTTTCAAAGGGAACACCGTCAAAACCAGCATCTAGAATTGGAACAGGCCCAGCCACCTACCTCCACGTGCTGTGTTTCTTGTACGACAGGAATGATTCGTCGTTACTTCGCTCTTGAAGTCAAAGGAGTGACCAACCGTTGAGGCGCATATGTACCTGACATGGAAATCTACCTAATTGAAGGAGGGCCATGCGGGAAGCGGGGAAGAATGGCTGGAGTAACGCCGGGTGACAATACCAAAACCACTCTCTCAGGCCACCGTGTTCAGGGAGCGCCGTAATATTACGTCATGCCCTACTGGCCTTACTGCTAACTAGTATAAGTTCAAGCACGCGACCCACCGCCTTCTCTATAAAGTTAGAAATTGCCCACTCGGCTGGTTGCTCAACCTGGATTAGCGTTGTTTGCAGTATGCTTAGGGCGGTCAGTAGTGTTAGGTTTTTTGGCTAATCGTCACTTCGGCCTATACTCTACGTATTCACAGCGTCGATTTGCTCCTTTGGCTCGTTGTGTCAGAGGAAGAATATCTCGATTCCTGGTCTCTCCTAACTCCGTGCTTCCGGAGAGTACCCTACAATTACCCTATCCCCTACATATTCGGATCAATCTCTTCACTTTTCCAACGAGCGTTACCTACCCCGCGATCACATCCACCATTTAGGACGCCTCTACCTCGCCGTAAACACACCGTTGTCCCATCGATTAATTATTCCTAACCTCGAAATAAACTCTCTCACAATGTCTTCGGAGCAACCTGCTGAAGCCGCTGCCAATCCCCTGGCCGACCGCATCACAAACCCCGATGGATCGAAGCCCGAAGGTATGCGTTATTCAGTGTTGTGCATAGCGAGCGCCGCACAGTTGTATCCGACAGAATGCTAAACTCACCTTTCCGCAGAGCCTACGGGTACTCCTGAACAGGCCGGCAATGAACAGGCCGACGGCGCTGCCTCACAGCTGGGCGGCTCCGACCTGCATGAGCCTGACTACACCGTCGAAGTCAAACTTAGTGATCTCCAAGCGGACCCCAATAACCCACTATTCTCAGTGAAGAACTTTGAGGACCTCGGACTGTATGTCATATGTTGCGTACTGAGTATTATGGTTTATCCTAGCTTACAACTCGTTGATAAACAGGGACGACCGCATCTTGCAAGGATTGTCCGCCATGAACTTCCGCAAACCTTCAAAGATTCAAGAAAGAGCGCTTCCTTTATTGTTGAACAACCCTCCTAAGAACTTGGTCGGCCAGTCCCAGTCCGGTACAGGAAAAACGGCTGCTTTCGTCCTCAACGTCCTTAGTCGTTTGGACCTCTCATCGGAGCAGATGCAGAAGACACCCCAGGCCCTAATCCTGGCCCCCACTCGAGAGCTGGCTCGTCAGATCGTTGGTGTTGTCCAGGTTATGGGCCAGTTCCTGGATGGTCTCTCTATCGGAACAGCTGTTCCCGCAGACACCAACAGCCGCCCGGCGAGGATAGAATCCTCCGTTGTTGTTGGTACTCCGGGAACGGTCATGGATATGATCAAAAAGCGTATTATGGTTGCCAACAAGCTGAGGGTGCTTGTGTTGGATGAGGCCGATAACATGCTTGACCAGCAGGGTCTAGGTGACCAGTGTATTCGTGTGAAGGCGTGAGTCTCAGAGTCTTCCCTTTGTGGTTAGCCGTAATTTCAGCTAACGCCATGCAGCTTGATACCAAAGGATATTCAGGTCGTTCTTTTCTCCGCTACCTTCCCAACTCATGTTCACCAATACGCGTCCAAGTTCGCCCCTCAGGCAAACGAAATCACCCTGCAGCACGAAGAACTGACCGTGGAGGGGATTAAGCAACTTTATCTTGATTGCGCGGATGAAGAGGACAAGTACAAGACTCTCGTCCAGCTTTACGGACTTCTTACCGTCGGATCCTCTATCATTTTCGTCAAGGTTGGTAGACTGTCCTTAATTACTCGGTTGTATCTAACTGTTACAGACCCGGACATCGGCCGCTGAGATCGAGAAGCGCATGGTTGCTGAAGGCCATACCGTGGCATCTCTCACTGGAGGTATCGAGGGTTCACAGCGTGATGCTGTCATTGATCAATTCCGTGCTGGTCAGGCCAAGGTTTTGATCACCACCAATGTCCTGGCGAGAGGTATTGATGTCTCGACGGTTTCCATGGTTATCAATTACGTGAGTAGCTGAATTTCTGCCCCGCTAGCGAGGACAAACCAGAACTAACCTCCTGGCCAGGACATCCCGGAACTCCATCAACCCGGTCGTGAGCGTCAGGCGGACTTCCAAACCTACCTTCACCGGATTGGTCGTACCGGACGTTTCGGTCGTGTTGGTGTGTCCATCTCGTTTGTTGCCAACCGCGATGAATGGAACATGCTCAACCAGATCCAGCAGTACTTCAACTGCAACATCCAGCGGATCGACACGAAGGACTGGGACGAAGTGGAGGATATCATCAAAAAGACCATCAAAAACACCCGGGCACAAGGGAATTTCGGACGGTAACGGGCGACCGCTCCTACTTTAATGATGACCCGTGAAGAATGATGAGGTTTAGCTTATGTAAAGAGAAAAAGTTCGAAAAGAATCTTAGATACCAGCAATATGTCCCCATCGTGAGAATCTCAATCAACTCATAGATTTCTAATCTGGATACTGTCCTTATGGAATACCTTGTAGTCTACTATAGGGGCTAAACATGGAAGGTACTAAGGTCTATCACATAACTTAGCATAGCTGGTGAGTCTAGATATATGTTTTCTGCTGAGACGTGTCCGTAACTCAGTATCTCTAATATATCTATCTATCTATCTATCTATCTATATATATATTGTTGAGTAATACTGGGCAATATGGCTTCAGTCTATTTGAGTAAGAGCATCTCAGGTGACTTAGGCAGGTTTTCATCAGGTAGCAGTTCGATGTCCTGACGTGGTTCCAGTGTAACACGTACTGACAGGTCAACTCCGAAGGAGGGGGTTTGATTTGCCGCAACCCCGCGTTTCAACATCATCTTGCATACCAAAATTTAGGGAAGGACAGCCGGAGAATGCCTCAAGAAGGTAAAATAATATTCACCAAAAATATAGAGGATATAGAGGGAATATAGGAGGCTGGCATACACAATTAAATTCGGGAATATCCTTCTAGAGCTTATCAATTCTAGCGGAGATTGTTTATTTATCAGGAAGATAAGTGACGATCGATAGAGCTGATAAACTGATAAAGCCAAGGCGATAAGGTGCGGAGAAGGAAAGACCGACAGTGAGAGCAAAAGAGAGTTCACAGGTCACATGCAGGAGACATGCAGCTGTAAAAAGAAGGAGACAATGATGTCTTTCTTTTCCCCCGGTTCTCCTAATATTTATCCCTTGATCCACCCCTCCCCCCAGTCTTCTTTCTCTTACCTCTCCCATCTCCAGTCCCTATCCGAACCACCCCAACAGCCAAGATGACCGAGACAGATACCCCCGAAAAGCCCACAGCTGACGCGACAACCATCCAGTCACCTCTATCGCCAGAATCCCGCCATAGTACACATATTGTCGTATGTTTGGATTTATAACCCCCCCTTCCCTCCCTCCCCCCCTCGGGCCCCAACCCAGGTCCTAAATATCCCCTCTCACTGATCCCCGGACTAGTTGACCACATACCCCGGACAAAGTGGCATCGACCCCGTTCCCCTACAATGGGGTGCCCCGGACGCCAAATCCCGCGGTCCAGTGGTCGTCTCACGCAGCGGGCCATTGCTAAAACGACGCAATGCCATGGGTGCCCACGGCGGTAGTTACAGCATCTACAACGCTCTAGCCATCGCCGCCGGCGATCTCCCGCCTGACTTCCGCCCGGATTTCAAGAACAGTGAACCCACCTTCAATTTCCCCTGGCAACCCGCCTGGGCCGATAAGGATAAGATCGTGTCGATGGATCCCTATGGTCACGATATCGTCGACAAGTTCCGCGATGAGCTAAACGCCGGCTGGGACATCCGGCCTACAATGGCCATCACCCGCGCTAACATGAAGCTGGCTGAGATCGCAGATGCAGTACGGGACGGACAACTGGACGTGGACGGATCGATTATCGTAGACTCCTCGGGTGAAGTGCGGGTGACGAAGGTCGCCGTCGAACCCGTGTGGTATCTCCCCGGTGTTGCGGACCGATTTGGCGTCACGGAGGCCGTGCTCCGTCGCACGCTCTTCGAACATACGGGTGGAAGTTACCCAGAACTAATTACTCGTCCGGATCTCAAGGTCTTTCTGCCCCCCATCGGCGGTCTGACGGTCTACATTTTCGGACCCCCCGAGCGGGTATCCGACGAGAACGTGAAACTGGCCCTGCGGATCCACGACGAGTGTAACGGGAGTGACGTCTTCCAGTCTGATATCTGCACATGTCGACCCTACCTCGCATTCGGTATTCGGGAAGCGATCCGCGAAGCCCAGAACGGGGGCAGTGGTGTTGTCATCTACTTCCGGAAGGAAGGACGCGCCCTGGGCGAAGTCATCAAGTATCTGGTGTACAACGCTCGCAAGCGTGGCGGCGACACGGCAGACAAGTACTTTACGCGCACTGAGAACATCGCTGGTGTAAGAGATGTAAGCTATTTCTTATGACCCACAACCCTGTGCCATACTAACAACCCCAGATGCGCTTCCAAGCCCTCATGCCCGACATCCTGCACTGGCTCGGCATCAAGAAGATCGATCGCATGCTCTCCATGTCCAACATGAAACACGACGCCATCGTCCAATCTGGAATCAAGATCCTCGAGCGCGTCCCTATCCCAGAAGACATGATCCCCAATGACTCGCGCGTGGAGATCGACGCCAAGATCAACGCCGGATACTTCACAACGGGAAGGCAGTATACCATGGAAGAGCTGGCCAAAGTCAAGGGCCGCGGATGGGAAAAGTGGGAGGATGTCACGGTAAGTCAAGGCTCAAACTGCTGCGGTATGCATGTTCTCTATTAATCACGTACTAATATCCGGGTAGCATTGAATGGCGAACTTGAACGAATCTAACAGTGCGAGCCGCATGATTGCATACGACGACTTGAACCTTGAAAACCTTGAATGAGTTGAGCTCAGGAACAGGAATTTTTGTCCGTATTACGCCATTTTAGTCATAATTAATTTTGATATGATGATCGGAGAGTTCTCTTTTCCACCTTTTTGGTAGCATGTAATGTTTGTCGGTGATTATAGAGGTAGATACCTTGTGAGGGGAGGTGTGTAGAGAGTTACCGGATTCCCATATATATATATATAGATTTTTTTTTTCGACCGGCATCGCTCCCGACTATTTTTGTTTACTCTAACCTCTAATCTCTAATTCCCCTTTTCACGTCATAGCTCATCAGAAATTGATGGCCATAGGTGCTAGTAGAGAAGGACACATCGATGATCTCGGCTCCAACCTCCGTGATAAAGTACGATAAGCTGTCAAAAATCTCGGTATTTCTTCCCGAGCGACGGGTTCTTTTCCATATTCCCCGCTTTGCGTAGCTATATAAGAACATACCGAGACAATAATAAATTAGTATCGATCACATAAAATATACCATATTCACTTCGCTCACCTTATACATTATTAAGATAGTATTTTACAGAGATATTCTACGCGAAGAAAGAAGCCGAAAAAACAAACAAGAAAAATGGGCTCCTCCGTCACCCTGCAACCCCACGTCCCCAAAGCCGGGGTATGGTGTCCCGCCATAACATTCTTCGACCACAGCTCCGACACGCTCGACCTCGCCGCGCAGAAGAAATACTACTCCTACCTATCTACGACCGGACTAGCGGGACTCGTCATCTTGGGCACAAACTCCGAGGCGTTCCTCCTTACCCGCGAAGAGCGCGCCCAGCTCATCGCGACTGCCCGCGAAGCTGTCGGCCCCGATTACCCACTCATGGCGGGCGTGGGCGCGCACTCTACGAAGCAGGTGCTCGAGCTTACGCATGATGCTGCGGCTGCAGGGGCAAATTACCTGCTTGTGCTGCCACCGGCGTATTTTGGGAAGGCGACGACGGCGGGCGTGGTGAAGAGATTCTTTGCCGATGTGGCGGCGCAGGCGCCGTTGCCGGTTGTTGTGTACAATTTCCCGGGGGTGTGTAATGGGGTGGACCTTGATTCGGAGACGATTACGGATATTGTGCGCGAGTCCGCTGGAAGGAGGGCGGATGGGGTGAGTAATGTAGTTGGTGTGAAGTTAACTTGTGCTTCGGTGGGCAAGATCACAAGGCTGGCGGCGACGTTCAAGCCCGACGAGTTTGCTATTTACGGAGGTCAGTCGGACTTTTTGATCGGGGGGCTTAGTGTTGGGTCGGCCGGGTGCATTGCGGCGTTTGCAAACGTGTTTCCCAGGACTGCATCGAGGGTTTACGAGTTGTATAAGGCCGGGAAGGTGGCGGAGGCGATGGAGTTGCAGCAGAAGGCAGCACTAGCGGAGAGTCCCTGCAAGAGTGGAATTGCTTCGACCAAGTATGCTGCGGCGATTTACTCGGCGCCGTTGGCCGGGATTAAGGGAGCCGAGGAGAAGTTGAAGCCGAGGACACCGTATGAGGAGCCCACTGAGGGTGCTAAGAAGACGGTGAGGGAGTTGATGGGTACGGTGGCCCAGCTTGAAATTAGTATCTAGTAATAGGGCGGATATGCGTGATTTCAGGTGAACTCGAATAGGAAGCTCGGGTTATGTCACGAATCTCGGAATATGTATACTGTTCTTGATACGGAGTAGTTGTATTGCGATAGCCCCATTGAACCTCATTCATCCAATGATTTGAAATCGAATAGTTATGCCTTCGCGCATTCGGAATATTTTCCATACTTTTAGAGTTGCCTCGTCTCCACGTGGGGGAGATTTCGCCGAACCGTCCCCGAACGTAACCCGGGGCTGCAGAGTTTGTCGTAGTAAACATGTCGGGAAAGAGGGGCCCGAAGCCATGTATGTTTTGATTGCACGCAGTTAGAGGTATTAGCTGATTAGGGCCCATGGAGGAGAGTCACAACTTGAGAAAGGGTTCTATGTCAGCATGGTGGCCATGAAAATGGGTAGAGAATAGAAGCGAGGACAGCGTTCACCCGCATTTGTTAGATTGTAGAATAGCTAGATTGCACTTGCTCCGCACTCCACTGAAAGAGAGCTTCTGTGGACACCCATTCTTGTGGGGTTGTTGAAGGGCCAATCCCCCGATAAATCACCGGCGGTAAAGGCCGTCGCTTCGACTCCCCCGCTTTGAGCACGATACTTCTCCAGCCGGGGTAGCAGCGCGGGAGAGCGATCACTGAAAGCACAGGGTAGATGGATGATCTTAGGAAAAAATTCATCTCTGACAGTGAGGTGAGCTGCGAGAATAGGATATGAAAGGGTCAACAATCTGCAGTGGTCGATTGAGGATCGTGGACGTCCACTATCAAAACATGATGTACCTTTATGCATCACCCCCACACTAGTTCACAATTGGTGCTTTTAGGGTAGTGGGATTTAGTTTCCTCGTATGCATGGCATGGTTATGCCGGTCTGTTAGCCAACAGTTGCGGTGGGAAGACATCCACCCATGGTTAAACTGAGTTCTCGGCTTCGTCCACTTGGGGGCTTTGGAACACTGAGGCAATGGAGCCTAGCGCTTTCCATTGAGAGAATTCCATCCATGTATTGCTGTTAACGGGTGCTTTTGACGATGGATCACACATAAATACCTCGGTCATGCCCCCGGGAAAAGCAGATATCTCAGCTTTGCAATTCACGTCGCTATCTATTGCTTCTGCAAGCGACCAGACGAGATGCATCTCAAGCCATTTATCTTCCCTGCCCTCGCGGCAGTTGCTCATGCTGCCAGCTATTCCGGAGACCTTCGGCCTCAAACCCACTTCTCTCCACCTTCCAATTTCATGAACGACCCAAACGGCTTGTTTTATGACAGCAAGAGGGGCGTATACCACCTATACTATCAGTGTACGCCAGTACCTTCGTTCATCCGCGCACATATACTAATACGTGAATAGATAATCCAACGGGGATGGTTGCGGGGAATCAGCATTGGGGTCATGCTACCAGCCCTGATCTATACCACTGGACGAACCAACCTATCGCCCTCTCTGGAGATAAGCCCGAAGAATATATATTCTCCGGCTCTGCTGTGGTCGATAGCAACAACACATCCGGGTTCTTTCCCGATCAAGACGATGGTGTCGTAGCCATCTATACAGTAGACACTCCAACCTTGGAAACGCAGCAGATTGCTTATTCTCACGATGGTGGGTACACATTCACCAAGTACGAGAACAACCCGGTAATCGACATTGGCTCGAAGCAGTTCCGTGACCCGCAAGTGGTATGGCATCCTGAAACCCAGCAATGGGTGATGACTATTGCCTATGCACAGGACTTGGTTATTGGATTCTACACATCACCCAACCTCCGAGACTGGACTCATGCGTCGAATTACACCCAGGAAGGCCTGCCGGGTGACCAATTCGAATGCCCTAATTTGGTCAAGTTCTCCGTTGATAGTGCTGTGTCTGACGAGTCTAGCAAGTATGTACTTTTCATCTCCGTGAACCCTGGCGCACCACTAGGGGGCTCTGGAACGTTTTACGTGGTTGGCGATTTTAATGGCACCCATTTCACCTCCGAAGTGGCCCACGAGACCCTCTTTGATTTCTCCAAAGATAACTATGCTGCTCAGTGGTATTCTGGAATTCCTGAGGACCAACCTCCGGTCTCCATTGGTTGGGCTAGCAATTGGGACTACACTGGGGAGGTCCCCACTGGCACGCTCGAAGGATGGAGAAGTGCGATGACTTTACCCAGAGTACACAACCTGACTAAGGTAGATGGAGCCTGGGCTGTGACTCACAGTCCGTTTAACGGTCTCTCGACTGTTAAGGGAAGGCAGCTTGTGAGCAAGAACATTCAGTCAGGAGATGTGAAAGCGAATTTTTCTGGGGTCCCATCGAAGGCAGTATACTTCGACGTGGCGGTAAAGGGAATCGATGCTGCCAACCCTGCCGGGCATGTGAACTTTAACTTCACTTCTTCTTCATCGGGCGACTATCTCGATGGGGGTGTATCCTTGGGTGATGGTTTCTTTTGGATCAATCGAGCCGGAACCCATCTCTTCACGGTCAAGGATAATGAGAAATTCACTGCCTCGTCTAACACTACCATCCCGACTTTCGGCAATGGCACGTTCAGTTTCTCGGGCATTATTGACCGGTCCGTGTTTGAAGTCTTTCTGGGCCAAGACGGGATCCAAAGCGGAACCATGACGTTCTTCCCAACCACTCCACTCGACACTTTGACTGTTTCCGCAGAGGGTCTCAGCAATCGGACTAGCGTTAGCGTTAAGGCTTGGGGTCTTCAGAGCGGCTGGAACTCGACCGCGGCAGGCAAACGATTCCGGGCTTAAGTCGATGGACTATATATCTCTGCTCATGATGCATGATTGGAAGCTGTAATACGGATGTGTGATCGGATTATTTTCATTGTTCAAAATTATTTTTTGCCAGGGACACTCACCAAGTTGTATGTGCTCGTAGATCGGGTGGGTATCCAATGTCTGTGTACAAATGTACGATAGAGGGGCAGTTCTTCATTGTACTTTCTTTTCTTTGGGTCCAGAACGTCCAAAATAAACAGGAATGATGTCAAGTCACGTTACACGACGGTGTTTAATTGGTCGTTCCTAGTCAACGTAATATTACAAAACTGAAACATAAGAGTCCACCAATACCAGGCAAAGAGGGGGGCGAAAGAAGGTAATACGGTGACCACCTCGTCGGTTTGCCGGAAGCACAGAGTCCCGCGATCATACGACGCAGCGCCGAATCTTGGCCGAGGGTTCAGTCGCCATCGCTGTCAGGCACCACTTTGTCCTTCTTCCAATGCTCAAGCACTGGACTGCGAACAGGTGACTGTGCTGCTTGTGTGGTTTCCAATAATAAATCTATTATTGTCCTATCCTTGTCTTTGCAGAATCCATTCCAACAACAGACATAAACCAAAAGAGATAAAGACGAAAAAGAAAAGGAAGATCTTATCTGCCTGGGTCACACCTGTGGCTCGTACCGTCCCATGTGAGAGGGTCTAAGCCGCGTATTCAACGCCTCGATAAGATCTGTTTTTAAAAACACTTGTTCTCGGCACCTTTAGAATTTTTGGTTGTCTGGTTAGTTAGGCCCCAACGTGACTGACGAAAAGGGTGTGTTTGCCATGAAGAACTTCTCAAGTTGATCTCACTCTTTAACTTGTATTCTCTCCAATTACCCACAATATCAACGTCTCTCCTTTTTCTCTCTTCCAGGGGTTCTAATTTTTTTTTTTTTCGCCCCCTCCTTTCCAATTATTCTCCACACTTCACAATTTAGCGTCTACGGTTCTGGCTGATCATCAATCACCTTCCAACTCTAACCCGCCACTAGCCGCTTGCCTAAGGTATGCACACCCTAGGTTAGACTACCTGGAAGTTATTATCCAGAGAAGCCGTCCACTCTCCTGCACCTTCGTTGTCAAATATCCGATGGTTAATAGGAGCAAAGGCTTGTTTCACGATACACCCCCAACGAAGCGGTAGACAAACCCACCGCAAACCGATTCGCGGCCATTGTGCCTTGATGGTCTAGACCCTGGCGGTTGGACAAGATGGCGATGCCTGCCATGGGTAGCGATTTTCAGCTGTTCTCCCCCGCTCAGTCTTCCGACAGAAGAGAATCACAGACAGACTCCATGACATTTCCACAGTCATCCCCAGAGGATTCCGGTCAGGATTGGACGCAATGGATGAGATGGGATGACAATTCTTTCCAAGAGACGGCCAGCGATCTTCCGCACTCCCCGTTCGATTTCTCATTTATCTCGCCCAGCACCTCGATCGGCAAGCAGAGTACCGGTGGTATTCAGAAATCCGAATTCTCGCCCGATATTTCACTCGACTGCGTGACGAATCTTCCATTTGACTCCTTCCTTGGTCAGGATGATTGTGGCGGGCTTCCCCTTCACCGTAGGTCAAATGTCAGCACAGATATGCTGTCTGCTCAGTCAACGACGTCCGGATCACCTATATCCCTAGCGGGTGTCAAACGTAAGTCCGGAAGCGATGACGACGGATCGACCGTCAGCGGTCCACCTCCGACTGGAAAGAAGATGCCATCTAAGAAACGAGCCCACAACGTTATTGAAAAACGATACCGAGCCAACTTGAATGAAAAAATTGCCGAGCTCAGAGACAGCGTGCCCAGTCTACGAGCTTCCAGGCATCTAGTCGACGATGATGACGCGGAGGGGACTACGCCAGCCAACAAGTTGAACAAGGCCTCTATTCTCTCTAAGGCAACGGAGTATATCCGACACCTGGAAATCCGCAATAAACGGTTGGAAGACGAAAATACTGCTCTCAAGAATAGACTTCGTCAAGTGGATAAGGCTGTCGACCAGACTGTGACATCTGCGGCATCAGTCTCTTCACCTAGCAATTACACCGAGTCCGGTGCTAGCTCGTCTCCTAGCGTCTTCTCGAACGCGGAGGAAGTTCCTAGTGACCCTTCTCCGAGCTCCCTCCACCCACCGGAAGGTTTGATCAAGGTGCCAGATGCCTTCAAACAAATGCGGGCGGCGACCCCAAGAGATGAGTCATGGTCACAGTCTTATATCCAGTATCCAAGCAGTGGTAGTAATGGACCTCCACAGGCTGGGGGCCACAAACGCTCTCACTATCCTAACAAATACATGCTAGGTGCTCTTGCCGGTCTCATGGTATTTGAGGGGATGAGTTCGGAGAAGAAGACCGAGTCAACTGCAAAAGGGCTCCTAGCTGTTCCATTCAACCTGTTCAATAACATACAGTCACCGCAGACCGCATATTTGGCAGCAATTGTTCGGAACTTTTGGTACTCATGGCATGCCCGCGCTATTTCTCACTTCCTCATCCTTGCTACTCTCGTTGTCGGGAGCGCATTCATCGTTTTTGTCTATCTGTTCAACTCCGGCGGCCCTGGACTACAGTCCTCTAAAACAGCATCTGCCACATTATCATCTAGTAACTTCCGCCGACAGGCTTGGCTGACTAGCATCCAGCGGGTGGGAGTGCCCCGACACACGTTTTTCCATGAGTGGTATGTCGTCACGTCGCGATGTTTTGAGTACGTCTTGCGATGCCTACTCGGATGGAAACTCTACTCTTGGGCCACGGGAGTTACCGAAGAGGATGAAAACGGCCGAGTCAAGACGTGGGACATCGCGATCGATGCGCAACTCGCCGGAGGTGATGCGGAGGTCAGCAAAAGTCGTCTCGTTTTGACCATCTTTGCTGCTGGCACTCTCCCTCGAAGCCCAATGAGAATGATGTTAAAAGCCCTCCATGTGCGCATTTTGCTTTGGCGTGTGGGAGATCGCGGCTCGTGGACTTTTAACGTCTCGAACGACGTTGGCCGTAGTCTGGCACGGTATCAGTGGGATCTTGCCCGAAAGATGAATTCCTCTCTGCCAAAGGATCACCCAGATGCCCTGCCCAGCCATCTCGCTGCCTTACTGGACCTTGATAGTGAGGCGGTTATGATTGATAGTGTCATCCAAAGGGCCGCAAACCTTACTTGGAACTGTCCAACCCAAGAGGGGACTGATGGTGATGAAGCTCTTCTGGATGTTGTGGAAGAGGATCCCGCCATCCAATCCTCTTTAGATGCGCTTGCCGCCTGGTGGTCTAGCCATCTGTTGCAACGCGCCCTTCTGAAATACTTCGAGGCTAGTTCTGGTGGTCAAGACAGGAAGAAGAGCCGTGACCTTTTCAAGTCGAAGATTAAGACAGCTCTCAACGTAGCGCCCCAGCCATCCGCAGCTCATACACGTGCTCTGGTTATGCAAGCCGTTTTCTTTGAACAGGATCGCGTCGCTAACATTAATCTGGTTCTTTCCGCACTGCCTAAGGACAAGGGAATGAACAAGAAAGCGCAAGCTTCAAATTTTCTCGATTCTTCTCTACCGGTATCTGTCCGCGATGAGATTAATATTGCCGTTCGCTGCGCTATGATCGCGGCTATCTTCACAGCAAGGACAACCGGAGATACGTCTCTTCCCGCATCGTTTACGATGCAGAAAGCTATTTCCTGGTTTAACCAGCTGCCTCTGGACCCGGTGGAGTTAACTCTTCTGGGATTTGCAGCGACATATCATCTTTTACACGTTTTGGCTTCCGACACAGACTACCTGAACTCCTCGGATTCTTCGGCTCCCTCTTCCCCCGTGCCCAGACATCTCTCTTTGTCCTCTGATGATGACTCGGACAGACCAACTCCAATCCAAGGGCAGAAATGTTCGCCGCCGCTGATTCCTAACCTAAGCCGTGTGGCCTCGGAGCTTTCGTACTGGGCAAAGAACGCCTATAATCCGACTTTTTATGGTTTCACGTCTCATCTCGTGGGAGTGGTTGAGTCTGAATGCAAATCATTGTGCCAAAGCGCGGGAGTCGATGTCGCCGACTACTCTCGCATCCAAGAGGAGAGGCGGGAAGCAACAAGGAATAAAGACCAAAAGAAGAAGAAGAAGCAGCAGCAGAAGCCATCTAAGAAATCCAAGGAGGGTTTGCGGCCAGGTAGACAGGTGACCCCTAGCAGCCAGCCCACCCAATGTCCTAGTCCAGAAAGTCCACGTGAACCCGTGACTTGAACGGATAGAGGCTATCTTCGTATGCATGTATTATGGGCTATGTCGCTGTCTACGGGTTGGGTGGCCTCCTGGCTTTTTACTTCGGATATTTGGTATTACGCGATGCGCTGCTTCTGGTATCAGGGTGTATTTTGCGAGTGATGGAACACGGGTATCGGAATATAAACAACAACTATCGGTCTCTGGCGTTCTTCGGTTAATTTCCGGCCTGTTTATGTATCTTCTCTCCGGTGTTATAAAAGCCGAATTAGACTAAAGCAGTCCCTCCCCTATTTTTGTTGTTTGCCTGTGTATAATGCCTAATAACATGTATCGCTTACAAGTCACCGTTCGAAGAGTCCGACCGATTCTGCTCACACCCGTCGACCTTGCCCTGTTTGCTACGTCCTCATCTGGGAAATGAGGTTAGGTTAGTGATTTGTGTTCAACCTCATCTAATCTTTTTCTACCTCTAGAGTGGGCAATACCTTATACCAGGTGCCCGGATCGAGTCTGGGACCCATGCTGCATGCGGGAAGGAATGTGTGGCTGGAAAGTTTAACCCACGCGGCAATTAAGGCAACTTCCGTACCGCGTGTAGGGCTGACGCGCACATTGATTCATTCGAGGCCCTCATCGAGCAGAGTGATCTGATTTGAACAAGATGGTATTTCAGTGGCATTCACATTCAACCATGTCTAGGCCGTTCGAGCAACGTTGCCCACGGTGGTACCTTCAGTGACCCCATTGCATCATATGTTGTTTCAATTGGAGGGTCACGGAAGACACCAGCAAGGAAGTGAATTGGAACTTGGAGCAGCCAGCTTGCTTTGACTGACAGCGGGGTGAATGGTGCACTGGACGCCTCCGTCCTGAAAAGGCTCACGGCGACAACCACGTCGTCATTCGAAAGCTGAATAAAGCCTGTACCCCTGCGGGAGCTCCCAAGGTTTCCTCATTTCCTCAGAGGCCTGCGCAATAAGAAAACTCTAAAACAGTAAGAATCAAAACATCATAACGTTGCAATTTCATTTGAAATACATTACACCTTTACGCAATCCTCCCTCAATGTGCCAGTTATGACGTTGACTCCACTTACGAGAAGGCCCTGCTTCGCGTCCTTCTCTCGCAGGTCAGTAGGAGCCTAAAATACTTCACTCTTAGATAGCTTCAACAGCAACCAGCATGATTAAATATTTGTTCATCACCAGTTTAAATCCCGTGGAAAGCACAGGCCCGCCAAGAATGAAGGGGCTTCCTCATGACAACTTCATGCCGACAATTCTTCTACGTCACCGCCCTAAATTAAGACTTCATGCGATTGAAGATCGTTTAAAAGAAAGGCTGGCGCTGTAGGTCTCCTATTATGAATCGTGAAAAAAAAAAAAAAAAAATCAAGTGCCGCGAACTTAGGTTGGGAACCCTTGACCAGCTATCTCCGTTTGCGGTGCCGTGGTTTCATCGGTTCAGTCGAGGGCAGATCCACCTCGGGGCTCCAGCCAACTATCAAGGAGAGAAAACGATGACTCTATTTGCTGAGGTACCTGTCAAAGTTTGACTCGATGTCGTCAGTTTGTTGATCTACGCTGACAATGACAGCACCTTTCAGGCCCAGACCTCAGATAGAAGCCTCTCATTCCAGAACCCCATTCCCCACATTCTTCGTGGTAGTAGTGACCTTCTCAGGAGCTTCATCCTGGCTCAGTGGGATATTTGTTAGAGGGAGATGGTGTGTAGCGTATCTCCCTAGTTTGAATCACTTTGAATCTAAGGCCAATATGGATGACGGCATCGTGGAATAGTTCTGAGTACACAAGACCTGCGCGTCATGGCAGGTGCAAATCCATTGTTCCCGTGGCTGTATATTTACCATTACCTTGCCATCGATCACTCTTCTGAATCCTTATAAGTCCCTGTCTAACTTAAAGGGGGATCACCATTGATTCCAGTACTTGTGCGGCTGTAACTGTTTTGAACATCTCTTTGATACCCACGTTTGGAGGCCATCCTGGCTCTCAAAATTTGCAGGAATGGCGGTCGATAAGTTACAGCCGGGCAAGCAGCACACCCGACATGATCATCTTCCTATGAACCCTGCGCTGGCCGCCCCTTTGTACACTTTGGGTGGTGTTCTTATTATCCTTTTCCTCAGCCGTACTCTTATTAGACTACGGCATCATCGACGTCTGCGTAAAATCCTTCAAAAGGGTGACCAGCAAAAATTCGCCCAAAGCAATGCCATTTCGGCCAGACTCAACAAACATGTCTTCTACGCACCGCTATTCTCCGTCCGCCACAGTCGCGAGTTACGCCTTCTCGACAGGGTCCATATGGGGATAATCCCGTTGCGGCTCGAGGCTATCCTGTTGGTCGGGTATTCCCTGTTGAACATAGCATTTTTCTTTGCACTCACCGACTGGTGGCTGGGGTACGGAGAGACAACGTATCAGATCAAATACGCCGCTGGCCATCTGTGTGCGATGAACCTGCCCATGCTAGTCCTCACGGCTGGTCGCAACAACCCCCTGATCCCGCTGCTAGGATTGCAGTTTGACACATTCAACCTCATGCATCGTTGGATTGGACGTCTTATCATCGGTGAAGCAGTGATCCATATGGCTTGTGCGGTAGCGGGGCTAGCCAAAGAGAGTGAGCAAAATCCCATCCCGGCCTAGAGGCGTCCACTGACTGGTATTTAGTGAGCATATCCAAAACAACCCATCTTCTCTGGAACGTCCCGTTCTTTATAACTGGATTTGTTGTAAGCCAGAAGTTGAAAAACAGTTGAAGTGCGTAATCTAATTGCTCGTGGCAATGGCAGGCTTTAATCGCGTTCCTGGTGATCCTCATCCAATCGGTCTCGCCGTTGAGGCACTCTTTTTACGAAGTCTTTCTCCACTTTCATATCCTTCTAGCAATAACATCCTTTGTGGGGCTATGGTATCATCTCCGTGGCTTGACTTTGCAACATGTTCTGCTGGCAACGCTTATTCTATGGGGTCTCGATGTAAGTTTAAACTACCCCGCTGCGTCTATCTCTTACCCTTATAATACGAGACATGGGGCATTGTGATTTTCTTGCTGTGCTCTTTCTGGTTCTTCTCGGAGCCGGCATACCCCTTTTTCTTTCCCAATTCATTGCCAACTACGACTGGTTTTGATACTTATTCATGTTAATAGAGAGTCACAAGATTGTCGAGTATAATCTGGCGCAACTTTGGCAAACAGCGCACCACGGCAACCGTGGAGCTTCTTCCGGGAGATGTAGCTCGCGTTGATGTAGCCATGGCGCGGACCTGGACATTCAAAGCCGGACAATACATGTATCTGTATATGCCATCCCTTGGTCTATGGACATCTCATCCATTCTCTGTCGCTTGGACCTCATCCGGCCGCACGAGCTTGACTGAAAAGCGCGGTTCCTGTGACTCACTTAGTGTATCGCTGGGAGGGCCACAGCGGTCGGTCATGTCCTTCCTCATCAAGCGCCGCGACGGGTTTACACATAAGCTTCTCGAGAAAGTCAAGAACTCGGTGGACGGGAATTTCACCGCATCCGCGCTGGTCGAGGGGCCATTTGGTGGGTAGTGATATGCGTCGGGCCGCAGGCTGATACTAACTTCTATATAGGCGGTCTCCATTCCCTAGCTTCCTACGGGACAGTCCTCTTAGTTGCGGGCGGTATTGGGATCACGCACCCAATGTCCTATATCTATGAATTCATGACCGGGTTTGCGGACAAATCCACCGCTGTGCGGAAGGTCACCTTAGTTTGGGTGATCCGCAGTATTGGTGAGTTAAAGTTGCGCATGCTGAAGAAATATTTACTGACTCCGTGATTACTAGACCATCTGGAATGGATCCAGCCGTGGATAACCAGTCTCCTAAACCACCCAGCGCTCCAAGTTTCGAAAGAGCAGCAACGGTACACCTACTTCCAGTTCCCTGAATTCTCACTGTCGATTCAAATCTACCTGACTTCGCGGGAATCTACGGACGATTACTGTGTAGGCGAGAGCCCCTGGACGAATTCCGCCCCGCCCAGCGTACCCATCAGCGTCGTCTTTGGCAAGCCAGCCTTCGACCAGATTGTAGAAGCTGAGAAGGCACAGCAAGTGGGCGCGATGGCTGTGAGCGTTTGCGGACCGGGTGGTATGAGCGACGATGTCCGCAAATGTGTTCGGGATAACCAGGGGGCGCAAGCCATTGATTTATACGAGGCGTCATTTTGCTGGTAGATTGGTTCATTCTTGTTATATTGCTGAGCTTGCTCGTCGATTCACTATCCTGGTTTGATACTAGATTATACACCTAGCTTATACTTCGCTTATACCTTTATTGAATGAAATGAATATTGCTGTGCATTGAATTCTGCAAGACGATGGTGGGTCGTGCAAAAATAGATCCTAAAATCGCAATTGAGCTTCATAGGGCAATTAACCCCGTCTGCTAGTCGACGATCCGTAATAGGACCAAGCCAATGAAATAGCTAGAACATACAGCTTCCCCTCACCGGAAACCGGGGTAAAAACAGCTCATCTCTGCATGGCCGGCAATCCGTCTCGGATTTCCCCAACGTCGGCAATTGACGGCTATTGAAACCCGGAAGTATAAGTATACGTTCAGCCATGGACAAGACAAACAATTCCTCAATTCCAACGTCAAAAGAACCCAATCAAACAAGAATCAAGGTTAAAAAAGCTTCTCTAGAGGAAAACTAGTAAAACAATATAGCAACCATGCCCCCCAAACTCCGCGTCCTCCACATCGGCGACAACATCAAATACAACCACGATGTCTACGCACGCTTCGCCTCGGAATTCGAAATCATCCAGCCCTCCGCTGAAGAGCGCGAAAGGGAAGAGTTCATGCGCGCCCTGAAAGAGCGCCGCTGGGGTGACTTCCACGCCATCTTCCGCCCGTTCTGGAACACAGGCGGCGAAATGGGCCGGTGGGATCGAGAACTGATCCCGCTACTGCCCAAGTCCGTGAAGATCATGGCGTCCGCTGGCGCTGGGTATGATTGGGCAGATGTAGATGTTTTTGCAGAATATGGTATACTATTACCCTCCTTACCTTTATGACTCTTCCCCCCACCCCCCACCTTCTTCTCTTTCTCTATACCATTCTATTAGAGACAGGACTAACAATATAAAAATAGGAATCCTCTACTGCAACGGCGCGGCCGCATCCTCCGAATCCGTTGCCGACATGACCCTTTTCCTCATTCTCGCCGTCTTCCGCAACCTCTCCTGGTCCCATGCCGCCGCCATCTCTACAAACCCTACAACCTTCACCGACGCCCACAAAAACTCGCCCCTAACAGCCCGCAATCCCCGAAACCACACCCTAGGCATAATCGGCCTAGGCCAAATCGGCTACACAATCGCCCAAAAAGCCCACGCTGCGTTCGGCATGAAAATCGCCTACCACGACCTCATCCGCAAGTCTCCCGACCTCGAATCCCAGGTTGGGGCCACCTATTACGATACCCTAGAAGGGCTATTGGGGAACGCAGACTGTGTGGTCATTGCCACGCCCTTCGCGGGTAAGACATTAATGACGCTGGAGCGGTTTAGGCAGTTTAAGAAGGGGGCGAGGTTTATTAATATTGCGCGGGGGTCATTGGTGGATGAGGAGGCGCTCGTGCAGGTGCTTGATGAGGGGCATCTTTCTGGGGCTGGGTTGGATGTGCATGCGAATGAGCCGAATGTGCATCCGAGGGTGGTGAGGCATTCGAGGGTTATGGCTATGGCGCATAATGCCGGAGGGACGGTGGATACACATATTGGGTTTGAGAGGTTGGCGATGGAGAATATTGAGGGGTTTTTGTTGAGGGGGAAGGCTTTGACGCCGGTCAATGCACATTTGATTAAAAGCAAGAGTTCTTTGTAAGATTTTTGGGTTCTTTTTATACATGTTTGTATCAGAGTTTATGTAGCTGTGGGGAATGTTAGTTTTATGTTCTGGGATTATTAAGGTGCACTTTGAGGGTATTTCTCTGGAGCTAGGGGGATATGTTGCGTTGCTCAACTAATGGGTATTAGAATGGCTGGTCGTACGGTAAGTTATAAATAGCTGTCATATATGTGAGGGTTGAAGAAATCCTCCTAAGAGACCTTAAGAAAATAGTACTCACTCTAATGAGTAGATGGAAATGGTGGCTTGCTTGCAACTCGGCTAGATCAGTACTGACCTCTGTGGTTAAGAGCCGGCTAGATCTACTTCACGGAATGGGTAAGTGGAAGGCCTGCTGACGGATTCAATCAAAGCTGGGTGACAGTATTACCTCTCATGGCGAGTCATAGTCTACTCAACCACAGCTGGGACGGATCCTTTGTCTGAGCCTCAATACCGTTCTCAAGGAAGAACTGTACAATGTCATCAGGATCCATCTCGCTGGCATGGTCGAGCGGTGTCCTACCACTCAGATGCGTTACCTTGAGATTAGCACTATTCTCACTCAGCCGTTTAACAATATCCAATAAGCCCTCTTCAATAGCCCCTAATAGGGGGTGTCAGGCCACCTTTGTCCTTTTTCTCAATATCCGCACGTTTGTCCAAGCAGTAACTTGGTAATTACTATCCTGCTCATTTCAGTAGCCCTCGACAGAGGTGTCCCCCCATCTCGGTTCTTTGTCTCAGTATTCACCTTTTTGCACTGAAAGAATCGGGAGCCAGAGCCCAATGTGAACCAGACCTCCAATGCAGAGGTCTAAGTGAATACCTCTACTGCTTATAGTCAAAGGGCTTTTAGAAATATCGAAACGGGTCACAAGGTACAATATAGTGAGAGTTGATAAACGCAGCTGGGGATATGGCAAGAAGCCCGCCCTGAGTGTCCGAAGATCGCTATGCAAAGAGGCTGTGGTCCTCTGAGATCCGCAAAAGTTCTTCTTGAAGCCTAATAAAAGAGGGCTGTCGCGCTCTATAGATAAGTGGCATGCTGGTGCCGAATACGCCCATTATACCATAGGCACAATCCACTATCCTAGATGTTTGTCTGTGTGCGGCCCACGACATTCTCTGTACGTCGCCGAACGTGTCAATATCTTCATCACCCGAGAGAAGACTTTCAGATATACGAGTACGCCTGGAGGCGATTTCCCGAAGACTGGCTTTATCCCTCAAGTCCTTCTAATTCTTATCAAAAAATATTATCTTCGAAGAAGTAATTAGCTCGTGAAGCGTCCACCCCCTGGTAAACCGTCTACTCTCAGAGAATGACTTTTTTGGACGGTACACCAGAGAGATATGTAAAGCAGATTCCAGCCTCTTGGCACTAATAGAGCATGCATATTCGATTGTGGAAACAGTATAAGTCGGCCAGGCGTACTTTGACAGTCTGTTTAACATTAGTCGCTTCTCCAGTTACTTAACGTCAATGGCTTGTTTATCTATAAAATATACTCTAATTATCTGCTGTGAGCTCTAATATATTATATTGCTCCTAATATCCGTGTCCGCTATTATTCAGTCCAGGTCCTTGTTCTATAATAGCCTGCTGATATACAAAGAAATGTTGGTTACCTATGATCGATTATTTCAAGATTCTAACGATGGGCTACATAGTAATATTTCTCTTCTGCAGAGCTATGGACAGTGTCGTACAAACGACCGAAATATATCTCTCGACGTCGACCTTTCGGCTACCCTATTTTGCGAAACCGGTGTGCGATCCTCTACTCTCTGATGTATTATTGCGATAAACGCCATCAGATTTGGCATTTCTCAGCTTTTTTCAGTAATCAACTGATCCTACATATTTGAAGATTTTACAGCTCTTGCAGCATTATGGAAAGTGGACTTGCTTCAAATTCTGTGCGAGAGTGAAGCGCCGAAGGGCATTCCCGGTGTGTATAGGTCTGACAATGGCGGGGATATCATGGATCCCTGTAGTGGCTCGATATAGAATATTTACCCTAGTTGTATAGATACTCTGTGTTAGAGTTGGCCACAGCGGGGTATCTGATATACATGTCTTAAATTGACACTCTTTCACCTTATCGTGGTACGTGAATCCGTCTTATGAGCAGACAGTTTCACGATAGTACTCGCTATAAAGGGTCACAGAATGCTGTCGCTACTGCCTGGCTAATTTCATTTAAGCAGATCCAGAAGACGGATGAAGCTGCCGCCCAGCTACTTGCATTTGTTTCGTGCATCGAGCCGAAGGCCATCCTACAATGCTTCTTGCCTGATTTTGGTTCCGAAGAGGAAAGAGAGCATGCCATTGGCACGTTGCGTGGCTATGCATTTTTGGCCAAATGGGATGACTTTTTATTTGACATGCACAGCCTAGTTGGCGACGCAGATATGGGTTCAGGAAGAGGGAACTAGCGAGGAGACGATAAAAAGGGCAGTCTGTCATATAGCAGCTGTCTTTCTGTCCAATGATTTCGCAGATCGCAAATTGTGGTGGGCTATCTTACCGCACAGCCTTCGGATTCTCCGAGGAAGTGATGGCCAATATATAGAGGAGAGGTGGGAGCTATACTTAAGAGTTGGATGCTCCCTTCTGGAAGATGATCGGACCAAGGAAGCTGTCAATTATTTTGGATAGGGTTGCTGATTGAATGAGCCCCGTCCTGCGGAAGAGCATCCCTCTCGACTAGCACGCCAGCATGCGCTCGCCATGGCATATCAACTGAACGGCCTGATCATCAGCAAGGCAGTGTGGGGCTGCTAGAATATGTGGTTACAGTACGAGAAAGAACCCTGGCTGAAGAGCATCCTGACCGACTCGCATCCCAGCATGCGCTCGCTATGGCATATCAACCCGACCGCCAGATCAGAAAGGCAGTCGAGCTGCTAGAATATGTGGTTACAGTGCGAGAAAGAACCCTGGCTGAAGAACACCTCCTCTCGACTAGCATCCCAGCATGCGCTCGCAGTGGTGAAGCAAGCGTGCAAACAGAATTGAGGCCTCTATTTATGGTCGGCCTTTGATTCCATCCGCTTATGAGCATTTTTGATACCTATCTCCGATTAAGCTTAGTCACTATTCAGGGCCTAAGAGTGCTATCACATTCTCCCAACTATCAACCCGTCTATTCAATAGTTGAAGATAATATTATATAGCATTTAGCTGCAGAAACAGTAGAGTTTGCAAAGTTACAACTGCTATGTAACAATATTGCACTATATTGGATTTATTTTCAACTTTCTTATAATCTTATATTTCTTTCCAGAAACGCAGGCCTAGGAGAACTACGCAGTATGTATATAGTTGTCTACCCCCGCCAGAGTACTTATCGCGATATTTCAGCTGAGGCAATGGATGCTTGTTTATTGGATGGTACCCAGAACGAGGATCAATCATCTACTCAATTACGAATAAGGGAGGGGTGCTAACGCCACAGGGAATATTCTGTTTGCTTTAAGGTCTATCAAGGATGATGGTAAGTGAGGAAGCTGGACAGACACACAGAAGGAATTCTGACTAGAAAGCTACAATGATACCCTAACATGGCCATTTAATGCAGGCGCAGCATTAACAGCACGTATCAGTCACGACCGACACAGTGACACCGTTCCAGCAAGCTACACCAGGTATCGCTACACTAACAGTCTATCAAAACCCCAACCCCGATCTATTCAACAGACCAATGTCCCGTAACGTATATCTAAAATCTAACAAACACGCCCTTCCCTAAGGGCCCACCTCACCAACTCCGCCAACTTATCACTAACCACCTGCCCCCGGGGGATGTCATGCCCACCCCCGTGGTTGAAATCTCTCCTCTTCCGCTCCTCACAAACCCCGGACAACAACACGCCCGCCCCATACCTCGGATCCCTACTCCCATAAACATGCACCGTTGGCACCTGAATCTTAACCTCCCCCACCAAACTCCCCCTGACGCCCTCAACGTCAATCTCCTCCTCCTTCCACCTCGCCGACCCTGCTGCAAGAATCGCCTTCTTATCCGCAACAGCTGCCAACCGCCTCCTACTCTCCAAATCCCACTCCCTCACCTCAGGCGGAATCTCGTACCCCACCTCCTCAAGAACCCCCAACGGTGCGCCCCCGCAGATAAATATGGCGGCCTTAAACGGCGGCGGAGTGCCTGGGGACTCGTACGCGTGCCACAGCAGCGTTGAGGCGGCCAGAATGCTGCCCTGCGAGAATCCCATTACGGCGTCGTAGGGCCCGTGCGTGGCGATGTGGTCTAGGAGCCATTTTCGGGCGCTGTGCACGTTGGAGAGGGTGTCATCGGGCCAGAAGGCGTAGTAGGGGGGGTCGTAGAAGAGGTCGATTCCGGCGGCTGGGGTGGTGGGGTGGGGGGCGTCTATGAAGTCGAATTCTAAGGGGAGGTCATTGAGGCGGGTGCGGAAGGAGGCTTTTCCTCGTTAGTTTGTTTTGGGGGGACTGCGTTGGGTGTATTTGCTTTTTGCCGTGTTTTCTTTTGGTTTATTGTTCAGATGTTGAAGGGTAGGTAGGGTTGTACGCACTTGTTTGCGATCTGAAGACGAGGGCGCTTGTGCCTTTGCCGTGGAGGCAGAGGATTCGGATTTTGGGTCCCATTGTCGCGTATTATTCGAATTTTGGGGATTGACGGAGGAGAAGAGGGGACACGGATACGAATTAAATGGGGAGGGAAACCGACAAGGCGAGTGAGATTTATTCTAGTTGTTTCTCGTGTCAGCACTTGGTGCATAGTTGACCCCACTAAAGCTGCATACTAAAGTCGGGGTGGGACAACTTTTAGATACTCCGATCGCTTTTTACACGTCATTTGGTTATTCCTCGGGATGCATTCGCACTTCAGATGTGTTCAGCTCCACACAATTAGTTCGAGACGCTAGGCGCTTCTTTATATAGACGTCGTATTTGGTCGCCTTATCCTGGGACTTCATTCGGCCCCCAACCTGGTGCTGATTTCAAGGTTTTATGGGACCCGCGTACATTTTACGGGCTATATAGAGTGCGTTTTTGAGTCGATGTGGCTGATTAGAGCGCTAGTTTTGTGACTCTGAGGTTTAAAGTCAGTGCTGGATTACTGGGTATGTCTGAGCTTTGGGCTTCTAGTGGATATGTTCATCACGGCTTTTCTATGGCAGGCAGAGCGAGAATGCGGCTCACGCAGCTCGCACAGAGAGTAGTTCGAAATCGGTTGAAAACGAGTATACTGGAGTTTGCCACGTCCCACATAGCTGGGCAGGAGAAGCTCCAAAGAACAAGACTAAGAAAAGCTGACCACAACAGGCGTGTTGAACGCCTGAATGAGCCCCCATAATCAAGGCGTTTGCAATATGCTTCCTATGGTTGAACATAAACGAAGCTTCGTCGCCTTAGCACAGCCATCACAAAACCTACTTCATCTCTACACTGGCTTCAACACTTGCATTGGCACTAAGAGTCAGGACCGGTGATACCAGCCCGGCTCTCATCTCCGCATCTTCCATGGTCAGCGTGGCATTCTTCCCACTGCCAATACCGAAGGCTCGCTTCGTCGCCTTCCAGCTCTCCACCAGAGCCAGGTACACAACGACACACCCAAATACAACACCCCATTCCCAGTCAATCGCCTGATGCTTGAAGACTGTCCGATTCACTGCCGGCAGGTAGATTACCGGGAAAGCTATCACAAATCCAGCGACCACCGCCCAGAATAAGAACCGATTTCGCCAGACAGAATGGAACACGGACAGCTTGCCAGGATACCTGGCCGGATCTAAGCTAAACAAAGACCGCGAAAAGTGTTTCACTTCCCATGCGGTGACAAGTAAGAGGAAAGTTAAAGTTGCGTAGGTTGCCGCTCGGGCTCGAAAGACGATCCTGCAGCTTTCATTCCATCCTTCGTTGCAGTCGTGCCCCATGGATGGGGTCCCAGAGCCCTTCCCGTAGATAACACACACGAATGCTACCAGACAAAGCGAGCCCATGAAGGTTCCGTAGATCATTTTGTCAATAATGAGTTCTCGGGTGAATACGCCGACCTTCAGATCATGCGGGGCCCGATACATGATGTCGGGCTGGGCCTCCTCTAGCCCGAGACCTATGGCGAGAAAGGATGAGGTTATTAAATTAGCCCAGAGGATTTCTAGTGGAGAGAGGGGAAATATCGAATTCTTCTCCGCGTCTTTAAATGCGAGAGCGACGAGGAGGAGAACCACCTGTGCAATGTTAGATATGAGAAGGTGCATCAGAAACTGGAAGGTTGGTTAGCAAAACTTCCGGACATCTTCTGAGCGAGGGCCGTCTACCTTCTGAATATTGTCGAATAGTCGTCTTCCCTCTTCGACGGCCTTAACGATTGAGGAGAAATTATCATCGGTCAAGACCATATCAGCAGCCTCTTTGGCCACGTCACTGCCATTCATTCCCATTGCTATGCCCACATCGGCGCGCCTGAGAGCCGGCGAGTCATTAACCCCATCACCGGTCATAACGCAAAAGGCACTACGTCGATGCATTGCCTCGACCATTCGGACCTTGGTAGTAGGACTACATCGTGCGATGACGAGTGGCAACTGCTCGATACTATCTATCTCCGCATCGGACAGTCGGTCGAAGTCCTCTGCTGCCATCACTAATCGACTCGACTTCGCGCTGATAATAGGGTCCAATATTCCAACTTCCGATGCGATAGCTGTCGCAGTCCGAATATGGTCTCCAGTCAGCATGTGTACGTCGATGCCTGCCATTTGGCATCTCCGCACTGCTGCAGCAGTTTCCAGACGAGGGGGATCATATAACCCCACGAGGCCACCAAAGGTTAGACTTGATTCGGCCGTGCTACGCGAAGACACTTGAGAGTCATCATCGATTGAAACTCGTTTGTAAGCGACACAAAGAACGCGTAGCCCCTCCCCGGCCATTCTGTCTGCAATCTCTTGAATAGAAGACTTCTCCATCTCACGGCCATTTAATCTAGGAATAATTGTCTCTGGGGCCCCTTTCGTATATACCTCGTTCACAAGCATTTCCTGATTACGATAGACTACCGCCATCCGCTTGATGGAGGAATCAAATGGATACTCGGTATGAAGCTGTAGTTTATTGTTCTGCAGGATATTAGACCTTCCGAGACCAAACCGCAAAGCAAGGACGTGGAGGGCGATTTCAGTAGGCTCTCCGACCGCACTCCACCTTTTTTGTGTGCCACCTCCGGGCTCGCTCTCTGAGGATTCAGGCTGCCCGGCGTTCTGTACAGTTGAGAGATTGCATAGTGAAATGGCAGTCAGAAAGGTACTGAGTCCTTGGTTCCCTTGGAATCCATCGGGCTTCCAGTCAACCCCGTCCATCTGCACAGTCCCGCTCGTCGGGTCGTATGGGTTAGTGGTTTGGCTAACGGTAAGGGTGCCAACGCCTGGGATCCAGGCCGTTCGTGCAATCATTTTGCCCTGTGTGAGGGTGCCGGTTTTATCGGAACAGATATTGGTCACCCCACCAACAGCCTCAAGGCATTGCAATTTTCGCACAATAACATTTCCTTTGGCCATTGCCTTTGTACCCACCGCCACGGTAATAGTGAGAACAGCAACCAAAGACTCAGGTACGACAGCTACGGCAACACATATTCCGTAGATTAGAACTTCTCCTTGGACGTCGAATTTATTGACCGAGAAGACAATGATAGCAAGGAGCACCGCAAGGCCGAACAAAAGCAAGGCAAATTTGCTCAACTTCACCTGTAAAGGCGTCCCGACGAGCCCTAGAACATTTTTTGTCACGGACTTCAAATGCTGCAATATCCGAAGAAAGAAATCGGAACTGCCTTCTTCTTTCTTGTCTTGGAGTAGCTGAGCTATCTTTCCGACTTCCGTCATCATCCCCGTAGCGGTAACAATTCCTATTGCTCGACCCTGTGTGGTGCTGCATCCGGAATATGCCATGTTTGTTCTGTCGCCAAGCGGTACATCGCGCGAGGTGAGGGTGACATGCGGTTTCTTCATCACTGGTAAAGATTCACCAGTCAACAAGGCCTCATCCATCGAGATATTCATCCCATCCATTAGCCTCAGGTCTGCGGGAACGATATCGCCAACCGCTAGTTGCACAATATCTCCCACTACCAAAGATTCGGCCTTTGCAGACGCCACCTGACCATCACGCAGGACTTTGCATACAGGTGCGGATAGCCTGTGCAGCGACATGATAGTTTTTTCGGCGCGGTAATCCTGGGCGAATCTGGATAAGGAAGGTCAGACCTGATAATGAATGAGTGGAAGAAAAGGAAACATACCCGACAACGATATTAAGGAGGATAACTGCGGTTATCACTCCCCCTTCAATGTAGTCATCGATAGCGAAGGATATCGCCATAGTGATCAGGAGAACCTATGTTGTATTGGTCAGGAGGATGAAGGGCCAGGAGTATACGCCAGGGATGTGGAAAGTGGTGGGTGTATGGGTGGGCGTCATACTAGGGTCAAACTATTAGAAACTTGCCTCAGCAGTATTTTCCAGATTGATAGACTCTCCATTTCACGGACCCTGTTCGGACCGTCTCGCTGCAGGCGAGCGGCCGAGTCTGTGCTCGAAAGGCCATAACTGACAATCAGTTAGTATACAACTGGACGACAAGCCAAGGGCGCGAGATACCCTACCGAGAGTTGACGTCAAGGAGGACAGCCAGTTGCCCGGAGTCGATAGTGTGGGCATACTGCAACAAGGCTCGAAGGTCTTCTTGGCGGCGAATGTCGGTTGGCGAGGGTCCAAATAATTCTGGGTCTTTATGCCATGTCCTCTTCTCAGGATCATAGTCTATTTTCACATCACTTGGATGGATACTGGGATGTAAACTAGGTTCCTTCTGATAAGGACATATAGGAGGTTCCGTCGATTCTTCGACATCGGGTGGAGATGTTTCTATGCCCATTCAAAAGAGTAGATGGAAAGCTAGTGGCGTGGTTGGGCGAGGTTTCGACTAGTATTGTTAAAGGAAGAGTGGGAGGGGCTGGACAAAAGGAAGAATAAAGAGGAGGCAATTCAGTCGGTTTCTGGGGATATTCGGCAAACCACTTATAATACCTCGCCCGCCAGTGCGGGAGAGGCAAAGTACCAGGCAGAGGACAGTGAGGGGCTACTATTGCGCTACTGGCGTATTATTGATCAGTAGCTTGGCCGATTTCATTCACCTCCAAGAGATCCAAGCAGAGCTCGTCGAGGAAGACTTGATGTCAGGAACGCTAAGGGCTTGGAACTCGGTCTGGGCATGATGAGATTGGATGACAGCTCTTCCGGGGGATCTTGGTGCGGATGGCACGGCACATGATGATTCGTCGCGACCGTCGATAACGAATCCCGGTCAAGGAGTCGTAAGGATGCGAGGGAAAAGTACCTAGACTAAGAAGCTGTACTCTGGAGCGAAGAAAGTTGACCACGTGTGCGGATGTCACGTATCTCGACGTACGACTTCTAATGTTGACGTTTTTAACCCATTTCAGGAAGTAGGACACCCACCCCTGATCCATCGCAGCCGCTCGGCATCGTGGCTAATTGCAGATCTCTATACTATCTACCCCATTGGACGGATCTAGCTTACTGTACGACCTATATGTGTTGCCACTATACCCGACAGTGACGTCTGCCAGGGCAGCTTTGCCCCAGGAGATCAGCCTAGAACCTCAGTATGGTTTGCCATGAAACTATGTGACATCGAGTTGAAACGTGTACCATAAAAGAAGGGAAATGCTAGAAGACTCAGCGGATGGCTATCAGATGTACAGATAGCGACACACCGTGCTACTTGCCAAGGACCTCCCTAGGTTACACCTGACATGATGTGCTAAATTAATTGAGTGTCGAAGAGCGTTACCGTAGATATCATTCGGAAGTAGAACGACCATGGTTGAACAATGCAATAAAAAATTAGAGACTATACATGCTCTATCATGTCGCATATTGATTTTCACCAACGATGCCATGCCATGCTCTTCCACTGTGGTTATTCTGGTGCAGACACCTCAACATCATTTATGGCATACAGAATGTTGAACTTGTCACTCATTACAATAGAGTGCCTTCGCAATCCGGCTTTGAGATAGTTTGCGAGCATCACAAGGTCTTGCGCAACATTCTTTTTTAATTATTATTACTTGTTGTACGGCCTCCTCAGTTCCTGGACACTCAGAGAGCCTGAGGAGCCAGATCTCAGGATTTATACACGCATGGCACTTCCTCTACCTTGAATAATCATACTTATTATAAGTGAATGAAATAAAGTTCAGATACTCTCTACTAGTAAACGGATGATCTGCCCAAGGCCACTCGTATCGGATATCCGAAGCCACAGTTGACCAACATTGAAAATCGGCTAATATTCCCTGTTCATTTTGATATTGTTTGTGTTTATTTATTATGTAATGTATGGCGAGGATGCGTAATAGTCCCCGAAAAGCCGAGAGAAAAGATAAATTGAGAAAGATACGAAGTCATCTGTAACATGGTTTTGCCCCTACTGTGTGCTTTGGGTACCATTACCTTGTTAGTTTTCGTAGAATGCTTAGAATAGAGGATCTTAAATCATGGACAAATCTTACCAAATCGTAAGATTAAGATGATCAACCCTATGAGATGTGCAATTGGACACAGTAAGGATGTTTGCACTAGTTATACACTGTGCAAGGTTTCTGTAACTTTCAATAACAAAAACATTTATAATCCTGACCAGCTATAATATGAATCCACTGGGGCGCGGATCTAGACTATGTTATTGCCTAATCAGGGAACGTTTTTGGCTTCAGTTCTTGGATTTCGGGAGCATTTGTTTGGGCAGAGTGGGGCACGGGAAGGTGGGTGAAATGACTAACTAAACCAGGTGGGCCATCTGATTGTCCTCTGGATTCCAGTTCCACAACCAAGCTAGTCGATTACTCCACGTCTGTTTTATTCACTACCGGTACTAATACTATTATCTACTTAATACACAGAATAATAAGCACGGATATTGCAACCCTTGCAACAACCACGGTATTGCCCATACCAGAGCTATCAGAGGCGATTCTGCTCAATACTCCATATGAAAACCCCTCTAGTGTCAGCTCACCGTGTCAGTAGGCAATAGCTGAGTGTTTATCGCCGGTTCGGCCAATCTCCAACAGGCCTTATTTTTTTAAACCAATAGCTTCGCCCGTCAAACCATCACTTGCTAAACGAACTTTGCCAACAGCTGATATTCGATCCTATCCGAATGCGTATTCATTAGAGATTGTGGACTCCTTTAATCCGCTACTTTTAAAGCATTTTGGATCCGTCTATTTTAACCTCAATGGTGACGGGATCTTCCATTGTGCAGATTACTTCAACACAGACCTTACTTGGTGGCTGACGGCCAGGGTAATGAGGGAGTGAAAGCAGAGCGTGACTGCCGGCATAAGGCGTTTATCCGGGCGAGTGCTAGCTGGCGCAGAATGTTAGTTTCACAGCCAGCGCCATCAGCACCGTCAGCACTGGGATACGGATGGCAGGAATATGGCAACGTGATGGTGACTATATCAAAAGGACACATAGTCGAATGCCCACACCAACTAACACTACCACTTTGCTCCATGGTTCCTGATGCCAAGTTGCCTCAATCACTACCACTGTCACACGGGGCTCCGTTTTAGGTTGTTATATGGCCTAGTTCAATCTCATGCTGGTCACCATGAGTATCCTTCGCTCTACTTTCGCGCCGTCTGGGGCCGGCTGAAAGGCTCCACCACTTCTGGGTCTCATAAAAAATTCTGCAGGGATCTGCTGCACGAGACAAGTGATATTATACATTTCCAGCATGGTAGAGATGTTGATCACCACGAGCCCACTGATGTGCAGGCCTAGAATAGTGCGTTTCGGAGCGAAGGATTCGAGCTTCCAGAGCACGAGCTTATAGAGGTTGTCAGGATATATTACTAGGGTAATGGGTAGATTTAGCAACGTTGAACCAAGTTTTGATTGAATCTCCACTAGGGGAGCAATCTACAACAATATCCTAGAGCCCGTAATGTGCCTCAGAGCCGTTTGTCTTGGCTTATAATAACTGGAGCATTCGGCTGAGGCCCAGATGGGAACCTCCAGGAAAATTCAATTAATATTGTCGTACCACAGGTAAGGCCTCATCCGAATACCATAACCGGGTTTTTGTGATCATGGAGTTGTGTGCAACCAGTTTATTGCTTGTTGGGCCAATTTTCTTATGCAAAACATTAGGTCCGGTGCATCCATAATTCTCGACGTATCGCCATTTGATAAGACTGGTCCCCTGCTTACGTTCAATTTGTTCTGTTCTGTTGCTCTTTTTGCTGCTTTGCAATTGGTCGCTGATTGTTTCCCTATTTCTTCACCGATATATTCATTCTGTGTCTATGGATCACTATGTTGGCGTAGCACTGTAGCATAGGCCAAATATTCGGTATTTAGTTAACAGGAGACCAATGTAAGTAGAGAGAAGGAATTCCGATGAATGTAAGCGAGGTATTGGGAGTCGATAGGCAGGGTATGAAAGCTAATTGATTTTGCAAGTAAGCACCTGACAGGAGAAGCTAGACCTGTAATACAAATTGCCACGCCAGCTATTCATGTCTACTAGGTGATGGTCAAGTACTACTAGGGTAGAGATGAGAGAAGGTAGAGATTCAGTACAACCCCTAGTCCATCCTTAGCCACTATTGGCGCTGGTAGATAGATATACTAGATCGACATTAAGACAACTCTGTGCCTTGACTGCATGGTTGACTGGCAGAGTTCGATTCGTACATAGGGTTGATCCTGCTAAACGACAGTTGGAATATGCAATACTAACCGTTGAACACGCAGAGAGCTCAGTAAATGGCCTGAGGCATATAAGATCTTGATTGGTTAATTCATTGCGTCCACAAAGGTCGGCCTATTGCCCGCAATTACCTTCAGGGCTACAGAGATGGCTCGTGTAAATAGGAAGAAGCTAAAGAAACCATGTACGTCTGATGTGAAGTTAGGCTGCTGCAGCATAAAATCTTGCTGCATTACTAATCCTGCTGATATAGTTAATCAAATTTCTATTAACAAACTAGTTAATAAATAAATTCTCTCATCCTAATAAATCCTTTCCATGCCCATAAAATGCTTTATTAATAATTGGAATCCTGATAATCTGATCAATTTTATATCAACTCATGGAATTGCCCTGTAGGATCATTTCTCCAGAGCCTGTACAAGCCATTGGGGACAACTTATATATAGACACGACAGTATCACCCCTGCCTGTGGGCTAGGCTACTTACTATAAAATAGAGTTACAGCGAAACTACAACAAGGCCACGGAATGAGGCTGGGATAATCTCTGACTGATATGTACTGCAATGGTTTCAAGTTAACCAGCACGTAAAACCTGCATACCGGGAAAAGGCAACGAGCAGACGAAGGGTTTGGATCTATTTATTCAGGGTCCGACTAGATAATAATCCATTCAAAATCCACTTTCTATTCCAAAATATCGGGCAACTTCAATCAGACCTGAGCCTCTAGCTTCGACCCAATGATCGACAAACCCCTCTTCTCTGGCTCGTGCGACGTCTCTACTATCCCAAGCTTCTTCCAAGTCTCTCTCGAGATAGATTGTCTGAAATCCACAGTTTTTGGCGGCTTGCAAGTCCTCAAGATGGGCTGCGACGAGACAACATTTCGAATTCCTCAAACCGAATCTGCGAGCAGCACCATGATAGACCTCTGGCGACGGCTTGTACGCACCGAAGTGCTCTGCACTGGTGATGTGCTTGAAAGGCAAAGAATTGTGTTCTTGTAGGTCTTCAAGGAGCTTTACATTACCATTGGATAATGTAGACGTCAAAAATTTAGTGTTCAGCAACGAAAGGCCTAGCACACTGTCAGAGTATGAGTCAAGTCGATGCCAAGCGAGATTCAAATTTTTGAGATCGTCCTCGTTAAATAAATCCCGGAGAAGCCATTTGATAAGAATTTTTTCCAGAGCAATGCGGTTGTACTCATCTACTGAGACAAAAGGCTTAGATGTGTCGTAAGTGTATCCGAAGTCCATATATGACCGATGCCACTCCTCAGCGATCTCCTGCCAGCTCGAAGTGGACATGTCAGAGACACGTGCTCGCACATCAGCACCCAGATCTCGAGCTTGATTTTGCAGAGCCCTTCGTGCTGTGGCATTCAGTTCGTTCGCGATGCAACACCTCCATTCCACAACTGTGCCCAAGACGTCGAAAAATATCATTGAAGGGGTGCCATCCCGGGACATCTTTGTCAAAGCTTCTTTGAGAGATACCAAAGAATGAAGGCTTTTTTACATGAGCCGTAGAATATAGCTGAAAGCATAGTAAATTCCTCGTCAGTCAGTGATAGAAACACCATGGCCTCAAAAGAAGACTTAAAAGAAAAGAGAGATAACTTTACCGCCAGGAACTGGTGTAAATGTTAACATGATACTATCACAATGAGATTAGCCTTCTTTAAATATCGACGCCACTGAACATCTACTCTTCCATCAACCTCGGGAATTTATTGCTTAGGGTTGCATGTGGTTAGCATGTGGAAATCTCAACAAGGCCCTCGGTTATCGCGGTTTCAGAATATTAGGCTAGGCGCCAAAAGCAGTCAAATAAATTGGATTGAGTAACTCGCCTTCGGCGCCGCCTATGGGGTTGCCCACGGGAGATGGTGAGTATGGGCTACCAGTTGATTGGTTGATTGATTTCTCGTGCTTTTCGCGACTGAAGGCTGCATGTAGCATGTAGCCCTATGGACTACCCATGGGCTGTCTATGGACGAGAAATAAGCAAACATCGTAGGAATAGCGTCTTGTATATGTTATATAATTTTCACTGTCACAAGTTGTATTCGGGCGTCTGCTATGCTGCTTCGTCAACTCCTAGAAAGATAGTGGAGTCCGGGGATCGCAAATCAGAGACAGAATCATTCTAGGGGCTTACATTCGGCTCTATAGGTTTCTTCATTCGTATTCAAAATCATTTTCCATCTCATCATTTCGAAACACCAAAGAGAAACTTAAATGACTGAAGCTTTACAATAATAGCACTTCCTCCGTCCGCACATAGTGGACATGATTCCAAAACGTAAGCTTGTAATGGCTAGCTACAGCAATTTTAAGAATGAGAGGGATTTAAACAGACTTATGATTGACTGTTCCCTGTAGAGCCGAGCCATGTCCCCAAATGTAGCACCCCCACGACATATTGTACAGCACCGGTGGTTATTCGACGGCGGTGGGTCTGATTGCAGTGGAAGGTAGATGTCTAGCGTCTTATCACTAAACGGTATAAGTTCGAGGAGGTGAAACAGGCCTTTAAATTGGTTCGATAAGGGGAAAATAGCGTCATCAAGGTCATTATCGACGGGTATCGGGATGGACAGAATTAAAAATAAATAAATACATAACAGGACTTCGTCAACTGTGCAGAACGCAAAGCTTCAAGATGTAGTCCTAGACATATACTGTCTGTCCGCTACTCCTGAGTTGACTGTCCCAGTTTCGATGACAGAGTTACGACATAGAGAAGAGATGAACCCAGGTAACAAGTAAACAGTGATGACATTCACGCATATCATGTGAATGTAACAGCTAGCATGAGACATCCCGAGTACCAAGGTTAAGCTGCAATTGATTTGAAAAATCCTTGATGAGTTCTAAGGTCCCTGTATGTTTATACTCCTCTTTGAGCCCTGTATCAATTCCTTGCATGTATTTTTCATAGCAGTTGGGATCAGTGCCCTACAGCTTGGAATGGGACTGAGGCAGCGACATGTTGTGCTGGATCGAACTACTACCCTGTTTCAACTTCAAATTTCGCCTTTGAATATCCGCGCCAGGCAAGCCTTCTCGTGCCTTCAAGCCAGACAATGACTTCCTCTCCACTAGAGCCGATTTCTATGGAGTCAACTTGGCTCCAGCTAGTAACAACGCAATATCGTAGCTTTCCTAGGCGGTCAAATGCCTCGCATCCAATATCTGGCAGAATGGTAGTCCATTTAACTTCAGGAAGTGATGAAAGGTCGGTGAGTTTTGGTATCATATCTGCAGTCATAAACTCGGTGATAGTTGTCCATATAACCTCCGGATACTCAGAAAGTCCAGCAAGCTCCTGGGTATTCTGCAGTGTCATGTAGTCGGTGATAATAATGGGAAACCGTGGATTCGGTTCTTTTACACCAGCTCAATATGCCGGAAATACAGCCTGCCATACCTCCACTAGCCATGGTGAACCTATTCTGTACTTCTCCTTTCAGCCCTTGTCTTCTTTGAGTTTGCGTTTGAAGTTTGCTTCGCGTTGATCCTCCTAGTTGTTTTCGGCTGGATGATCGGACATGGTTTTGGGGGGTAGGGATGAATTTACTATTACTTTACTGACCTTCACTTCTAGAATGTTGAATCATGGGAGGTATAGAAAGCTTTAAGTGATGATTGGAATGGATTATGGAATGCGAGTCTTTCAAAATGGATGCGCGGTAAATTTATCGCAGCCACTCAGACCCTTCATTGTGGATCAACTCTAGATAAGATCTATTAATGGAAATTGTATTGTGAGGGTTGAATTATACATAGACTTGCTGAAGAGATATTCACAGCCTATAGTCCAACATAGGCAGAGTAGTACTTGGACAGTTTCGTCCAAAGATAACCGCAAGTTACTGCCGCTTTATACAGAACCCTATGACGTTAACCACACTATAACATAACGACATAAGGGGATTACTAGAGAACATTGCATATACTACAACATGGGAGTAAAAGAGCTGCAACTATAAGATTAATAAAAACCGTTAAAGCGTTCGGTCAAATATATAAACTCTCACTGGCCTTCTGCAATATTATGAAATGGAGCTAAGCCCGAAAGTTGGACATCAATGTGCCTCGCTATGTATTTCCCAAGCAGGTGTTGCCCAAAACCGCAATTATTAATAGTATCGGTCATACAACATATCTTGCATAGAGTTCCACAAGACCCGTCTTTCCTGAGGATTATCTTGTCTTTGTCTTTGGTCTAATATATAGGGTGTTAGAAAGCATACATTTTCTAATAGAATTTGAAATAAGAGGCATATTTTCCTGGGCTTAGTCATTGCAAACGGCCGACTGGCCCAGTGGTTAAGGCACCCGCTTTACATAGCAGCTTGGGCTGCTTGGAGAATCGCGGGGGATCGCAGGTTCGAACCCTGCGTCGGTCATTTTTTGCTATTTTTCAGCCTCACGCTCTCAGCAGCTGGAGCTGCTCTTCTTGTCCTGTATTTTAGCTCATTCCATTCTACTTCGCGCTTCACGAGATGCAGGCCGGTCAATATGATAAGAATGGGCTTTTACCACTTCCAGTATACGAAGGCCATTCTCTATCTAGAGACCCGTCGCCCGGTTACCTACCTAAGAAGTGCTCATTTATCATGTCAATAGAACCATAATATATTTCTGCCCAATGGGCTGCGGCACGGTGTTTTTGGATAGTCATATAAATATGATAACAATAAAATGTGATAACAACAAATACCATCGTAGATGACCCGATCCAGACATCTTCGTTCTTCATTCCTGTGGCATGACGCAATATGGTGAATGGTTATAGCTGTCTTTTAACAAATACTTCTCGCATCAGTCGAATAGAGAGATTTAGGAGCTGATCTGTGCGAATTACTGTCTTTCCTGTAGAAACTTCTATCCCCTGTAATAAGTCACTACTAGGGCTCCTACTCAATGATATTGTCTTGACCTCAGGGGCAGTCTGGAATGGTTTGAATGAATACAACCTACCCTTGACCTGGGTAACGGCGACAGTAGGGGGTTATAACCCGCATCCAATATCAGATCTACCTTTAATCGCAGCATTCTTCACTCATTCTCCCTCTCCCCTAATATAACCATCCCCTAAAGCAGCTCCATTTAGCAAATAAAATTATTCTGATCGTTAGGTTCAAATGTGCTGCCAATCACATCGAACAAATGAATTATCGTTCTGGCGACGAAATACGACTGCACAGAGCCAGTGGTTAACTTACCCTTAAAATGACGCATACCATTCCAATGATAGTGTAATTTACATACCGAACGTCTTCCCCGCTGCTGCAATTTACTACTACTCGTTGAGGTCCTGGGGCGCCTCCTGTGTACGCCACTTCGCGAGTGAGCGGAAATTCTCGCAGGGAATGCAGATCACAACTGGGAGCTAGTGGATTCTGATCTCTATTGTAAAAGCGATGAGGAGTTCCTGGTGTTTGACTAGCTCTTAAGCTTCTATTCCTCCCGATTTTGTTATAGCGTTGTTCTAGTGCAGCATTTGCCGCTCTTCAAAGATATTGTCAGCTTTGGTAAACTGTACGCCACCTATGTTTGAGGCTGTCAGTAACCAAGATGTGCTGAAGAATAGGTCGTTTGGAACCGTCGGGTGCAGCTAACCACATGTCAAGGAGTGCCTTGCTAGGTTGAGGTTCTCAACTTCTGCAATGCTTGTTCCCAGCGAGAAAAATAGGGAGAAGATAGATAGCTGCTTTGGGAGTAAGTACAGTATACTCTTGTCTCTCATCAACGAAATGGTTCTGGCAGACACAAACGAGACTGTAGCAAGGGCTGATATGGATATGCTGGTGTTGTTCCTATGTAATGGTATAGAGCGCACAGAGACACAGTGGACCGAGCTGTTAGCCAAGGTGAGGTCCCTTGGAAGATAAAAAAGTTGTGGTCTGCGCTGGGGGATCAGCAAAGCGTTATTGAGGCTTGTCTAGCGAACTAGTGAGGACTCTTTGTTACCATATAGCTGTCTATTCTATGTTGCACATAGAGAATCCCAGCTTCGCATACCCAATATCCGGCCCGTTCCACTCAGTCTACTCCAATTCTCCTTAGATCCTAGCATTCTCCCCAATACCGCATCATTAAGCGGTTAAACAGCATTCTCTGATGTTCTTACTATGGAGTGACCAATAATATATTAGACTACTAATACCTATCTCGGTGGATCTCGATCTTGTATCATTATAAAAAGCCCCTCCAGCTCTCCTTTGGCTCCGCATGAGGATACGACACTACCACTCGCGTTGGAGTCTGCTGATTGGCAACCTCGACTAAACATATACTTCCGCCTCCATAGGGTCGCATGGAATTGTCTTGGCTTTTCTCCAGTACTATATCGCAGGGCTAGCCCGGGGCTCGTGGCTTACTCTGTGTGTCATCAGAAGTGATCGGTATATGCTTATAGGCAATACCAAGACCATGCTAGTGAATCCTATGTATAGCTCCTCGCCATGAGGCCTATGCATATAAATCTGGTGTTTCCTACATACAATTCTCACTGAATGCAATCACCATAACCCAAGCAAGTTCCTGTCTACCATTGCCCCTCATGGACCATTCCGCCCTCATCTGTCTCGCCACCGAGACCGCCGATGTTGCTTGCAACCTTGCAGTCGAGCTGCCTCAACGCGGATTACCCGAATCTTCATTCGAACACGGCCTACCTAGTCCCTTTCAGAGTGATTCACCCGACTCTGGTGCGTTCGCGGCGCGTGTGAAACTACTTGGTCTGCTGGACGAGTTCCACAACCTGCTAACTGAACCAGTCCTACTAAGCAGCCCAGAGCTAGTTAGTAGAAAAGAAGTCATCTCTGGACTTACGTAACATAAGCTGACCATCAAAGCGCAATCCCTCAATGAACATGCTACCACTGATCCGTCGAGGAATCTTCGAAGCCTTCCCACTCTAGGGAACCACCGTACAAGTCCTAGCCTACCAGCTAAATCTAAACCAGAATATAGTCTGCAGACTCCTCGCCCACGCCGCCACCTACCATATATCCTTCCAATCCGGACCCGACTTCTTCAACCACACAGCGGACTCTCCCGTTCTCACCAAGAACGAGGGTATGCACAGTTGAATCCAGCTCGGTCTCAGCGAGATCATGCCCAGCAGCCTTCAAGTAACATATGCACCGCCATCACCCCGCTCATACTCATAATCGCAGCTAACATCTCATCGCAGACCGCCAACGCCATCCTCTAACACGCTAACTCCCCAACACAGCGTAAGCAACCTCCTCTCCACCAACGAACACCCTACCCATCCCCCCAAATGTCACCCTCTCACTCTCGACTAGGGCTGGAGCCTCCAAAACACCCCCAACTCCCCACCTTCCAAGCTCTCTCCACAATCCCTACAGCGTCACATCCTTCACAAAATCAATGACCTACCACACCCACCTCTCAGGCTACTCCCCTAACTATCTAGTGAACAACTTCCCTTGGCCCCTCAACGAAAGTAAAACAACCATAATCGGCATAGGCGGCGGAACGGACCACATCGCGCGCGCCCTGGTATCGCACAGCCCCAATATAAAATGCATAGTTCAAGACCGCGCCGAGGTCATCGCTCAAGCCGAGGCTACCCTCCCGCCGGACCTGCGCGAACGGGTCTAGCTCCAGGCGCACGATTTCTTCACGGAGTAGCCTGTTCACGGCGCGGATGTGTATTTGCTGAGGTATGTGCTGCATGATTAGTCGGATAAGTATGCGGATCTGATCTTGCAGGCGCTGATCCTGGCGTTGAAGGCTGGGGCGAAGGTAGTTATTAATGAGAGGGTTGTTCCAGGGTAGGGTAGGTGTCTTGAATAGAGGGAGGCGAGGCATGTGTTCCCCTTGTTGGGTTTGGTTTGTGAGGGAGTTCGGGCTGATTTGGGGTGAGTGTAGGGATTATGATACGTATATGTGGGGTGGCAGAATGCGAGGGAGCGGACGCGGGATGAGTGGGGGACTTTGTAGAGGGGTGTGAATGAGAGGTTTGAGATGGTGCGAGTTTCTAGGCCTGAGAGATCGTATTTGGCAGCCATTTGGATTATTTGGAAGGGGTAGGGATGGGCTTTTTTTGTGTTTGGGGGGTTGGTTGGTTAGGGGTAATGTAGATTGACTATTGATAATGTAGAGGTGCATATGAATCTGGCAATAGCTATATTACATTCTGAGGAAAGGGAGTAGACGCTCTTTTTCCGAACTTGGGTTAGTATCAACGACCACACAATACCAGGTATGATGAATCTAAATCGTGATTTTGTCAAGCTCAGCTGCATGGCTCTGCTCCCAGGGATGGTCCGTCTCGATCGAGCGAATGAGGTCCTCGTGCATCGGACTCCGAGGCTTGATGCTCACGTCGTAGGGTTCCGGGTGGCTGATAAGCGCAGGCTGAAACACCACTTTAGGCTCGATTTCCTTCCCGTTCATGACTTTCTTGCTGATGTTGAAGACCGTTAGGCATTGTGCGATATTGATATAGATGGCACTATCTGCCAGAACACGACCAGGACAGATTCGACGACCGAACCCGAAGGAAAGCCGGTGAGAGTCGGGGGCAGGATGATCGCCTAAGTATCGTTCGGGTTTGAATGCCATCGGGTCTGGGAATATGTCCGGATCATGTGCAAAGCCCCTGTTGTGTGCTTTGGTTAGATATAAAATAGGGCAAATTAAGACGAATTAGACGAACCAGATATTGGCGAGAATTATGGAGCCCTTTGGAATGAAGTATCCCTGACATATATCGTCATGGGTCGAAACGTGTGGAAGGTTGGTTGGTACAACGGGGTGCCAACGGAGAAGCTCCTTCACCATGGCATTGATATATGGGAGGCTGTCTCGGTCTGCAAAGGTGGGAAGGCGGTTTCCTACCACGCGATCGAGTTCTTCTTGGGCTTTTTGCTGAACGTCGGGATTAAGTGCCATGGCAAGGAAAAAACACGACATTGTTGACACGGTCTAGTGTGGAAGTAAGCTTTTGCAAGGTTGGGTTATGTGAGTAGATCATACCCACCGTGTCAGCGCCGCCGGCGTATATCGATGCGGCAGACCATTTGGTCACATATTCTTTTTCGGAGCCAGGCCGTATGTCTTCGGATTCCAGAATGCTCGACAGACACGAGGGATGGTGAGTACCCTGGGCCATTTGGTGTTTCACGAAATTATATGGTTTCCCACCGAAAGCATCAAAAGCTTCTTTCGACTTCTGTCCAACGCGTCGGAACTCAGCCCCCGGAAACCAGGCAGGTATGTGCCTCACTGATGCAAAGTGAGTTTTTATATCGCCGCTAAAGAGACATGGCATGAATCTTACAGATCGGCAGAACATCCACAAGCCACGCCCCATAGCGACAAACCAGTGAAAAGTAATACATGGATACGTCAGCCAGATCAACCAAAGGATCTGGCTTGTGTGGCTCGATAGTGTACCCGTACGCCAGCTTGAGGACGACGGCACCAGCCTCTCTACATGTCCAGTTAACGAAGATAGCCTCTACACAAGGCAATAATGACTTCTTCTAACTTACTTCCGAATATGCTGTGTCAGGTTCTCCGGCGTTTCGAGCACCCGTAAGAGAAATCGACGGGCCTCGACGTCCTGAAGCTCATTAAAGCGTGATACGGATACCTTCGATCCAATCTCCTTATTCATAGCCTTGCGAATCGCCTTGGAGCGATCGGAAAAAGGAATCATCCCCAGGATTCCACCGCATCCAGCGCTATAATCCCATTAACAGATCGCGCTGAATAAGTATATGTGTCTGGTTGAACCCACAGCTCCGCAGCGAAGAACATTTTAGGCCTATCCGAGTGCCACTTTGATCGCTGTTCAAAAAGTTCAACTGCGAGTTGATGATCGTTTAGGATGATGAATGTTTGGCCTAGCACGGTTATAGAACTGATGGGCCCTGTACGAAATGGTAGTTGTCAGACGTGTCTATAGGATATAGTCGTGACCCAGACAGGTAGAAAGCTTACCATATAACTTTTTATGTCTAAACCAGTGTTCCCAGTCGCGTTCTCCATTTTGTGGGAGATCCTTTAGGTTGCCAATGATTGGTTTCGGGGGCGGACCGGGTGGGAGAGGCGCTGGTAGCTTCTTGCGACCAAGAAGCCTGGACACAATATATGCAGCAACCAGTCCGATTGCAATACTACTCCAGGGTGATATCATTCTCAAGCCCATCTGTTGTACTTAATCGAAAATATCAAAAGGGTAGAGGGGTCCAGCGTAGGGCTATATTTGGGAGGTGGAAATTCACATGTCAAGAGGCAACGCTGCAATGTCGTACTCACCCTCCTTTAAATACTTCGGAGCTGAGCTGAACGGTGTGGCAAGTGGTGATGAGGGGTAGCAGGGGGACGTTCATATGCTGCATATGCATATGCCCCTGCTATCATGATGTGTAGCTGAGACAATACCCAGCGGATTATTGGTCCGATCGCGGATCATTTCCACAAGTGCTCGATGGCATCTATACTTGCATCCTAGAGGCGCTCCCACAGTACTTCCTACGAGCCATGCGTAGTCGCTAGCTTTTCATATTGAAGTAGAAGAGGTTATGACTGGTTCGCGATCGTCAAGTTGGCATTATTATTCTGGTCAAAAGCAGATATTGACTCCTAATATGAGTGCAATTCGAACCAGCAACTACGAAAGACAATGTGTGTGAAAAGAAAATCCAGCTAAGGAATACGACGCTAGGGCACTGCAGGATCTGAGATAGATGTTCGGATTGGTTCCCAAACGATCATGCGGAGTGATACCTACTGCAGTAATATGCGTGATATATGTACATTTGTGTACGTGCAGCTCTAGTTCCCTTCACCCACCACCGGGATCATATTCCCTAGCTGAATATGATAAATTACACCAATAGGGGGCCCTTATATATTGTAGTGCATACCCACGAACAGACGGTGCGCGCTAAGTGGGACAGTCTAGACTTAAAGGTCATAGAACACATAGTGAACAGGCGTTATGTCGAGTCTTATCCTGCAATGCGGTGCCTGTGGGTCCAACGACGCTGATTTGGTGGAGCATATATAAATGCACATTAGCCCACGTCTACGGAGTAGATGGCCGAGGCATGAATCTGTGGTGTTCTTCTGACCAAAGGCCGTTGATGGACATAGCCCAGTAGACCTCTCGTGTCTTTGTCCACTTTTTATGATGTTCAATAAGACCCATTAAGCTCCTGCGGTGTAGAAAAATGCCAACGGTTACTCACACGTAGTTCGTCCCCGAATCAAACCCTTTGAGGTTGTTGTGATAATACTTGACGTTCGCGAGCCATAGTAGACCTTGCATAGAATACGTTATTAATCGATTTTTAGGTCTCTACGAGGGCGAACAGTACTGGCCTTTTCCCCTTCATGCCTGTCGAGATATACAGTGTGCATCATGAGGCCGATCATGATGGCGATGATTGCAAAAATGCCTAGGCTCACTCGGCCATGTGTTGCCGTGGGGGTAAAGAGAACCACGTAAAAGCCACAATGATAACGCCCTATAAGATTTGAGGGCCTGTTTTAGATTAACAGTAAGCTTTTAGCGCTTTTGATTGGTGGTTCGTCCTCACTATCATAAAATAATTCGTTCAACGTGCTACATCAGTGGTCAATCTACCTTCAAAATGGAGAAGACCATATGTTGCAGATGAAGCAAAGCCATGCAGTCGCTCATGTCATACAACTTCTGTAGACTGCAATGCCATCAACCGTTATGAGAGAGAAAGCCACCCCACCCTAATACCTCACGACCGAGAAACCCGGGGCTGCGTTGTGGGCCGTAATCACCCTAAAGCCATTATGAAACCCCAGGCTATATTTTCAGAGGCTGTACAGGCATCCCACAAGTATCACACCTAGTGGTTTATGAGGAAGCCATTTACAATGTCGACTATGACAGCAATCTGATCTAGACAGATAGATAGGCTATTGCCCAAAATTGCAAGCCTTTCTTTGCGACAGTGCTTTCACCACGAATGTACGACGATCACCCACAACTTCGCGATGCCTCCACGAGGAACCCTTAACCTTTAGTATAATAAGGGGCTGGCTTGGGTGAATATAGCCGAGGTTATAGATATTTTCCTTATTGGGAGCATCAAGGAGCCGATTAGACCAGGGGGTGCTGAGAATCAGCTCTTTGCCAAGTTATCATTTCGACTGGCCAGTCAATCAAGACGCCCCACTCTCTGGGCAGCACTTCTACAATGGCGTACACCTCACCCTGGCCAGTTTTGCCAATCCACCAAACGTGCTCCGGCGATGCACACAGCCCAAAGAAATGGGCCAATATACCAATTCACGGAGCCTCCTTTCCTCGAGTAACTGGATGTAGAGGAATGAGCGATGCAAAGGTCATCAGCCTTCGACAAGTTACCCCTCGGTGCTCGCCAGCTTCTATGCCGCGCTGGACTGATCCAATATACATAATTTTTTTCTCGTAAGCCTCCAAGGTGTAAGCGTCCATTTCTTCCGTATCATGCATCTCACATCCAACAAGTGCGCTAGTATTTCGCCGTAGAAGATCGTATAATCGTCATAATCTTGAAATTACCATAATCCTTGATAACCTCTAGCGCTGTTCCAAAGACTGATCCCGCGCCTCTTGCCATTTTCATCCATTCTAACTGGAAAGTATGGCGCCAAAGGTCGATCCTAGAGTGAGGCAAATGTATCCACAAGAAGGATTGACGTAAAGCATGCAGCGCCAGCCATCTCTGGCGTTAACATTTGCAACTTCTCCCAATGCTGGCGCAACGCTCGCTCAAGGTAGCTGGTACGACTGGCGAGCAACTTATGATCTGTGCGTATCCCCTTTGGAAGATGCAATGCCGATATAGCAAAGATCTGGTTTAGCAGGGGCGGATAGGAAAATTCAAGCCGCGGTACATCGACTAACCAGCACTGCTTCACAGCGGAAAGATGTATGTCCGGTAAAGAATCAGTTGTACTGATTGTGAAGTGGTAGAGAAGGCGAAGTTCAAGGTGAGAATCTCTTTCGCAGCGTCCCCTACAGTGGTCGGCTACTACATCGGACTCCATCACTGCGCTTTGAATATGATTGCGCTAGAGGCCTTCCGTTGGCATATGCGCGTGGTGCTCCGTTACTTTTACGGTCATACACACAAGGGACTCCATGACGACGGCAGTCTCGACAGGTGGGTTGGACTTCGTCGCACTTGGGAGCTCCAAGATCAGTATTATCTTTTTGATGAGATTGGAGATCTACTGGCGTCTAGGTGGCACATACCTTGATTCGACGAGCTCAACACCTCTAGCATCCATTGCGGGACTTTCTGTGATGAAGTTGGGGGACTTCTGCTTTTGATACGGTGTGCAAATTGTCCATTACGAATGTACTTCAGTAAAATAAATAGGCAGGATACACCCACGGTAATATGAGAGAAGCCTTGGTAGTGATTTGACAACCGAACTGTTTTTCTGCGGGAAATTTTGGGATTAGTGATTAAATTGTTCCTGGAGCGTGGCGCAAGGCGGAACTGCGTGTGCTGAGCACTCTGTGAATATCAGGTCGACTCTACTGCAGCGTAAGGGCTGTAGGTGACAATCTTAGGATGCTATGCACTGCTTCAATACTGCAGAGAAAACTTGCAAAAATAATGAATGCTAAACTCTGGCGAGCGTCCGAAATATCAGCTAGTCTCCGACTGCCCACAATCATAGACGCTGACCTAAGCCCCGTTGGCATTTATACACTACCATCGCAATGGGATTACTTTTGCTTAACAGCCGTCTTACCGTGTTCTGCGCTTGTGGCCATGTGTCCCTTGACCCCAACCAGTTACTAAAGCATAGCGGGCGTTATTCAGGTCGTTCCTCTCGTCGTATACTGTTTACCAATCAGCATTCTCTCCTTTCAGTTTAGGACTGAGGCCCTGTCTTGCTCAGAATTTGTATGGGCGGATCTTTCCCCTAACGCTTGCCTGGACTCTATTCAAGTACGATTTCCGTCTGCCACCTGATCATTGCCAGAAGGAACCCCAATATTGCTGCTCGGCCTCCCCTGATAGAAGTCCGGAGTATAAAACACAAACGTGGATGGCGACAGGGCGTCAGGGCCCGTCTCTTCAGTTTCGCCCTATGAGTAGCTGATACCAATAGTATAGGGTTGTTGCACTATTACTTAGCTTATCTCTTGGTTTTTCTTTTTCTTTTTCCAATTCGTTCCCTTTCGCTTTGCCTTTGCTTTTGGCAGAATGATATCAGTTATTCCCTTGGATGTTTCTTTCGCAAGATTCTGTTATATGATGTCGCGCTCCATTCTACACCCTACTGCACGGCTCCATGTACAACTTTTCCTGTGCAGCTGATAACCCCAAAATAAAAATGTATACGTATGTCTCTAAGATGCTAAGAATATGGATTGAGGCTTACACCATGGAACTCTTGTCAGTAATGCATATCAAACCGATATCCCATGATAACCTAAATAATAAATTTAGTCTTATAAACCACCAAAGTGGGAGGTGCTTGATCGATCAATGCTCTAGATTGCTATGGGCGGTGTGCCAGGTTACCTCCTGCATGAAATCAATGAATAAAAAATAAAGAATGCCGATCTCTCCGCCGATCATTCTAATACTGGAAATAATCGTCTGACCAATAAACTAATATCAAACTCCCACTTGTCTTCCGTGCTATGTCTTCACTGTAGGCCTTGCCTGTGTATATTGAAAGTAAGTGTCTGAAAGCCCACTAAAATGAATATGAGAGTCGCAATCAGCTCAGGAAGTGAGCTAAGCAGAACGCGAATGACCAGCGAGCCGGTGACTGGGTTCAGCTGGGCCTTCTGCGTACATTCGGCGATGAGTCCTTACAGTACGCGTATGCCGATGAACGTATGGGCTGCCAGGACACCATACACAAGCAAATAGTCATGTCGCTATCATTAGCATACCAAGTCGGAGTTCTCTATCTGGGATGACGAATGACTTGCTATTGTCCCATGAGAATATGATGAAGTTGCTGGTTGACATTGACCTTGTAGCAATGCGCACAAGGCCCAGGTCAGCAGGATCACCCATGCAGCTGTGAGCAGGGCCATGCCAGTCTGGAGGAGGGACAAGTCGTTCAGCGAGGGATCTCGACTGGCGAGGCCTCCCGCCTCGGCTGCGACTATTGCAACGCCCGTCACAGCCAGGATATGCATTACAGCCATGAACAACCACTGCACGCGTCGATTTAGCCCAGGGTCTCGCAGTGTTCTCCTACGATATCACCCCCTCGGTTATTCATCGATTAATAATGGACATGGAAGACATACGCTTCCTACAGAAACCCATCTACCGTAAGTAGTAGTGGAGATATTCCAACGCTGGATATGATCTCCGCAGCTAAACTGCCACTACCTATTGCCATGCTGCCGCCAACTATTCTGAGTGTACAGAATGCAAGCAAGAAAAACCATTCCAGTAGACCGGTCCGTCCGGCCATGGCGGAAGAGCATGTAGAGAACGGGAAAGCATAGTACAACATAAATGGCCAGCTGAGCTGCAAATAGTGCGCTCATGCTTTATAGGAAGGGAGGGATGGAGGGGATAGGCAGGAGACAATGAGACAGTACGTATAGTGTCAAGTATGCCGCAACTGGTCTCGGGAAGATTTCCTGCTTTTCTTCTGGTCTTTGCGGTAATGGAAGCCAACGAAGCTGAGCTTGACGGATGAGATAAGGAGAAATAAGGTCCTTATTACTTGGGCAATCTATTGGAAGCGCCTTGGGATTGAATCAAGAAAAATTGCAGAAAACTGGGGCAAGGGATAAGAGTGAGGAATTCCCTGTTCCTCTATTTATTTCTGAATTATTCTCCATGACCGTACGTATCCTAGATATATATATATGTATATATGTATATATATATATTTTCGCTCTAACCGAGTTGCCTATTGAAGGAGTGATACTAGTAGACGAAGACTTACATGGCGCTACTAAACGATACGGGGAATCCCTATATGACAAGGACGGTACCATTGGCCGACAACCCTAACACTGGCAATGCTTTTGCTTTTTATTCGTAGGAATCATTACATCTACGCCCAATCTTCGAAATAGATACATGGTTCCACCTTAAACCCAAGTAAGCAGAGAAGGATTTTTCTATACACGTCACAAGACTAGTCATGACAAGATGCACTGTATATCTTTTATATCTCCTATCAAATGATGAGAGAAAATACCACACATTCATACAAATCGATTAGTCTTCCTTATACCCTATTCCGGCTTGTCCTGATGGGAGTCATAAAATTAAATAGTATAAATGTGTGCATGTTCAAAGACCACTCCCGGTGATTAATATATATATATCGCCATAAAGCACCATGTCTACTTAGGTGTGAAGTGGATAGGGTAAGTCCCGCTTGACCAAACAAAAATCTACGTAGTAGTAGTACCTCCTCTTATATCCTCCTTTAGCTCTCACCCAGTATATAAAGTTGTTTATACCAGTAGTGAATCATTCCAGACAGTTGATGCGCTGTTGGAGGAGCTGTCCATCAACCAATCAGAAGCCGGCCCGCATTCGACCAAAAATTTCCAAGCGGGAAACTGGAGGTGAACAGATTCATTCTATCAATCAATCCCCTTCCTTCATTTTGTATCACCATTTTGCAGCTAAATTGACATCTATTTCACGCTCTTTTACATCACAACAACCCACGCAATGGTTGGACCAGCAGTCACCCTTACTCCTCTCTCCCGCGCCGATGGGTCGGCTTCTTACCAATGTCCGTCCACTGGATCCAATATCTTGGGATCGGTGAATGCGCCAATTGAGCTCCCTGGACGCCGTGATGCTCTCAGACCGGAAGATGCGACCGTGGAAGTTTTTGTTAAGCCGGGTACCGCAGCGGGTGGTGTGGGCGAACGATACGTTGAAGGAATCATTAAGACTATGCTGGCAAAGTTGATCCTGGGACGCGAAAAGGGCTACGCTCGGCGTGGCGTTGTGATCACCTTGGCTATTGTAGGAGGTGAAAGTGTGGGCAGAGGAGACTCGGTGCGTATTTGATATTCGATCCTGACGAGACAAGGCGAGCGGTTTTCAGCTAACCTGGGTGCGATGAATGTGCAGTACTTGTCTCTACTCCCCGCCCTCCTTCATACTGCCCTGCTGGCGTTAATTTCAGCCTCCGTTCCTCTATCTATGACTTTTTCCGCGACCGTTCTGGCTGTCGATGCATCCGGAGAGATTACTCGGGAGCCAACAACGAAGGAAGCCGCCGCGGCGACTTCTCTCCACGTGCTCGCCTTTTCATCCAATGGTCATCTTCTGCTGAATGAGAGCCAGGGCCCGTTTGACTTTGATACTTGGGAAAAGGTGCATCAGCGCGCTTTGGCCATCTGCCACGGGACTTTAGCCCGTGGCTCCGACGGAGATCTGGCTATGGCCGAGGATGTGGACGGCCAGCCGCTGGAGGGAGCGCTGCGGGAGGCTGTCGAAGAAAAAATCCAGCAGGATTACGCCTGGAAAATTGACGCGCCCTGAGTTTGTGGTTCACGTAACAAACCCTGAGCAACGAAGTCGGCATGGATAACCGACTGCAATGTTCGCCCATCCGGTAACCCACGGCCGATGCACCGCTGGCCTACTACCATGCATCACTACACTTCTCGCCATGGCCTAGTGGTCCCTTGGCGCCTTAATGTCTGTGTTCGACTGCAGCCGCGGGGTATTTCTAACACCCTCTGCTGGATATCATTGGCGCTCGCCGGATTTCCATTTGGACGGACCATTAGTGGATACGAGGGAATAGGATACGAATAGAAGTCAAGCGTCGACATGCCCCCCAAAACCCCCTTTTCTGGCGGTATCCGGTGCTTATCGCCCTTCACCCACAGACACTACTGCACACAAATTCAACTGGCGCATTTACACACGTACGACGCTAAGGGCGTTGTCCAACCAAAACACATGATAATGGCAAACTCTAGTGGATAATAGTTGAAAATGGAAAGTAATCTATCATTTCTCTTGACTTTTGTTGGGTGAAGGTTTTGGGGGGGGAGGGTTGGTTATGTGGAATGTGATATTCTGAACTCCGTAATGACCGGTCTCATCAGTAGTGGCTGTAGTACTGCATGGATGGATGTACAAAGTGTCGGAGTGGAAAAGATCCCCGATGGCAGGAGACGGAAAAAAAAAAAGGAAAGAAAGACAAAACCAAACAAACAAAGAATAAAACAAGAACAGTAGTAATAAAAAGTACAAGAAAAAGGTCGGAGTGTGAGATATCAAAAGGAATAATCCGGCTAATTATCGACAAGGAAATCACGGAGCCGAAGGGACGCCCCCTTGCAGATATGACGAAGATCGTGTCATTAATTATTGATGTTTACAAGAATGTGGTGATGTTTATCCCGAGCTTAAAAAAAGGAGACAAGGAAGAGTAATCATGTTAGTGAGTCTGAGGAGCGAGGATTATAAATTCTTGAATAAGCCAAGTTTTCACCCCGTTTGATCACGGAATTAAAACAGCCGTTTTGCGGAGATAACTTGTCTTAGAACTTAACTTACAGGATTTAATTTACTTCTCTGACCATGGAAACCCGTCGAAGGTGAGGTCAAGTCTCTCCACCGTGACTTCTTCTCTTTCCCTTGGGTCAATTGGAAGCCTTTCCAGCCCGTCATATCCGACTCCGGGCCACATCTCCCTCCCTTTCACTCAATCATCGCTGTGCATCCCTTTTCCTTTGTACTCCCCCCACACTTAGACTCACCGTCATTCGGAGGAATCTTACTTTAACATATAAATCGGTCCAATCGCCCCATGGCTTTCTCTGCATCTGACCATGGCCTAGCATGTTCTGACCCCACGGCGCAATCTGCTCCGGTATCATCGACATCATCTTCCGCCCCGCTGTCCGACCTCGACCGTCGTTCCTCTTCCACAGTCGGTACTACCCTACTCCGCGATTATGCATACCACATAGATCCCTCGCAGACCACAAACGAGAGCGATTCCCTCCCGGGGACTCGTAACAACAGCGTCGCTGCTTCGCGGAAGGCTGAGATCTCCCGGGAAGACTCCGCTGTCCTATCGTCGCCATCATCACCCTTCCTGCCTCTCCGCGCCGCGGCCTCGCTGAAGGCTCACCAACGTAACGCACTTTCCACCGACTCAATCCCTCGACAGACTATCATGAAAGCGCTTGCGTCTCGCCCGTCCATATCCAACCCGAATAATTCCAACATGCCGCTGGCGGCCTCTCTCGGGCTCCTCGCGAATGGCTCATCCTCCAGTCCTCCAGATGACGCCGAGCGTCGCGCCAGTAACCCCTCGTCCCAGAAGCTCTCCGCAGCGCTCTCCAGTCTGCAGCTTGGCCCATGTTTAGATGGCCTGCCTCCGACGGCGCGGTTAGCCATGAAATCGCCGTGCTTCTTCCATCAAAGGTTCGACGACGCCGTCAATATCCAGAAGGTTCTCGAGGAGATTACCCACGACGAGTGGTTATCACACTCCCGCTTAGTACAGACGGCCACCGGCGTGCGTGAGGTGTCCAAGCAACTGCAGCGTCGGCCCATTAAACGTGCCGTACGGAATGTCATGATTGTTACCAAGGCGCGTGACAACAGCCTGGTGCACTTGACCCGGGAACTGGCGGAATGGCTTCTCGCGACCCCTCGATATGGTAAAGATGTGGGTGTCAATGTGTATGTGGACGCCAAGTTGCGGAACTCCAAGCGATTTGACGCGCAGGGGCTCTTGCAGATGGAGCCTCGGTTTGAAAAGATGCTACACTACTGGACTCCGGACCTCTGTTGGGAATCCCCGGAGAAATTCGATCTCGTCCTGACATTGGGTGGAGATGGCACGGTGCTCTTCACGTCGTGGCTCTTTCAGCGTATCGTTCCCCCCGTCCTGTGCTTCTCTCTCGGTAGTCTGGGCTTTTTGACGAACTTTGAGTTCGAGAATTATAGGCAACATTTGAACGCGGTTATGGGGGATGTTGGGATGCGGGTGAATCTCCGCATGCGGTTCACGTGCACCGTATTCCGGAAGGACCGAAGCAAAGGAGCCGAGGCCGGGGCCGTGGAAGAAGGCGAACAGTTCGAGGTTCTGAACGAACTGGTGATTGACCGCGGGCCATCGCCTTACGTGTCCAATCTCGAGCTATACGCCGATAATGATTTCTTGACGGTGGTTCAAGCGGACGGGTGTATCTTGTCTACCCCAACGGGTATGTCACTTCCTCTTCAGTAAACTAGATATTCCAACTAACCCTGGGCAGGATCTACGGCTTACTCGCTTTCCGCCGGAGGTTCTTTGATCCATCCCTCTATCCCAGGCATTCTTCTTACACCCATCTGTCCTCATACTTTGTCCTTCCGCCCGATGGTGCTCTCAGACTCGATGCTCCTTCGCATTGCTGTCCCCATCGGCTCCCGCTCCACCGCTTACTGCTCCTTTGATGGCAAGGGCCGCGTGGAACTCCGTCAGGGGGACTATGTCACTGTCGAAGCCAGCCAGTACCCCTTCCCAACGGTGGTATCGGGTAGCGGAGAATGGTTCCAGAGTGTTCAGCGAGCACTGCGGTGGAATACCCGCGGGGCGATCCAGAAAAGCTTCCATCGCGGCTCCGATGCAGGCATGGAAGGGCTCGACGACGGCGAAGACGAAGAATGGGACATCGATACAGATGCTGGGCTCGCCGGCACGGACAGTGGCTTTGGGCCCAGTGAAGACGGCGACGCTGGGTCCATCAGCCCGATGAAACGGCAGATGAGCATGCTCAGCATGTAGCCACTGCCTCCCTTTCCCTCTTGCCTTTTTTTTTTATTTTTTTATTTTATTTAATTTTTTTTTTTTAGTTTTTTTTTTAGTTTTTTTTTTCTTTTTCCTTTCATTTTCTTTTTCCTTTTTCGAGCTATCTATACACACATCTTTGTATTACTGTTGGATACACACACTAGAAGTGTACTAGGAGCATCATGGGTTTTACTGGATCGGCGCTTGGACGTGACTTTTTGACGGGATTTGCACATTCTTTTCGGCGAAAGCGATAGATTCGGAAGATATTATCAGCACCACTGGCGGGTTTAGAGCATTTCGGTTTGCAGTTCTCTACATAAGATGGACGACTATTCAAGACAAGACCATGGATCTCTGGCTGAGATCTGAATCTGGTATTTAGCTTCATACTCCATTCTCATAAATCCACATTGTACATTGTCTTCTTTAATTAAAATTATCCCCAATCCCATCTCTAACCAACGTATTACCAATCACAAGAATTGGCCAAAAGCCCCGCCAGCTCCTCCAAAAACTTCCGATCAGCCTCATCAAACCCATCCACCTCCGTACAATCAACATCAATAATAGCCACAGTCTAGCCAACCACCATCATTAGCATCCTACCACCCACAATCCAAAGAGAGAAAACTCACCTCTCCCTGAGAGAGAATAGGAACCACAATCTCACTCCTAGACTGCGCATCACAGGCAATGTGCCCTGGAAACTGCAAAACATCACCCACAACAACCGTCTCCCCCTTCTCCGCCGCAGTCCCACAAACCCCCCTCCCAAACCGAATCTCCTGGCACGCCGGTCTCCCCTGGAACGGGCCCAGCCATAGCTTTTTCTGCTGCTCCTGGGATTGGCCTTGGGTATTGGGATTTGGGAACTTATCCTGGCGGATGTAGAAGCCGGCCCAGTTTACGGCGGAGAGCGGGGAAGGGAGGGCGGCGTAGGCGTGCCAGAGGAGGGAGGCAACATTGGAGAGGTTTGAGACCCAGTTGCGTTGGCCGTAGAGGAGGCCTTCGGCTTGGGAGAGGACTTGGGAGTAGATTTCGGGTTTTGAGGCGGAGGGGCCGAAGTAGGAGCTGTCGGCGTGGGGCTTTATCAATTGTTAGTTTTTTTTCGGTTGAGTTTCTGGGGTGATTGGTGAGGGGATTGGCGTACCATTCTGGTGAGGTATTGGGGGTTTTCTGGGTTTTGGGGAGAGGGGGGAGTGGTTAGTTTGGTAGAATTGAGGGCAGGCAGTGGGTATATGAAAGAATCATTGAATGTCGCAATGATGTAGAAGAATTGCTCGGAGAAAAAAGTGGGGAGGGGACGGGGTTAAGATAGCGATCTCGGAGTTAGGTGGGTGGGTATATCTAGCGTCTGGAATGGCTAAGGGTGTCTTTGGATTGTTTTTTATTGAAGTGGCCTTATTCATAGGTAGATCATTAGGGGGATATGGATAGAGGTATCTGTAGGCCATGAATATTAGGTGTGCTGGTTGTCTTGCTGGCGATAAGCGCTGCATGAAATCGGCATTCATCAGCCCTAACGGTACGGTACTTGACTCGATTGATGAACAAATACCTCCATGCAATATTCTCTATTGACTAGCTGCCTTACGGGTATAGTATATCTAGTATCATGATCAAGAAGACTAGCGATATACTATGGTTGAAGCCACCAATGAATCTTCTACTTTTCACGCTCACCATACACTTCATCCCAGTACCATTGTGAAAGCTAAGAATAATCCAACTCATACTAACTAATATACAAGGTAGAGATTCTCAACTATCCGTCACCGGTGTTTCCACCATCAGATACAGCAACGAATGGGCCACTTCGGCGGCAGCCAAAGTTGTCGTCTCAGCTGTCGTATCGTATATGGGTGCGACCTCTACAACATCTGCGCCTATGACTGACAGACCATGTAGAGCGTCCAAGATGGAAAGAAGCTCCCGTGTAGTAAAGCCACCAGGCTCTGCCGTCCCAGTCGCTACTATAGTTAACCATATGAGCTTCATATAGAAAGAATGAGAACACTCACCAGGTGCGTAAGCTGGATCCAAAACATCAATATCCACAGAGATATACACCTTGCTATCGCCGACTCGGGATTTGATTTCTTCTACGACTCCGTTTACCCCAAGTCGGTCCAAATCACGGGCCTTGATGATTTCGAACCCGCAGCGGATATCATTCCTGAGATCACCCTTTCGACGTATGACCGGGGCACGGGTACCAACATGGACTGAAGTGTTGCGAATAAGACCCTGTAAATTGTTAGTATATAGTTGAATTGAGTAGTATTTGGACGGAGAAAGACCTCTTCATGGGCTATGTGCAGGAAAGTACCGTGGTTGACCCCGCTTGAACATGTCAATTGGGTGGCCTGTCCATTCTGTTTTCTGGAACTTACGCATAGTGAGAGATACCACCACCTGCTATATGTGAGAACTTATTTCAATAGAAGCGCCGTACTATTAAAACAGGAACATACCTAGCACCTCAGGGTCCCAAGTATCTAAACAGACTAGTAAGATTCCTATATGGTGCAGATGCGAAAGAGGGCTTACCGATGTGGCTGTCAAAGTGAATTACCGAGACAGGTCCCCACTTCTCGTACGTTGACCTCAGGGCTGATAATGTGGTCGTGTGGTCTCCGCCGAGAGTAAGAATACGAGGGACACCACCCACATTGGTGGTATTCGTAGGACGTGACGATACTACCTGGGCAGTAGTTCCAACGATAAGTGGGATTGTAGGCTATATGAAACAAAAACCAGATGAGCACGTACCTTGTGTGCTAGATCCAGCTGCTTCAATGCAACCGTATTGTCCAGCCAGGTCAGCGGCACATCACCGCAATCCACCATCTTCGCCCAGCTTTCGAAGACGTTCACCCCAGTATAGATATTCCATCCTTGCAATCGACGGGAGCCAAGCCGAATTCCCCCAGGTCCGTATCTAGCTCCGGGGCGAGCGGTAACTCCCTGTAAAGCATAGTCAGTGAACCTTTACGAGGCCCCTGCACTGAATTGCAAGAAAGGTGATGATGTACAGTGTCAAATGGAGCACCCAGAACCGCTATATCATAAGGAGTGGACTCTGCCTGGTCATCCACTAGGCAATTTACGTAAGGTAAGTTGGCGAAGGTAGTTAACCCCGAGAATTGACTTCCGGTAACAATATCAACACCATAGTCTTTGCCGAGCGGAACTTGGCCGAACTCTTGAATAGCTGCTACCGGAGGAAAGACTATCTCCCTCGCTATGGCAGACGTAAACACAGTGAAGGAAAGTAGACTGTATGTATACATTCTGGAATCCAATACAATGAATGAAACAAGGAAGAGGAAAGGGTTCTTTATCATCCATCTGCTGATTTATAGACGTTAGGGCCAAGCACTATGACTTTCCCTTTCCGTTCTAGAGTTGAATCCTCTCTGCGTTATCGCCAAGGATACGGGGGGGTGGGGGGCCTCGGAAGCCGGATTCATATTATTAATATGCGTTTTAAGAGCTGATATAAGTTCTAACGGCTAGGATGAGGGCTTTCCTGAGAAAGCGACTCAAATCATAAAATCAGTGTCCTCTTGACATACATATATTCGGAAGGTATGAATAGCACCATGATGTTTCTCGCTGATAGGAATGAAGAGATATACTTATCAATCACATTAGGAGATTGATTTTTGAAACCACCTCCCATGACTCCTCAGAGGGCTGCTTATCGTGACACTGACACAGTGACATAGCCCCACTAACGGTTTCCCACCCAATCAGATTTTTAACATTCTGAATAATACCGTGCTCAAACTTGGGTAAACTGACCTCAAATTATGTCCAGATACCTAATCTCAGTAGGTATGTTGGTTCCAGTGCGGAGAATTGATTCGCTCCCCCACACTTGCAGCTCCACCGTCCATCGCGGAGACCTTCTCGATTGGGAAGGTCTGATAGCCTATCTATCTTATCGCTGTCAAGCCTCCCTCCGGTTATCATCAAACCAAGGGTTCCTCCATGGGGATACTCTTGCCGACAAGGAAGCTCCCCAGATATGGCGATGCCCTTTTTAAAGTCACCTACCTGCCCCTAGTGCCAATGGCTGCCCAGGGCGTGGATCTTCGAGGTGTCATAACAAGGAACACGACCAGCTATGATCATGGCAAAGGACGACGATAACAGCCAAGTCTTTTCAGAAACAACCCGGGAGGATGCCCGTTTGGAAAACTTGGGGTACGAGCAAGGTATGCGCTCCCTCTACAACGCCATGCTTGCCGGCTAATGTTCGTGTAGAGCTCAAGCGAACCTTCGGATTGTTGGGGATGATTGGCTTTAGCTTCAGTGTAGTGACCTCGTCAGTCGAACACCCACCCGCTTATACAATGATTGCTAACCTTGGGTAGATGGACAGCACTAAGTGGTGTATTCATCGTCGGTGTTACATCTGGTGGTCCTCCGGTCATGGTGTTTAGTTTCATCGGCGTGAGCCTTCTCACACTAGCAGTTGCTATCCCCATGGCGGAAATGTGTTCTATGTACCCCGTTGCAGGTGGCCAATACTCTTGGGTTGCTGCTCTGGCGCCCCCAAGTATTGCGCGTGGGCTTTCTTACATCAGTGGCTGGTTTATGCTCATCGGTATATATTATTCTCCCATTGAAACCTAGACGTGCCCTGGGAACTAATTGCCGATTTCACACCAGGTATCCTCGCAATGGGAGCAACTAATAATTCCATCGCCGCCAACTTTGTCCTCGGCATGGCCAATCTTGTCTTCCCCGACTATAACATCCAGCGCTGGCATACCGTCCTAGTAGCTTATCTAGTGGCCTTCCTTGCAACAGCACTCAACATCTGGGGTCCTCACCTCCTCAACCGCATCTCCCGATTCATCTTGATCTGGAACGTCGGCTCGTTTTTAATAACCATGATCGTCCTCCTCGCCACAAACGGCAACAAACAGCCCGCGTCGTTTGTGTTCTCAGAATTCCAAAACTTCACCGGTTGGGGATCAGCAATGGCAGCCATCGTCGGTATCCTGCAAGCCTGCTTCGGCATGTGCTGCTACGATGCCCCATCCCACATGACTGAAGAAATGAAATCAGCATCCGAGGAAGCCCCCAAGGCCATCATTCTCTCTGTCGTGTTGGGCGCTGTCACCGGCTTTGCCTTCCTCGTCACTCTCTGCTTCTGCATCGGTGACATCAATAGCACAGCCAATACGACCACCGGCGTGCCTGTCATCCAAATCTTCTACGACTCGACAGGGAGCAAAATCGGCACATGCTTCCTGTCCAGCATGATCGCTGTCATCGTCATAATTGCCGGGAACAACCTTCTGGCCGAAGGATCTCGTTCCGTCTATGCTTTTGCGCGCGATCATGGTCTTCCATTCTCCGATGCTTTTTCGAAAGTAGACAGCAAGCGAAATGTGCCTGTAAACGCCGTGGTCCTTACTCTCGTCGTTCAGCTCGCTCTAGATGCCATTGACTTTGGCACTACCACCGGTTTCGAAACAGTCATTGCTATTTCTACGGAGGGATTCTGTAAGTTCAGCACTCAGTTATCCTATTCCTTCTTCCTTGGTAAACCACTAACGAAGCTTAAGATCTTTCATACGCCATGGCTCTATTAAGCCGTCTACTTGGCTTCATAACGGGCCATAAGCCCCGAATGAGTGGCCCCTTCGCCCTCCCGCAGTCTATGTCAATCGCACTCAACGTACTCGGCCTCCTGTTCCTCCTCTTCGCAGCCATTACGTTTAACTTCCCTACTACCTACCCAGTTACGCATGAGTCGATGAACTATACCTCGGCGGCTATCGGTGTTATTGCGTTACTTAGTACCGTGACGTGGATAACAACGGGCAGGAAACAGTTTACAGGCCCGCAGGCCATGAGCGTGTTGAATGGGCACGAGAGGGAAGAAAGCGTGAGTGGGGAGATGGTTAAAAAGGGATAAATGCTACCCTAGTAAGAAATAATACAGTTATAACATAAACAGACTCTCTTGATCTATTGTATATCACGCATTAAAATGGTGTTCATGAATATATCTCGGACTATCGCCGTTGCCTGTGCATTACTGTGTCTAAAGCACAACCAGTTTTCGTCAATTTTTTGAATTATTCCACAATATAGCCCAAAATTTCCCAATGCCCCATGGAGTATTTGCTCGTGTTAGTATTGCTAGTTTCCTAATAGAGAAGCTGTGTCGAGTCGACCATCAACAGGCCCAGAGATATCCTTACGTCGGCAACATTGCTAGACCTAATTTCTTCATCACCTCGAGAGTTATCCTTGACATACTCGTTGGCTCGTTCCTAGCTTGTATTCTTCCTCGAGTTTACGGGCCGCCCCGATGTCGATTATACCACGCTGCTCGAATTTCTCCATCATTCTGGCACAAAGCACCCCTTCAACAACCACGCAAATTTTAGAAACTCGGGTTTTCCTGCAACGATCGCAGGCAGGATCCTGGACCTTCCCAGCTTGATGGACAAGGGCCGACTCGCGATACTGGATACGATCATGGAATCCGCATCGGCTTCGGCGCTCGAGAGCCATCGTAAAGCTTTGCTATGCTTAAATCTAATAAGAAACAGAACCTATCCGACCTCAAGATTGGCATACTTGGCTTCGGCCTTGACGTTTCGAGAACGTGCCATAAATTGCCCGGAGATCATGGTCCCTAGCATGCTCGCCGTGTGTATAAGGATCCAGTTGATGACAATATTCCCAAGAATGGGTGAGTCGCACCTTTATTTGACGATGAACAGGCACAGTGTCCGCAGCACCTTTTGAAGGGACAAAATGGCTTGGGCCATTTTCCGATTCCAGGCTTCATAAGCTGAATGCCAAGGTTAGGAAGTTCTTTCGCTAACTCAGTTGCCCCTCAGGCAACACTCGGAAATTGAGGTATGAGATTCTACCATCTTAGTAATGTAGAAAACCGTGTTGCCGTGAAAGGATGTAATCATCTCCTTCAGCCGGCGCAAGACCTTCGCCGTATTCGTTCTTTGATTCCTGACCGAGTAGAGTTGTTGCCCCTGACAGCAGGCCAAGTATTCATCTGCCTGAGCAATCGATAAAGGACTTTGTAGAGAGGCGAGACTCTCTTCCGGATCGGGCATCACGAGCACCGACGGAAAGGAGGAGGGTGTCGCCAGCCGCCTTGTGGTCAACTTTCCAACGTCGGTGGTGGCGTTGGAAACCGTGTGCTCGAGATACGCGCTGGCGGTTGGCTCAGTTCTCAGCAGCCTCAAGCCTCAAGCTAAGCCGATGTAACGGTCTGTTGTTCTTAGATGTTCTGTGTATGTAAGTCGATAGAGATAGAATGACGTTTGGCTTGGTAGGGATCTAAGCAGGCCTGCCCCTGGTTAGGGCAGCCATATATATGTAGACGAACAGGCTCCCGGTAAGCTGTTTTAGATTGCAATTATTTCTAATTGATTGAATGTTTGAAATGTCATAACTGCACCCATTATGCTTGGACCACTCAACTTCAATGCCCGTTGTTTGGCATGAATGCAGTAGTTCACTTGTGACCGATAATATTCTTGGGTACATACAAGTCATCGATACTCTGAATCTCTTCTTCACTAAGCTTGAAATCAGCAGCTTGAATAGCTTCAAAAACTCTCTCCTTCTTACTCATCCCCACAATCGGGGAGGTAATGAAGGGCTTGGAGAAGGCCCAAGCCAGTGAGACTGTGGCCATCGAGACCCCACGACTCGTAGCAATTTCTTCAATCTTCTCGTTGATCTTCCTATCCGCATCAGTAAACGGATTGCCATAGTACGCCCCATTCATCCCCTCTCCCCGGGCCGTGTCACTCTTCTTCCACGGCCGTGCCAAATATCCCGCCGAAACAGGGCTCCAGGGAATACTCGCCATCCCGAACTTAGCAAGCGAGGGAAACATTTCTCGCTCCTCCTCTCGATAAATGGGATTATACAGATTTTGCATAGTAATGAACTCAGTCCACCCATTCATCCGTGCCGTATACTGGTATTCTAAAAGTTGATGCGCCCACATCGACGACGCCCCGATATACCGGGCCTTCCCAGACTTCACAACATCATGCAGCGCCTCCATCGTCTCCCTGGGCGAGGTGTTGGGATCAAACCGATGGATCTGCAGCAAATCAACGTACGGCAAATCGAGTCGCTTCAAACTCGCATCAATACTATCGAAGATATGTTTCCGACTTAGCCCGTGCTGATTGACATAGCCGTTCTGGTCTCTTTCATCGTAGGACATGTACAGCGGCCTCTCCGCGCCGCGTCCGACTGGCGCCCAGACCTTGGTCGCGACAACGATGCTCTCGCGGTTCCAGTTGTACTGCTTGATTGCCTTTCCAAGAATGATTTCCGAATCACCGTTAGAGTATGTATTGGCTGTATCAAAAAAGTTGAGTCCCGCCTGGTAGCAGTAGTCGAGAACGGGGAGGGCTTCCTCTTCTGGAATCGCCCATGAGAGGGGCTTTCCGGGCGTGCCGTAGCTCATACATCCCACGCAGATGGGGGAAACGCGGAGACCGCTAGATCCGAGGCGCACGTACCTCATATTGAGGTTGGTCTTTGAGAAGGGGTTTCTTCAAGCTGGATGCACTGTACGAGGGGAGGTGAACGGCCGTATATGTAGGGTTAAATTGCGGAGTTAGCGGGGGTTAAGTACGGTTGAACGGCTTATATCCGACTGCATTGTCATTGATGATACGTGGGTCTGCAGCCTGGATTTGCCCCTCCTCTTGACTGCCAATAAGGTCCACGATCAACCTGCGAGGTGTTTCGCGTTTCCGGAATTGGACTGTGAGCATTGCGGCTTCTTGACCGCCGGGACCTTACAGCGGATTAGATATCGGGATGAAATGATTCGAAAACATGACTGTATACTTCATTTGACCAGATCGTCATATTATATGTACCGTAGAATCAGGTCGGGGTTGAATATATTTCTCAAGAGTAACGCTGCCTAGCCTGGTTCTAGCTATTCTATTGTCTTGACTTCAACACTGGCATAGGTATCATGTAACTGGTCATGAGCTAGTAATACAGAGTGCTTATTCCGGACGGTGGAAAGCTGTACCTGGAAGAGTAAGTACTCTGAACCCATCTTTGATTAGACTATGCCAGAGCCAAACCGGCACATGTGGCCCACAAATATGCTATATTATATATATAATAAATGAAAATTATTTGGAAATTAATACTTGTCTGTCTACCCATTCAAACTCTATGAGTTTATTGTGTGTTAGTCTATGGTTCTGCTATTCGAGGGCATTTGCGGTGATAGCAAAATGATGGCCACCCGCATCCTTCGTATATACTACGCCGTGAAACGCAGACTGTAAATCCCAATTCAGTGTGGGGGGTGGCCACTCCAGCTACTCTGAAGTGAGCCTAAAGAGAGGGAAGTGCCTACTAAAATCTTCCACTTACTAAGCCCCTCTGTCAGGACCAACCTATTCGATTAGAAGTTTAGAAGTCACTTCACAAGGTCACAAGGTTATAGGAACCGCAATAGTACTCAATATTGCATTCCACAAAGACGTCGTTGCTCGGTATTGCTTTAATATCTGGGAGACATTCGAGGAAGCTCGTGCGATCCATCATCAGTCAAAATACCTCTTTGATTCCATTGTCTCCTCTCCGATCAATTGCCCGGGCCTGACACTAAGAACACAACCGAGATGGCGTTTAACATGCGGGAAATGTGCCTGAGATGTCTACAAATTAGAATGCACGCTGAAGGTACAATATGGGCCTAGCTGGAAAGTTATCTCAGGATAGGTTCACATCGTAAAGTACCATATTTCTTAGCTAATATGATTCCTGTCATTTATACAACAGGCCCGCAATGCGGCCGTTTGCTCAATGGGACGTGTGCTTTATAGGGTCGCTTAGTCAAGGAATAAAGCTTGCTCTTAACCTTAGAATGTAATATTTTGGCTGGGGCTTTACGCAAAACAATTGTCGCACAAGGAGGCACCTCCTCTAGGTGAGAATAGTCATATAACGGTCGCTTCTCTTTGCTAGGGCTCGTCCTTCAGTTGTAGTTTTGATGTAGCCATACGTTAGGAAAGGTTCGAGGCGGGGGGAATGGCCTCCTTTTCTTGCCTGATTTCAAGAGAGCTATCGTAAGCTACTCTCTTCAGAGACATCGCCGTAACCTTTCGAGGTGATGGAGCTACCTGAGACGTTGTTACAATTAGTGTCCAATTTTGTGGGGACCCTTTTAGCCAGCCGTCCATGGAAAACAGAAGCCGAGCTGAGTAGAAGAAACATACTGGGGGCGAGGACTTTGTTATCATTAGACGATTCTCCTGAGACATCTCTAACTGAGCTCTGTTCCCACACCAGGCGCACTTTCGGTAATAGCAACACTAGTTTGACGAGATTGAAACAAGATGGGATTAAACACCCTTCTGGGTACGAAGCATAGAATAGATACATGAAGAATGACTTTTATTTTGTTTTAAGAACGAGCTGGCCCACTTAGTCCGAGTTTTACTGTTCAATATTTTGTCCTGGAGTTTATTCCGCTGAAAATTTAGGGTTTAAACCACCTCCTCAATAGAAGGTGTCACTAACAGAAAGGGCAGCAATTGAATTCACAAAGGTCTCCACAGGGTTCCGTGTGTTTCGTGTATTGTGTTGCATCGAGGATTAGAGATCCAACAACATTCCTTTGAGTCACTAGCCCTTGTAAGGGGCAGAAACATCATCGGCTACGCCGGATACGCCGGCTCAGGAGGTATACTCATTCCTAAGCAATGTTGTCTAGAAGCCTGCCTTTCCAGTTTTCAGTGTTCCCACGCTAATAGTGCATGGCGTCTCAGAATCTGGTTTGTTGGAACTATGATGAATGTAAATAAGCACATGGCTGTGTGATCGAATACTATCTGGGCAGCTAGCTTAGTGAAAGAAAACACCTCTAGTTATGTTGCCAAGTATAGCCAGTGTATAGCTTGTGGCAAAGCTCTTAGAAACAAACGAAGCTAGAAAGTTAAGCAAGCTGATCTTCCTCGATGGATACCTTACTTCACGCCACTGATTCGGCAAACTAGGTTTTGCAGTTCTGAAAATGAGCGTAACGTGATACAAGTACCATATAGTAAACACCACCACAATCGGCAACCCTCATCCGACCCGCTGCTTCTTGTAACATTGTCCTCACCTCGACAATCTAAAATTCTTGGAGACGACTTTGACTTGAACTAAGTGAAGTTATAGATATGTGCGCACGCAGTTCTCGATCGTCAGGTCGGAGCAGGAGGGCGAAAAGATGTATCAGGCCTACCTGGTCGAGCCGCATACTAACATCAAGGGCTTCCATGGAGACAGGAACGCTAAATAAACTGTATATTACACACTATTACATGCATCAATCCGCCTCCTCAAGGGAGAATGGAAAAGAGGACAAATTTGGTGGAAGCTCCAAGATCATCGCTCTAGACAATGCTGGTGGAAAAGATGACAGCATTGAAGGTTAAAAACCTGATCAGTTGACCTGAGTTGTTCGAGACAAAATGGAGCTAGAAGGAATCAATAGTATGGAAATTTATATGGCAATATCCCCAAATATCTCACCAATTCTCGGTTCCTGATTATTGGAGCCTGTTTATCAGTTAGCTCATGGGACTGCTCCAGTGAAGCTAGTGTCTGAGACGGAATATTTCGAAGTGCAACCGGTTCGGGAGTCGGAGTCTTAGATCGTGCTCTACCATCTTGTGTACTGACTGGGAAGGTAGCCGCATGGTTAAAGCGAGACTGTAGAATTTCCTCAGCATATTGACATAAGGTTGTAGAGTAATCCTCGATAGGATTCTGCCTGAGTGAGGATGATGCATACAAGAACAAAATAACCATGAACGCAAGTCCTGTGACAGGAACAGCGTCGTATGTCGGTCGCATCGCTGGCCCAGCTTCTCGGGATATAATTGACCCCATATTTTGTCTTGACAGTGGGAATAGCCTGTACCACCTTAACCGGGGCTCATTGTAGCCGTACCTTTCCACTAGATAAATACTGAAAGATTAAAGTCGATAGCCAGTTACGCCTATGTCTAGAGAGAGGTGAACCATGGTGTGGATGGATTGCTGCAGTCAATTCACTGAACGGTGTTATCGAGTACTTCTATGGTCATCTAGTATTCCATTTCCCTCCAGTGTTTTAGCTAGACTTAGAACAGAGTATATATTTGCGGGCCACAGCGTGAAACTGGAACCATGCCATGTTGGATGGACAGCCGACCGGCTGGGGCAGACCTAGTCCCAGGCAAGACCCAAATGTTATTAACACCATCTGCCACCTGATTAATGAGGTGGGGGCGCGGGGGAGGAGGGTGGGGTGAGAAAGAAAGGAAATAGGGAGTTGAGGAGTCTCATCCATTTCCGATCAAAACGATATCAACTTTGGCAGGAAGCCCAAGTCACTGTTTCAGAGTCGCGGCTTTGAGTGGATGAGCAATTCCGGAAACCACGACATGGACGGCCAAATGACAGTTGATTTACGAATGATCTGCCCCTTCGATCTTAGAGCTGCCTATTATTTAGGACCTGAGATATATTCAGGAAGTTGGCCTCCAGGAGATGAACTAGGCAGGAAACAATTCGAACCCAAGCCAAGCGGAAACAAGGTTTGCCTTGCTAGTGACCTCATAGATGAGACATAGCGTTATTCATGGTTCCAACGATCATGGTAGATGGGGGAATGTACGGACTATCTTGTCAAACCAAAGGCCCAACGTGTGGAACTTGTCATAGATATTGGGTAACTGGTGGTGATGTGGGGAGCCCCCTTGAACGGCCTGAAGGGGGAGCAATATAGATCATGCGAGGGCCTCTTAGATGGTAAAATGGCTGGCTGCAAATTGGGCAGCTAGCATCCTCACTACAAAGCCATCTATCGATGCATGGGGGGTGGAATGATCGCAAGGAAGAAGCCTATACGGCGAGGAGGGACCTAAAGTCTCCAAACAGAGCACACATTTATGGGAAGATTTCTACAGGACCGTAAGAAAAGTGTTGCAGCCGTGGTAGATACGGTACGACTTACTATCGCTCCACTCTGATCGTCCAAATGCGAAGGACATCTGCGAGAGCAACAGACCTCGTACCGTCAATCTTCCACGCTCTGTCGGATGTGGAACTTGCAAGTAATACCCAGACATTCTGGTATGACATTTTGGCCGAGAAGTGGGTCCAGCCAAAAACTGTATCTCCGCTCTTTTACACTATTTTATAGAAGCTCCAATCGGAAGAGCCGGACCAGGCGGGCAGGCATTTTAACGTTGCAGTATCTAAAAGAAAATGTAGTCTAGGGTTATGTAGTCTTGCGCCTCTCCTTGGCCACAGCTTAACTTACGACAACTGCAATTAAACAATCAATTCAGCTGCAGTTGTCTTACAACCTATATTTATCTAAGTACTCCTTTCCCACTTAAAGAGACAGACCTGTTTGCACAAGTAGATATTATGGAACTAAGAGAAAAGACCCCTAAAAGACAGCGTCATGGTAATATACCATAAAGTTAACATGTCCTGTTCTCTCTGTAAACCGCTTTGAGTTTCGTCACCATTCAGATATTAGGGAGAACCTGGAAAGCGAATGGGCCATTCCATCGGATCTAATGTTTCACTCGGCCACTCATTGGATAGAATCTGCCGAGGAATGTTAGGTGATAAGGTGGGCTATGGAACCTCAAGTCCAATGCGGGTGGCCAAGAGTCGGCTGGCGCAGATGGCCGGCCACCCGCAGGGTTGGCTTTGAGAATCAAGTACGATTAGAATGCTGGATCTTAGAAATCACATACTATGAAATGCAATCTTGATGACCCGCCTAGTTCGATCAAAGCTGACTGGAGATAGCCAGCGCCTGCGCCCGATTTATTTACCATAGGTGGTTTATTCTACGAAGAGAGAAGAAGAGAAGACACTCTAAGAGCGGTTCGAAATAAGGTGGGTTAAAAACTACCTTATTGAGAAGATAAACTGCGCGCTGACGATACGCTGGCTACCTGAGAATAAGTATCACTTTTATAGCCAGTGTTCCAATCTTTATATTACGGCGTCGGTTATAAAGAGAGAGTCGTGTACTGACACTTGGCGCCATACTGGAACTACACGCAGAAGACTTGCGAGCGGATTTTATACCTGTGTAGACACTGGATCTATCGGTTATATCTTACCTATGGTAATCTGCGTGACCAAGTATTGTTTTCTGGGTGTGGGTTGTGCTGGAAGATAGTTGGCGTCGGCAGCGTAGCTTTGGATTTAAGATAGATTAGTAGCTAGAATATTTAATATTGTACAAGACAGTGAGAGCTAAATAGTTCTAGTGATATTTATATTTCCTTAGTTGGGTACAAATCCCTACCGGATAGATAACTATCGATTGGCAGCAATTGTGGAATATGGGTCTTTCTGCCAATCTGGATAAACTCTCTGCACCTGATTAGACTCTCTTAAGTTACAGTAATATAAAGAATTGAATTTATGAAATAAGCGGCCCTCAGTAACTCTTTCATACTCTTCACGCTGTTATCTGTCTCATATCTGTTACAGCGTGTATAAGGCGGCGCGAGGATATATGGACTCCTTGGTAATTCCTTGTCTATGTATATAGAACCCTGTGCGACAACGACATAATCCGGGTCGGGATATAAATATAGGTTGGGGTCAACATTTTTAAATTTCGGCCTTATATTAATTTAGCATCAGAATGCTAATGTCTCACAGCTCCGGGATACATTTTACTGTTGTCATCCATTGTTTTTGCCTCCGTAAACGTAATTAAATACAACCGCCAGACTATATATGAAGGGAAGTCGACTATATACCAGATTCATTGAGTCCCGGATATAGAATCTATTTTTGAATTGTCTTTTCAGTCGTTTCTATGGATTATTTTGGTTAACACACTAGTTTCTCTACTTTTTCTAAATTGGAGTACTGCATCGTCTAGGAGAATCCACCCTCGGAATGGAGTGGAGTATGAATACTGTGATGGCACCCTACAGAAAGCAGGATGCAAAGGATTAGGAGGAAACTCAGACTATCTTGTTCAAGAGTTCAACCGTATCCCAACACCAGTATACAACATATCTGTAAAGCACAAAGAATTTGCAATCGAGGTGATGGAAAGGACTCTTCACACAGGTACCCGCCAGGTGTTGGAAGGTGCCTCACCTGGAAGAGGGATGTTCCCCTGCCTGCTCCATTCCACGAAAGTGTAATACAAATATTCAACACTAAACCCCAACGCCGGCCCCCCCAAAAAGAAGGTGGATTATGTTGACATCTTGTCCTGGTAGGTGTTATATTTAGCCACAGCCCGTCTTACCGATAACGCTCCTTGGGAGGACAAGACAGCAGAACATTCGGATGTCCAAAATGATCTAATGCTCGGTAGCGTGGACCATTAAAATACGCTACCAAGAAATCTCAAATTTGTTTTTCATTTCCACTGGTTTGTCCTCGTTCGCCCATGTCGGAGGAACTCGAATGTCCAGTTTCTGTGTATCGATAAGAAGATCTGCTTGTTGTCTCTGGGCTATAGTTCTTATTCTGTAACTCATCGATAGCATGTGAACTGACATTACTGGTGCTAGGGACTGGGGCATAGGTATGTGAACTGCTCTCTCGCACAGGATGTCCAGCTCCAGCTTGAATTGCGCCGTTATCAGTCACGCTACTAGTTGCAGAAAAAGCTAGATCGCCAGACCCAAAGTATGTTCGATCCTGTTCCACGTCAGCTGTGGCTCTTGTTGTACTGTTGGATTATAGAATGCAAAATATTACATTAGACTTATACCTGAATAGTCCTCTGCGAGGCAACCTTTCATAAGTGCTAAGGAGATGTTTCTCCCGCTCAGAGAGCGGCTAAAAAAAAGTGTAAGCAAGGATTACTCGTTGTCGTAAGGAATGATCTCACTTCAGAATCAGGGTTTCTGTCCTCCATTACATCTAGATTGGAGTTCAAGCCAGTATGAAAAGAAACAATGAGTTGGAGAACTACGAGAATCTGGAATGGACTATTTGCTGGTGTAGCTACTTGTGATGACATAATAAGCAGTTTGTCAATTACCTCATAACGATATCCACGACTGATAACCTTACACAGTGGGAGGCGCCTAAGAACATGCCCTTTAGGTCTATGAATTAGGAATCATCATCCCCAGGCGTCACAAATATTTCTCATTCATGCAAATATGACTAGATGGAGCCAAACTTATTACCTACTGTACATACAAATTATGTTTTCAGGGCTCCGGTTTTAGGTGTCTCGAGTAAAGTTGATCGGGCCCGCAAAATCGATTTTTGACGTTTAATTTCCTTACCGCTTTATCAACCGCCTACCTTTTTAAATTACTATAGAAAAATCACCTTTATTTCTTCAACTCTTGTACATAACTATGCCTCCCTCAAGGATTGGACTTGAGCTGTACAAGGCCGAGATTACAACTCTGTATCAGACAAAGGAATTAATGGATGCAATTCTAGATTATCTTCAGGAGTCATTTACTATTCAGCTCAGCAAGCGTACGCATGAAATACGTCTTCAAGAATGGGGTTTGCTATGCCAAGATCGTACAGTTGCTTTTGAATCCTGAAATACAGACACGAATGAAAATACTCTTCTTTTAGATTGGTCTTAAAAATAAAGCAATTCTTTAAGTTTTATATAATAGAGGAACAACTATAGCACCCTGTACGCTTAGATATTGATATGAATCTATACGAGACACGTGATCGCCTAGTGGCTTGGCCGGATCACCAACTCCTCTTCCCCTGAAGGCTTTACCAATTAATCGAGAGAGAAGCAGTCAAGATAGTTGATACAGTCGTCCATAGAATTGAGTATCTATCGGAATGGCATCCGGTCCTCAGTAGGCTACGTACGTGTAGCAGATACAGCACCATCTTGCCCATCTTTCCCCTGAGATCACAACAGATATGTATACCGCGCCTGGGAAAATCAACTCCGATCGGAGGTTGATCTTTTTACCTATTGGAAAGACATGTCTAGAATTGCTAATCCCAGGAGTAATCCTTTAGATATACTTTCTTTAGAAGCTGTCTCCTTATATCTATTGTACAGTATTTCTTAATCGAGTTTTAGTTCGTCGGCATAATCTGTAGCGCCAATGAGGAGAATATATTATACCTGGACCAAATTTTCTTTGTTCAGTAAATAGTTATATAAAGCTTGAGCCGTACGGGATTAAAATATATATATACAGGTCATCGATGCCTATTCTCGCTATATTACCTGGATCTACTATAGTATCACTGCTCCTACAGCTGTCAGTCTCGTGAATTAATTTCTAGATACTGTTGATACTGTACAACTGCAACCACAAAAGATTAGATCTGATTATAGCTCTGAAAGAGATTTTTTTAAAGATATATATCTATAATTCGTACATAGACTGGTGACTATATTCGATCTGGAATATTTATCGAATCTGAAAGCAACGTAACCGGCCAGCTCCTGTTGCTGGAAAACTATATATGCTCTATTATTATCCGGAAGGTGTAAGAGACTATAGAGATCCTATTACAGAAGTAGACTCTGGACAAACAACGGCAACGTGTATAGGAATTTGGTGAATAACTTCTACTTATCTGCTATACAGCTTCAATACTAATCAGCACTATAGATATTAATGAGTATCTACCAGCAGGAAATTTTTATTTCTGCCGTGCAGTATTACTGGGGATTGGCTTTGACCCTGAAAGCCCACCGCCACTTCGGCCAGGTAATAAGGCAGCTTCTTTTAGTACGATTTATTTAGAGCTAAGAGGGGTTATTAGCTTTTATATAGATCTATTGGTTAGGTCTTTTCTTAGCTTATCATCTCGACCAACAGGTGGCCGATATTGGAATCCAGAAACGGAATAATGTTGTACAAAGAAAAGTCTAAGCAGAGCTTTTTTCTAATAAGAATGGCTTTTCCTTCCGGTCCACAGTCACATATCTCGAGTTTCTTATACAAGTGTCAAAATGCCTCCTCCAGGGCTTACTTTATTGTGTGGAAACGGGTGAACTTCATACATCAACTGAATGTACAGACTGTGGTACAAGATCCTCCGAAGTTGTTGATTTAACTTCTTCTCCTTCACGTCCGGACTCTGTATTATTCGTATCACAACGGATTCCTGCCTTTCTTTCCCGTATATCCCAATCTCAACCCTCATTAGACCGACGTGGATCTTCTACATTGAGACAAACCCAGACTCCACGTCAATCATTCGCTCTTAAGATAATCATATCCTTTTATCTTATGACAATTGATGTACGAAATGGTCAGATCACTAGGACTCTGGATCAGATAGGTATAGTTAGCTTTTGATGCCTTGTACAGAAGATACTGATGTACAATAGAGCAGGTCAAAACAGCAATTCCTGCTCGTACAATAGACTCGTTGCATGATCTTATTCATCATGATCTTGTGATAAATATGAGCGAAAGTATCCAGCAACTGTATGACCTACGCAGTGATGATGTTTACCGTTTGGCAACTAGTATCAAAGGAAATTCTCCAATATATCTAAGCATGATCATGGACAAACGGCAGGCTGCTAAAGATCTTCTTTCAAAATGGTTTGATTCTCGTATAGCTATCGGTGGGAAGGAGTACATGATCCACTTGGTCATTGAACGGATTATTACCTCGGGCAAAGAGGATATTGAGGAGGTTAAGATCAAGAAAGAAAGGAAAAGTACTCCCAGTACCGAAGAGGATAGCAGCACTATACAATCAGGTCTATATACACCATCTGAGAGATTTTCTGAGGCGGTACAAGAGCCTCTAAAACGCTCAGCAAGTGTGTCCTCTTCAGCTTTTGATGAGACTCCCTATCGGACGAGAAGAAGGCATGCTGTTGATGAACGAGATATGGATCGGATTTGGGGGTGTAGTCCCTTTACTAGTAAAGATTAGTTTTTGATTGCTTAGATGTACGGGTGTCTAAGGCAGATCAATAATACGTAGTGTTGTTATCTACACCTTAAGAGTTCTGTATAGCCTTACTTTCTGACCACAACAAACACCACCACCATCATCAGCATCTCCATTACCATGTCTACGTACATTTACAGGGGATAAAATGACTGAGCTTTCATCTCTGAATTACTTGTCCGACTTTCTATGTACTAACTCATCACTTTCATGTACAATAGCCCTCCTACCCACAACCAGCGTCCGTCCGTTCCTGCCTTTACCATCGGAGGATGGTTTCGCCACATGTACACTAACCTTCCTCCTGGCCGAAACCCAGTACTGTCTACGGGTAGGCTTGACCTTCACGCCCCTTGTATACATACGGACGAGGGACGCTGTTTGCTCTTTTCTCTTCCCGGAGAGAATATAGAATTTATTAGCGGCAGGATAAGACTACGTCAAACCCAGATATATCGGCCCTTACACGTCTATTCCCTACTTATTTAGTCTCGTTGATACCCGTTGGCTATACCTTGTGCACGTTGCCGCAGTGTACATGGTAGGAGGGTATTTCCCGATTACCGCCAGGTACGAGGCGCTTGCCGCGGAGCATGCGCCAATTTCAAATGGCCTGATGAAGCCAGTCAGTGCTCTGTATGAGATGAGTTGTGGCATAACATAAGTGGTTTAAGAGAGGGGCCCCAACTAGGGGGTTTAGAAGTCAGCGTACGAGGGTTATTCGTTCCTCTCAGGACGATCCTATCGATCTTGATACTGAAGTGATTGATCTGGATTCTAATAAGCCAATCAACTTGGATGAGGATCCGGACGATAATGACTGGCCAGAAATTGAATAAAGTAAGTACATCTTTCCATTAGTTTTGCTTTGCTTTGCTTTATATCACACCACCACCTGCCTCCCTAGCCGTACAGGGTTTATGTACGGCACCTGAATAAGGCTTGCACCTCTACGTGTTGTTTAGGACTAGTAGCCGGATGGTGAAACTGAGCAAGTCATGATCTGCCGGCAGAAATTGATAAGAAATCGTTTTTGTGGAGGCCGCTAAAACCGGCCGTAGGCAGGTTAGGGAGGCAGAACCCGCTCTGGGTATCAGATTCTGAGATCAGAGTCCAGCCAATTTTAGAAATTTCCATTGGGACTCTACTATCAATTTTTAAGACTGTAATAAGGCGTCATATGGAATAGGGATAGGTAGGTGACAAAGGTATATAGCTACACGGAATGACCAGGGAAGGTCAAATGCATTAACTACCCGATGTCCAATAGGCAACGTGGAAGTCGAACACGTCGCTAAATATAACAACGGCGAAACTGTCAATATCGTATTCAGCAGCCAGCTAAATCCCCAGCTTCCGAGAACTTAGGAAGGCTATAGATAACCTATTCAGTAAGCGGGACCGTCATATATGCCAGTCGGCCACTGTATTTTACAAAAAACTAGCACACTCATGAATCATGATCATAACGTCTCAACAAGCAAGCATCTAGGGGATATAGGAAGGACTGTATAGCTTATTGTAGAGGACTACTCTATATATTCTAGAAGATCATGTCTTCACAATGTATAAGTTCACAGCTAAAAGGACGCTCTATGTGGATACTGCTTTGATAACACATAAATCGGAAGGTTATTTTGTCTACCATCGTCCATATTTATTTTACTTAATCATTTGCCTGTGGGATACAAATCATCGGAATGTATGATGCTTACTTCTACTATTTGCTAAACCGACCCATAAATTCGACGCAAACAGCCGCTACCGAAAATGATGAAATGTATGCTCAAATTTCTTTACCTCAGTATGATATATGGAAGTGAATATAGAGCACTCCAACAAATGCTACAGCTCTTTATATTTGTTAAATTTCATAAAGTATGTACCTAGAGGACCTGATGGGCTAACAGCTATAAATGCGAAGGCTTTTACGATGCCACTGAAGTAAAAATGTTAGGTTTGTTTTCTGGGGCAAGGGATATTGTATGACATTGTCGCCTGTCTAGAGCACTTTTTGGTAGTGAAGAAATTTGATATTCTGAAAAACTTAAATAATAGTTCTTTTTGCTCTCCTTGAACACGGAATACAACACCCTGGCCTCTATCAATCAACTTATTATTCACTATATCTTTCACAATCAATCAGGTTTTGATCCGCAAGACCGCTCTTCATCATAATACTATTTATCAAGACAGCTCTAGCTACAGTCATCGCGTTCTCTATGTTGAGCACATGTGCATATGTGCATATGTGATAGATTCTATTGATATTTATATGGCTACTACTTGCACTGTATGATTACCTCTCATTTATACGCCTCTTACCAAATATCCCCTAAACCACTTTACTCCCTATATTGTTTCAATGTGCTTGATGTGCTGTAGCTGGTGAGTTAAAACCGGCTTGATTGCACTCAACTATCAAGGTCTATTACTGCGTTTTAAAGGAAGGTTGCTTCTCACGGGAGATTCTAAGAGAAAAGGAGCAGCATTTAGTCGAATCGTATGTACTGTCATCTCGACCTCCAGCCTCAGTCAACAAGCATACAGGCTGATCGTTTCCGAATGGAGGACTTGTGATAAGAATTTAATATATATGCACCGGTGTATTAGAGGGGGATATTCACCTTTTACCGATCTATCTTGCATATTTATGCTAGAACACACACAGCAGCGATAGGGAAAAACTATATTTCTCCCCCTTTCCGGCCGAATGTATTTAGTGTAGTAATCTGGGTAGAGGTCGGCACTTACGGCGGGTTTAAACGACCGCTTCGCAATATCAGTCTCTGCCGACAGAACTTTAGTGTCTAGCCCCCTGGCTAGCTTACTTGCTGAATACGGACACACCGTATAGTTAGTTGCATTGTATATCGATCAGCCTATCCTAAGCCCAGTGGCCTTGGAGATACGTAGCCCTCGTGGAGATACTACGTACAACAGGAAGGGAAAGCTGATTGAAAAAGCTTTTCAAAGCCGAGATGGATGCGATGGATTGCAGCGGGTGGAAGTGCGTATCCCGTGATGGCTCTTTTTGTTGGCAAGTTAGGCGAGGACGGGTGTCACCTATCTAAAATCATAAGGGGCGATTAGTGAAATAGACTGCTGGTCCTCAATTCCTGTTGCGATTAAGTTAAAACAAGGCTTGGTACTTTTTTTTTTCTGAGGACAAAGAAAACAGGCATTGTTCATTGGATAAATGTGCACATCAGTGGAGATATAGTTCAGTCAGGTGATACCCTTCGACGTTTCAATTTCACTCTTCTAGGGAAGGAAGACCGAATATAGGGATGATCCCCGCATGTACTCGTCGATTATTGTCTTACATAAATACAGCTGACAACTAATGTTTTAAGCAGCGTAGTTTAACGCATCTTTCGGACGGCCCGGTCAGGATCAATAAACTCATGATCGAACAGACTGACACGATGAGGCAATTATCCACTAGCGAAGTTTCTACATACGTACTGACTGAGGCAGTAGATCAGAATCTCTATGACAAAACGAAGGCTTTCTTTCGTCATCAAGCATATATCAAGCCAATGGACGCACGTATGGATACAGTGCATCCGCACGGGCTTGCCCTGGCAGCTTCGTAGGTCTGTCCTGCGTCTGCAGCCGTCCCTCCAGTGCTATGTAACCTAATGCAACACGATCTTGGAGCTCGAGCCAATGGCTGTGCAAAGTAGGATTAAACCCAGTTTCCAGCAAGCCAAGGACCAAGCTGCTGCCCCCAAGTCACACTAAGCCCAGTCATGAGGAGCGCCCCCTTGGATCGAAAAGGCAGTATCAGTGGCTGGATTTGTATTCCATGATGCGACGTAGTAAAGTTAGAATGTTATAGGCTAGGCAGCTGTTGCGTACTTTCTGCATGAGACAGCAGAGCTACTAGCAGAATGGTCCCTCGCGGCCGCGTAAATGTCTCACATACTTGGGTCGTGCTATCTTTGGCAGCTTTAACAAAGGGGGGCTTGGTAAGTAGAGAAGAAACAGCAACGTACCAAAAAGGGTGTGTTATACACGCCCACACCTATAATTCAGGGAGAGCTAGACATGCAGGGGTCTACCGAATCACATTGGTGACGCATGACCGATCAACACTCCTGGGCTCGAATGATCGACTGAAGGTCAACGTTGCGTCTGACGACACCCCTCCATTGTAGTATATGCAAGCCCTCCTTTGCTTGAGTCATACTGCTAGGCTTAAACTGCGACTGCATCTCTAATCGCGCCTTAACCGTTCGGGCGGGTCGAACCTACAGAAGAAGAGCATTTCAGTTAGCTGAAAAATAGATAGGAATTTGAGAAAGATACGTCGTTTTGTGAGAAAAACAACAATTTCAGTAACAAGAGAGGGTTGTTGGAGTAGTGTACAACTATATGGGGGGAGGGGGGGGGGGGGTCTAGGTGTCATCCTATTTTTATTTTTTATTTCTCTTTCCAACTTTTTTAGTCCTCTTGTAAACAAGTAGTATACATCAAACATCAGAAATCGATTGGATTTCAGATCCAGTGGCCATTATTGGATACTAACAATGGACTAGCGGGGCTCAAATCAAGGAATCATTCAGCACCACGGACATGCAGCACTTCCGAGATTATTAGTATTGATATTAATATTAATCGGATAGTACTATCTAGGTATTTTGGAATGACCCAGTGTGGGGGTCAGTGATCAGTGTGATGGTGGTGTGGAAGTCGTCTGATCGCTCCGTCGAGTGTGGGTGACTTAGGGCTTATCACACATTTATCTCTGCCTAGAGACGCTCCGATAACTATAGAAAATGCAAGGCAAGGTATCAATCATATTTCTTAATGAAAGATGACATCTCATCGAGTGGCAAAGTCGTATATTGAATAGCATACAGAGGTGGGAGTCGGCAAAGTCTCGTTATAGACTTTTTATTAGCATCCTAGTCAAGTCGCACCGGCAGCTGAAGATCGACTGTGCGTGCCGAATTGCTCGGATCTGGGGTCACAACTAAGGGGATCTTCCATTTCAGATACCTATCAGCTGGCGAGGGAATGACTTGCAGCCTAGCCGGCCGCTAGTGCTGGCACTAAATCCATCACACTTGAACCCCCTTCCAGTTATCAACCAGCTTGACCCTCCCAGACAATCAACTGTTAATGGATCCAGTGGAAAGCGGTTTCAACTGCGCCCTTGTCGACAAAAGATTCAACACCCTCTCGATTGTGAATCAACACCGGGCGCTCTCCATGACGACTGGCGCCCTTCTTGGTTAGTCTGGTCGCATTCGATGTGAAGTCGAACGGTCTAGGTCAGCCGATTTTGCCGCGTGTGGTTACAACAGGTTTCTCCTCTGATGGTATCAGTCATCGGTGACCCATGTGGAAGTGTAAGGCTCAGCTTAAAAGCGAGTACACAACCCAATCCAGTTTACATCTCTACTGTGTATATAAGACGCGACTACTTTCCCTGTTGATCCCAGACGATGTGCTGGAGGGCTGAATTTTCGCCGAGGACTGCCCAAACTGACCCCGTGCACACACACTGAAAGATTATTGCTTCTTTATCTCCCTTTGGCACATCGGTACTCACGGCACCTTGGATACAATTTGCCACTACGCTGCATTACACTGTACTGAATATCCTACGATGTTTAGTTTGATATGCATTGTCGACCATTGAATTCCCTTCGCTTCTTGAATCCGAGTGAGATGTGTCATTAAGTTGAATCCCTGCTAGCCCCGAATTCCTACTAGCGTCCGTCGCTTCTGCGGAAACCCAGTCCATCATTCACCAAAAGGGAAATTTATATTGGAAATTGAAGGTACTACTGTCAGCCTTTGAGCCAAAAGACCGCAAGTCGATAAACTTTGAAGGGTTTGGAAATTTTAGAACAAACTATCCTAAATGTGAGTAGAGACTTGGCTTTTCTTTTTGGTTTGTTTGTTTCATCTCCCTTTCCTTTCCTTTTTTGGTGGGCCTCCCAGTCAATGACACCGTGCCGCGCTTTGCCAATTTAATCCCTCGCAGATGACCGGGGGTGGGGAAGTAGAAGTGGGGAATGAGAAGGAGTGGATTCCCATCGTTACCATTCCCGTACCGCCCCCGTACCGTCACTTGGCTTTTGCCCCTCCCCATGACGCCATTTTGGTTGGTCTTTCCCCGCAAGCTAACGCTTGCATAGAGTTCGTCGTTCCATGGTTGGTTCATTGAATTTTCAGGGGAAATTTTTATCATTTTCGTCTTTTTGTTGACCCAAAAAAAAAAAGAAAAGAAAACAACAAAAGAAAAGGCAAAGAGGAGTGAGACCGACACCGAAACAATTCATACCTCTCGCATGATTCGTTACCGGTTGAGGGGTCGGGTAGACGTCGATCCGGAGTACGTACGACGACTGACTTTCTGGATCGTTGAATCGTCCCACTGCGGGTTTTGGTAGACACCGAGAAAAAAAAAAAAAAAAAAAAAAAAAAAAAAAAAAAACGAGAAAAAATGGGAAAAAAAAACCCAAAAAAAAAAAAAAAAAAAAAAGGGAGAAGACACAAATACAATATAAACCCTTCAATGGCTCTTTCTCCACGATCCTCTGTCTCCGGCTCTTCTTCATCCCCTTCAGTCTATCCTTCGTCTTGCAGTTCACTCCATTCTCCACCATTACTTAGTGGTAAGTGAAGTGTGGAATCCTTCCCCTCTATCTCTTCCAAGAAAAAATTAATATTTTTTTTTCTTCTCTTTTGTTCTGGTGTGTTTTCCCTGTCTCGCCCCGGATCATCTGATATGTCGCTTGTCCCTGTTTCAATTTCTTTCATGATGGTCTGGTCCAATAATTGCTTTGTTTGCCTTCTCCACATTATTGCCTTACCAGAGGGGGGCCTGACTTGACTTTCCAATTGGCTTCAATTTCTCACTTTGCTGGCATTCTCATCCCTTCCCCACCTGACACGTGTGGCATGCCTGGTCTACAACTTTCTCCCGCTGATTCATACTGATCGCGTGTTCCACAGCCAATCTCTCATCATCGTCGTGGTCGCCGCCTTCTCATCGTCGTTCAACTGTTTGTGCTCAAGACCAGCTGGAAAGCTTAATTGCTAGACACGGTCACCCCACGCGTGTCTCGCTCTCATCCTTGGAGGAATTAACGGCCACCACCTCCGCATATAATCCTCCCTCCTCCCGCTCTCCGTCGCCGCTCTCAGAGACCACCGATTCCTTAGAGACTCTCTCCCTCTCCACATCCGCCTCCAGGCCAATTCCGATCCCTAAGCCGTCGTTCCACACCTACCAGGACGACCTCCCCGTCACTCCTTTGACAGGCCGATTCGACAAGGGCTATTATTTCGCCCATCGTGACCAGGCTTCAAACAAGGCCCGAGGCAAGCCGACTCATAGAAGTCGCCAACATCCTCATCGTTCATCACATACGTCAGCCAGAATGCGTTCGGATAGTTCCACATTCTACGCACCGGTGGTGTCGCCGTCCATGTCTCCATCCGCGCGTCCTTCCTCTCCTGAACCGCCTCGTCCTCGGGCTCAGAATCCGACTAAATCGGTTCCAGCCTTTCATCTTAGCAACCTGCCACGGTTTCACCCGGCCGTCTACCAAGCGTCGGGCAACTCCCAGGGACAACCTCCATCGCCGCGTCAACCGCGGCAATCCTCCTACCGCACATCCTCGGGCTCTCGGGACACAATGTGGCAGTACCAGGAATTTGTGGAGGGCGTGACCCTGTCGAGGACCCCTTCTCGGCCGCTCTCTCCGAGTCCCTCCGCCCCACGTTTGGACCCCCTCTGCAGCCCGGGACCTGTCACTCCCCTCGTTCTAGAGGAGGCAAGTGGCTACCTTATCTCTGGCGCAACCAACTCGTCCCCTTTTACCTTGCGGGACAACCAGTCCGGTCCGGCACCGGATTTGGTGGACCGAATGATCACTCGTGAGAACGAGCGAGCCCGTCAATCGGTCAAGAAGGGCGCCAAGACTCGCTGATGGCATGCGTCGTCCGGTGGAGATCTACTGCCCAGAGTCTGTCGCTAACCCGTCGTCTGCCCTGCTCGCTGGTTGATGGCCTCGAAACGTCACCCGCCAGCGGCATTTTCTTTTCCACATCGACTGCCGAGACTATAGATGATCTCCAGAGACCTTAAAAAGACAGCTTTTGCATGTACTACGACCTGTGTATTTTATACCCCATATAGCCTTTACATTCTACTCTTTTCTTTGTCCTGTGTTGCTACCATGATCATTCATATTTATTTTTTGATATTCTTACGATCTTCACACATTTTTGTTACTTGTCATGTTCTGGGTACTTGCAATTGCATTACCAACATCGAACAGAGCCAGACTGTTTAACCCGGTTTAGAATGAATTTATGACCTCGAAATCCATACTATGGGGGAAAGAGAAGGAGCGAGCACCGTTCTTAAGAGAAAAAAAGAAACATGATAAAACAAAAGCAAAAACAAAGATAAGAAAAACCAAGGGGAGCGGCCGATGCATATTGCTTCGCCACTGAATTACTCTTGTTCTTTCATATATTTTTCTTTTATTTTTTCTTTTTTATTTTTTTTATTTCGACAAGATATCGGAAAATATATTTTGGGCTTCACAGCCGATGTATAGACAATGCATGCTCAATTCATACCAATATCGCGTCAATAACGACGGCTACATATTTCCTATTTATAAGTAAAATATCTCTCTCGATGATATGTATTGTCCATGTATACTGTACGTATGCAAGACTTCTCCAGTTATTATTGTTACATCTCGGGGTTAAGACGCCAAGTCCGGGAGGCTTGGCACGGGTAAATAAGAACAGGAGACCGGAGGTGCACCCTTCCTCCCCGACCGAGTTTTGCGGGGCAGCACTCCAAACGATCGGATCTTCAGATTCGACCTCCCAGTTCTCTTTTCTCTCTTTTCAATGGAGACCTTGTTGTCCACTACAAGTCCCTAATCGCATCCTTGATATGCTCTCATCCAAAAGTCGATCGCATCAACGGATGGAGACTACGCAACGTCGCTAACATCGCCCATCGCCTAATCCGATAGCGGAACCCCAAAAATTATCTTTGCGAGCCTTGACTCGTGCAACGCTCAATTCCCTGCGCAGACACCGCAATTCCGGATAATTGTCGCCCAGCGGTACTAGAGGGGAGGAGATACATATAACCCAAAATGTCGACAGCACCATCGTCGTTACAGACACCAGCCGCGTCGTCAATACCCGAGCATCAAACACCTCAAAATATGGCCGCAAGGGGAGGAGATCCAGCTCCAACTACAGATTCGAAACGTAACTATAAGGGCTTTGTGGCTGGGGTGTTCTCTGGAATTGCAAAGCTGAGCGGTATGTTTCCTCCGAAAATGTTATCGGAAGAGACTCTCTGGCCGCTCCATTGTGATGTTTACCATGGCTAATTCGTTCATCGTGGAGTTTAGTCGGACACCCGTATGTGATATTATGTGATATTTCTTTTACATCACGCGCCACGCGCCTTTGTCCTGCGAGGATATTGACCTAGTGTTTGGTTTAGATTCGATACGGTCAAGGTCCGCCTACAGACGAGTAAAGATGGGCACTTCAAGGGACCGTTAGATTGCGTACTGCAGACGGTGCGGAAAGAGGGTGTTAGTGGATTATACAAGGGAGCGACACCGCCGCTGGTCGGATGGATGGTGATGGACTCTGTGTGAGTTTCGTTTGGCCGTTTGCTACATCTGAAGCGGGTTGGACGCTGACTAGGGATTGCAGCATGCTTGGCTCCTTGACGTTGTATCGCCGGTTGCTCCTCGAGAACGTATTCTCTAACCCCGAGATTCGCCGGATAACACCATTTGCCAAATACCAGCCTGATCTGCACACATTACCCAGCTTTGGTCATGGAATTGCAGGAATCTTGGCCGGAACGACAGTCAGTTTTATCGCCGCGCCTGTCGAACATGTCAAAGCGCGGCTTCAGATCCAGTATGCTGCCGACAAATCGAAGCGCATGTACAGCGGGCCGATCGATTGCTGTCGCAAGATTGTAAGTAACCATGTGTCGAATGTGAGGTCGGCATGTCGCTGACCCGGGGCAGTTTCGCACGCATGGAATCTCCGGCTTATATCGTGGCCTGTGCGCCACGATATTCTTCCGTTCCTTCTTTTTCTTCTGGTGGGGATCCTACGATGTGCTATCTCGACTGATGCGGGAGCGGACGAGCCTGTCCACCCCGGCCATTAACTTCTGGGCCGGTGGTATCTCGGCGCAGATCTTCTGGATTACCTCGTATCCGTCCGACGTGGTGAAACAGCGCCTGATGACTGACCCAATGGGTGGTGGCCTGGGCGACGGGCAGAGACAGTTCCGGTGGTGGAAAGATGCTGCGGTGGCGGTCTATCGGGAGCGCGGGTGGAGAGGATACTGGAGAGGGTTCGTACCCTGTTTCCTGAGAGCATTTCCGGCGAATGCGATGGCCCTGGTTGCATTTGAGGGTGTGATGCGGTGGCTGCCTTGAAGTTTGTTCGGCAGCCGGTCGCGATATTACTCGTTGACGTACAGGAAAAAGCATAAAAAGGGAACTACATTGCATTGTACATACATAATATACATAGACTATACCAACATGGAAATATGACTGACTGTGATTTTTTTAATGGAAAGAAAGAGAAGCTCCAGGTAAAGAGGAAACTAAGACATGAATGTAGGAGGCATTCTTGAAACGGGAGAGTAGGGTAGAAGGACAACCCTGTAGGCTTTCCGCTTTCGGGCATTGCGCTGTGTTCCCCATCATCCAAAAACAGCGGAGAAACTTCTTACTCTGTCCAATTTCTGGACGCAACTGGTCGCAAAGGCAAGCCACCGAGATGGAGTTGGAAAGAAGGAAGGCGGAAGAAAAAGGGTCCCGACCGAACCAAAGAAAATTGGGTCCGTGTGTCTTTTTCCGGAGAGCTTCACTTCGATTATCTCGCCTGCTCATCATCTCCGCTCCTCTCCGGAGACTAAACCTGTACCCGGAGAGTTGAACTTTTTTTTTTCTCCTTTTCACACTCTTGATCAGATTCACTATGTCAGGGAATGGGCTCATGATTGATTTTATTGCTGGCTAGCGAGGATTCGCCGGACTACGACTGTCGATCCCAGAGTGACCACGTACGCACACCACTCCTGCGCACATCCCACATCACCCTCGATCACGCCCTCGCCAATCCTCCCACGGTCTATACCAGGCCATCATGGCCGTCGCACGCCCAATGCGACGTACAAGTCCTATCACCTTCCTCCTCGCAGCTTTGCTAGCCTTCGGATTCCTCTTCTTCCTCCTCACCCCTTCCTCCTCCTCCTCCGCCGCCATCACCACCACCACCGGCGACACGTCTCAGCACCGACGACAAGACGCTGCAGACCACCCTCTCTCCCCTCCGACAAAGCCCTTCCTCAAGTCCCAACCCATCCGCAATGACGGCCACGAAGCCCCTCCACCAGTCGTCCACTACGACCTCAACCAACTAACAACAACCAGCGACTCCGCTCAAAAGGGCGAACGAGTGCTAATTCTCACCCCCCTAGCCCGCTTCTATCAAGGCTTCTGGGACAACCTCGTGCAGCTAAACTACCCCCACGAGCTGATCTCCCTCGGCTTCATCATCCCCAACAACAAAGAAGGCAGCACAGCCATCACGGCCCTCGAAGCCGCCATCACAAAGACCCAGTCGGGCCCCATCCCCTCCCGTTTCGCCAGCATCAGCATCCTCCGCCAGGACTTCGAGCCCCCGCTCCAATCCCAGGACGAAAAAGAACGCCACAAACTCGCCAACCAGAAGGCCCGCCGCGAGTCCATGTCCCGAGCCCGCAACTCCCTCCTCTTCACCACCCTCGGCCCCGCAACCTCCTGGGTCCTCTGGCTCGACGCCGACATCGTCGAGACTCCCCCCTCCCTAATCCAAGACCTAACCAGCCACAGTTACCCCGTTATCGTCCCCAACTGCTACCAGCGCTACTACAACACCGAGCATAAAAAAAGGGAGGTCCGGCCCTACGACTTTAACTCGTGGATCGATAGCTCGAACGCCCAGGCCCTGGCCGAGAGTATGGGGCCCGATGAGATTCTCCTCGAGGGATACGCCGAGATGCCCACGTACCGGACGCTTATGGCCTATCTGGCCGATACGGAGAGTCCCAACCCCCGCCGGGTCATTGAGCTGGATGGCGTGGGCGGCACGGCGTTGATGGTCAAGGCGGATGTGCATCGTGATGGGGCGATGTTTCCGGCGTTTCCGTTTTATCATCTGGTTGAGACGGAGGGGTTTGCGAAGATGGCTAAGAGATTGGGGTATGGAGTTTTTGGGTTGCCGGATTATTTTGTGAGTTTATCCTTTTCCTTTTCCCTTCCCCTTTTCTTTGGTTTACTTGTGGTTGGTGGGGTTTTGGTTTGCTGATTGCTTGCGTGGGTAGGTGTATCACTACAATGAATGAGTAAGGGGAGTTTCTAGATGGTCGTATGTTGATTGATTGCATCCGCGCGCTGTGCGCAGGGGTTTGAAAACATTTACTGGCTTTGGCTACTTGGCATTCGTTTGCTGTTTTTATTCTTGCTTATTTGATGGCTGGGTGGGTGTTGGCTGTTCTTGTATTAGGTGGTCTGCGTAGATGTATGGAATTAAGGACCGTTTGGACCCCGTGTCTTCGTCTATGTATTGCACGAGGCGCAATTGATATTATTTTAGATTCCATTACATACATACATACATACATACGTGCGATATAGCTTTCATACTGGGATGCAGATGGATAAATATCTTTTAATAGATTGGGTGCAGTCCGGGAGGGGAAGATGTAGGTTAGGTTCCGATTTTCGAGGAAGAAGAGTGTTGACTGTGAATCCAACGATGGGGATCACGATTTTGCCTAGTCCCAGGAGATACTAAGTCCCGTGTTAGCAATCTGCACCAAATACGTAAATGAAAGGAAGGCAGGATGAAAAAGTAGGAACGTACGCAAGCATTATCCCCGCCCCAAGCGCAACAGCCAAAAACTGCACAATAGTCTTCTTAATCTCGACCTTCTTGTCCTTGCCCGTCTCCAACAACTCTGGGATAACCGACACTGTCCCCACGTAAAGGAACGTTCCGGCCGTAAACGGCAGAAGCATGTCCCCCCACATCAGACTGGTACCCCAGAGACCTTGCGCCGCGGTGCCCTCAACAGCTGCAGAGCCATGACCACCGCCAAGCTCCTGCACGGCGATTCCGATAAACGTGCCCAGGAACGCGCCGATGGCGGTGACGAACTGTGCGCCCATGGCCTTCTTCTTGGAGAAGCCGGACTGGATGAGTAGGGCGAAGTCGCCTACTTCGTGGGGAATTTCGTGGAAGAAGACGGCGACGGTCGTTGTTGCGCCGATTGTGGGGGATGCGTAGAAGGACGAGGACATGGCCAGGCCGTCGGTGATGTTGTGGGTGAAGTCGGCGATGAGGTTGAGGTAGCCGCCTAGTTTGACGCTGGGGTTGATCTCCTTTTCGGGCTCTGCGGCGGGCTTGTGGGTAGTAGTTGGTTTGCGCTGCTTGAGCTCGCCGGATGGGGCGTCCTTGGAGCTGCCGGTTGTTACGGCTATGGATTCGTTGGGGTGGCTGTGGCTGTGGCCGCGGGAGTGGGAGTGGTCGTGGCCTTCGCCGCCGGTTGCGATGCGGAGGGTCTTGTCCATGGCTACGAAGGTGAAGAAGCCGACCATGATACCTAGGCCGAGAAGGAGGTTCCTGTTGGGTTCGACCATGACGAAGCGGACGTGGTCGGGGGAGTCTTCACCAAGGAAGATCTCAGGGAGCAGGTGGAATAACGTGTCACCCAGTAGGCCGCCCACGGCGAAAGCGACCATGACAGACAGGGATGAGGGGTCGATGTTGGGTGGGCATAGTGCTAGAAGGAAGTCTGCGATGCTGGTCAGTATGATATGTACTATGCTGATATACACAGCAGGACGCACTGGGAGGTCCGGAAATATATATGGTGGCCAGAATTGCGTTCACAGCTGGGCTACCAGGGAAAAGGACGGAGAAGATCCTCGCTGTCAGGCTGGTAGTCTGGGGACTAGTGGCGCGCTTGTGCTCGTTGAGCGATTCCACGAGCGGACAGTTCTATATACTTGTTAGTAACTTGTAGAATATTTCAGATATGCGCCGATTGTCGTGGTGCAAACAGGGGAGGGAAACCCCAGAGAGCTAAACGATTGTTTCATGTTTACCTGCAATTCATCCTCTATCTGCCCTACTGACAGCTCTCCGACGGGGATCGCTTCTTTGGCAACAGCTAGTACAGTGAAAAGAAATAATCCGGCAGCCAGCGCAAGGCCGATCCTACGCGCTGGGGAGAAAAGCCGAGCCATTGCAGCGAAGACAGCGATACACGACCAGGAGAACAGATGTCAAGTAAGCCGATCGTCGGACCCTTAAAAGATGGGATTTGATTGATGTCCACTTTATCGGCGAACCAAACAAACACGCCAAGACCGTCAATGCAAACATCCAACCTTTTCGGAGAAATCGATAAGATTAATTTTCACATTTCTTCACCTTGATAGATCAACTTACTTGAAGCACACAAATCGCTCAAGATGGGAAACCCAAGACAGAAGAAGAAGCTTAGATCTTCCATGCCTAAACAGAGGCCCAAGGGGTCTCGTGTTTTGAAGAATGGCAAGAAGAAGATTAATATGCTGGGAAATGCTATCATCGCCGAGAATTGGTAAATTTCTGAAGCCCGGGAAGGTCGCTGCGAGGCGCGTAATGCTAACGTAGGCGTTCGCAGGGACCGGAATCTAACCCTCACCCAAAATTATCGTCGCCTGGGTCTTGTCCATCGACTGAATGCTCCTGCCGGTGGTTCAGAGAAGCGTGCGTCCAAAGATGGCATTGAGGCAGTTCCCGAGGATTCTCTTCACATCAAGAGCAGCGCTGAAGCCGCTACTAAGAACATTGGGCTAGGAGAAACCAAGGTCGAGCGCGATCCCGAGACTGGAAAGATTGTTCGCGTCATTCACCCCGAAGAGCACGAGATGATTGAAGTAGCTGGACGAAAGGTCCGCAAGTCAAACCCGCTTAACGATCCTTTGAACGATTCATCCGATGACGATATGGAGGTCTCCAATTCGCAAAAGAAGAGGTCCACAAATATGGTTGTTCAGCAACTCGAACGCCAAGCGGATAAAGAGGGAAATGCCGTCAAGGCCAAGAAACCGCGTCACCTGAGTCAGAGAGAAGTGGAGTGGGTTACAAGGCTGATTGAACGTTACGGAGACAACATCTCCGCAATGGTTCGCGACAAGAAACTGAACCCGATGCAGCAGACCGAAGGTGACTTGAGGCGGAGGATTCGCAAGTTCAAGGAAAGCCAGTCATGAGGAGATCTGTTTGTTGCATTTTGTCACGGCGAGTTTGGCGTTTTATGGTTAATTTTGGATAAAAAGTATGTTTCTGTCTGGGTTCTGTTCGATCATATCTGGGGTGGTCTGCTAGCCCTGTCGTCCGAAGTCGTGTCATACCATAGAACCACTATACATTGATGTCTGCCATCGATATCCAATGATAATCTGAACATATTGATAAGAAATGCATATACACAGATTTTTGTGTTTCACAGTCGTCAGTATGAGGCCGTAGGGTTGGTAAGCAACTAATTCACACATCTACTGAGACGAAGGTATACGAGTTCTACAGCCTGTGTTTGTAGCATTATTAAAACGCATGCCCTCAATGCAGCATATCCCAAAGCTCTCTACTCCCCGTCACAAAAAGACCTGACACACCAACAGGCACTCACATAACCCTAAACTTCTCCATCTACTATATCACCCTACTTCTCACCTCATCCTCTACCTTGACGTGCTCACCACATACCACTCAACCCTCACCACAATCAGTCCTCCAAAATGCCCACCATCCCCGTCTTCCTCTGGATCCTAACCACCCTCCTCCAAATAGGATGGGCCCGGTAAGCCTCACATCCTGCCCAAACCCCAAACACCAATCTAACAACACCAGCTTCCCAAACACGCTTTGCTCCACCATAGGCGGCCATTACTGCACCCACGGCTCCCTCCAAAGTCCAACAATAGTATCCTGCCCCTCACCCACCAGAGTCGAGCTCCGCTCCTGCAATATCGAGCACGCATCCTCCGACCCACTGCTCGCTAACGACCATACTAACCCCTCCAAATTATCCCATATCCTTCCCCAAGGCTACGAAACATGGGCTCTATGTAAAACACCCTCCATCACCTCCCCTCATTCTCCCAGCACTCTAAACAAGATATATAAACAGGTTACGAACCCCCATAGCCGGCGACGCTATCTGTGCCTTCAACGGAACGGGATATATCTGGCGAAGAGTTACCGTCCCGGTTCCTGAGACGGTTATTTGTAACAACATATCAGAAAGCCTTGGTTTGGTTGATGAAGTCCTTGACGAAGGCATGGGTTTGGGATCTGGTTCCATTCATGAGATCACTTCCAGTCCTAGACCTAGTCGTAGTACGAGTTTGAGCCTGAGCCATTCGGTTGCGCATTCGAGCTCGCTGCGGAGATCGGGTACAATGTCTCCCATGCCGACTGTTGCGCCTGTCATTGAGATTGGTGAGACGTGCGGCCGGTTGGACGAAGGCTTTGTCATGGCGGTGGGATTTTGCGGACGTTTCATAGTACTATAGTTCCGGGTTTGATGTCTTTGAGTAAGGGGTCTGATCCTGGGTTGGTGTCTACTATTACAGCGACGCGAGATGCCATGCTTTTGCATGGGACTTCGACTGGAACTTCTGCTATTACGCGGTTGGTTGGTGGGGCGGGAACTATGGGGGGTCCAGAGGTGTTTTGATTGTTGTTGGTGGGACATTTTGGGTTCTTATGTGGGCTTCGTAGGTATATTGGATGGATGGTTGGATGATGGGTTGACTGGCTTATTGGCTACAGTATTGCGGGATGGAGTATGGGAGAAAAGACTTGGTTTATTACAATCTATGCGATACCGATATCTGATTGTAGACTTACATGTCCTTTACAAACCCTTGTTTTGACACACGTCCCTGATCCAACACGATATAGTAATCTGCGTCCTTGATGGCTTCTAATCTGTGTGCAATTGTGATGACTGTAGACTGCTGCATTTCCTCTCTGAGAACTTGCTGGATCTCGAGCGAGCTTTCATGGTCGATGGACGCTGTTGCTTCGTCGAGTATGACAATTGAGCTTCGACGCAAGACTGCCCGTGTGAGGCCGATGAGTTGCCGCTCGCCCTGGCTGAGGTTTCGACCGCCGGCTTCAACATGTGTCTCTAAATTCCAGCCGTGTCTGCCGCATATGCGTTTCAGGACGTCAGCACACTCCTCGTCCGTATACTCACCTGTGGGATCGAGGTTGAGACGGACGCTTCCTGGGAAGAGTACAGGGTCTTGCGCAACAAATGTCACTCTTGTCCGGAGCGCTTGTGTGCTAACCTGTGCGATGTTGAGGCCGTCAACTAGGATACGGCCGGAGTCTGGGCGGATCACGCTGAGAAGCGAGACTGCAAGCGTTGACTTTCCACTTCCAGTTCTGCCGATGACGGCAGTTGTGGATCCACCGGGGATGCGGAGGGAGATATTGTTGAGGGATGGATCCAAGTGAGGAGCATAACGTATCGTTACATCTTCGAAGACAATATCGGAGCGAAACGTCGGCCACGATACTGGGGGAACTATGTCTCCAGGTGCTTCTTGTTCAATGTGTAGTAGCTCGTCGACTCTCTCAACTGAGACAAAATCCATTTGTAGTTGGCCATATTGCTTGCACAATGCGTGGGTTGAGTCTACAAAGTTGTTAGCCGCTATTAGGACAAATGCGGCTAGGCCAGGTGTGACGTTGGTGTATAGTGCGAGGGCCGTGAGGCAGAACGTTGAAAGTGCAGATAGGCCTTCGAAGCGATACATAAGCCAGCTCTGCAGTGACCAGTAAAAGTGGTCCATGCCCTGAAATTTATCCACAACTGCGATCACTCGATCCTGGAAGCGGGATTCCGCGTGGAACGCGCGAACAGTTGTTAGGCCATGCAGGAGCTCGCCGAAGTTAGATATCAATGGGCTAAGAGACACCATTTCCAATCGCCGCAAGCTTTGTGACGTGGGAAGGAACCGCAAGAAAGTAAAGATAAAGGCTGCGGTAAGACCAAACGAAAAAGCTAGAAAGGTTGGTGTAACTGAGGCGATGACAAGAAGAGACGAAACCCATACAATGGCTTGAAATACAATTCGCTGGAACTGTTCGCTAATGTTACCGTCGACAACCCCAATATCAGATGTTAACCGATTCATCAAGCGCCCAATAGGGGTGACGTCGAAGAAACGGAATGTGGCATGGCTGACTCGCACCATGACTTCCTGGAAGAGTGTTTTGCCTGCACTGTAAACTATGACAATCATCATCAGTTGTGAAATTAGGACCGTAAGAGACTGAAATACTGTAATGGCAAAAAAAGCCCAAAGCCATGGCCGGACATCTTCAACTGGCGCGGGGAACTTGTTGAAAGGGTTGTCTGGTTTCCAATTGAGCACCTGTGGCAGGACTAGTTGTTCCCCCAGCCCTCCTGACAAGGTCCTCTTATAGGATGGTGAGAAACCAAGTAATACAAAAGTTTGGTCGCGATTATAGGCCTCGCCCCATTCTTTGAGAAACCAAGATTGTCCGACGGCTGCGAAGCGATACATGGATATGACAATAACAAGCATCACCCAGGACCTGTACTTTCCAGCTCTGATATAGTTCCAGTAGACTCTAGCCTTCACTCCCCATTCAGCCCGGTGCTCCTCTTCGATAAACTTGTCCGGTACCGCAACTTTGTCATCCTGGCCGTCTGCCTCGTCTTGAGTTTCATCTGATGATTCAGATAGGGAGGATTCGTTGGCATCATCAATGTCTAGGGAGGACAGAATGGTTTGCTTATCCTCTATGGTAGCCCTGCCATTTTGGATGTGAACGAATTGATCTGCGATATGGCGAACCAAGGTGGTGCGATGAGTAACAAGAACAACTACGCGGTTTTGCATCAACGGGCCTGAGAAGCATTTGCGGACTATAGTTTCCGCCGTATTGTGATCCAGGGCAGAGAGAGGATCGTCAAGGAATAGGATTCTCGAGGTGCTGTATACTGCCCTTGCAAGGGCCACTCGTGCCTTCTGGCCACCTGACAACCCAATACCATTCTCACCCACAAACGACAGGTCGCCATGTTTGAAGTTGGTAAGATCTGGGAGCAGGGCGCAGGCATCCAAAACTTGCTTATAGCGACGCTCATCGTAAGTGGAGGAAAAAAGAATATTGTCTCGAATGCTCATGCTCTGTAACCAAGGCGTCTGAGAACAATATCCAACCATCTCATTCGGGATGTCAGAGCTACCACTCAATCTATCCAACTCCCCAAGTAAAGCCTGAAGCAGTGCCGTTTTCCCAGCACCTACTTTACCGCAGACGACTGTCAGGCCTTCGGAAACCCTCACATTGATATCAGATAGCACAGGCGATGTTCTACCAGGCCACGCAAAATAACACGAATCTAACACAAGCGGACTGTCAGAATGCGCTGTAACAGCTTGTTTCTCCTTGTCTGGTTCAGCCATAAAATCCACTATACGTTCCATGGCAATAGATGCATTGATCAGCACTGTTATGAGACTAGGGATCTCTCTCAGCCGAGTCTCCAGCATAGTAAACAGCTGCAGGGCCGGAAATATAATGTCGATGCGCAACGGATGGCCTGCCAGTAGTGTATAGGCATACAAGGCCACGACAGGGAATAGACCACTGGCGAACGTGTTCACAAAGCGAATTAACACATTGAACAAACTAGTGATAATACGAATGTTCAACTCCGACTGCCTAGCATCCATAACCTGGCTAAGCCAGTGGTTTTGCCATCCATACCAACGAAGATGGCGAAGGGCCTCAACGAATTGGGACGATATCTGAAGTCTAGTATCTGTCGCCAGTCTGCGCACTCTTTCCCACCGAAGGAGCATACGTGTTATGAACGCATTCAGGACCTGAGCTATCAAGATAGCCGTGATTCCCAGAAAGCACGAGGGCCCAAGCAACTTCCAGACGAGCACTGTGGCGATGATTAGGCCTACAGGTTTATCCACTAGGGTGTCAACTTCCCAAAACCGCTGGGCGACTTCATAGACATCCCCACGCAGCAAATTGAATATTTTCCCCATGGAAGCAGCTGTCTTTGCTGTCCTTTTTTCAGTAGTCTGTCGCAGTGGAAATAGTCCGCAGAGTCTTCTCTGCTTACTACTCGACACCACTTCACTGTCGCTAGTCCCATCTTGCTCGGTGTCATTTGCGCTTCCCTTTTCTTTAATTTGCTGGTCGAACATGTTCTTTCTTGACAATGCTTTCTCATACACCATCATAATCATCTCACCTCTGCTTCGTTCGTAGCAGCGTCTACCATACCAGAGATTCAACACCTGGGACTGCGCCGCGACCAAACGAAGCACTAGTGATAATAAGGCGTAGGTTAGGGCGACACGCTTCGGTGCGTTCGGATCTCTCATCGCTTGAAGAAGCTGCTGTAAGAGAACAGGGGTTGAAAAGTCTTTGTAAACAATTAGCGACAGTGAAAGATAAGAAGAAAGGAAGTCGAACCGCAAAGCATCTGCACCGTAGAGATTCCGGTAATAATAAGGACATCGATGCCATTTGCTTGGAGCAACTTGGAGATAACTGATCCACGGAGTTGGCGGAACTTCTCATGCAATCTGCGATGTTGAAACTCGAAACCTAAGAACCAAATATCATCATCATCTAATTGTCGATTTTTACCGGCCGTCATCATCGGAGCCATCCAAGACACAGTAAGAAATTGCCAGAGACGTAAATTGTCTTCCGGACTGCGAAATTTGCTCGATGACGGTTGTCCCACGACTCCGATGTCAACGCGGGGAAGCGAAGGCTCCCGGAATGGCATTGACAGAATAGTGGCACACCCTACAGCTGCAGCACCAGCTACCATGTAATGAGCATAAACCCTCGACACCGCATAAGCGTCACGGTTTAATATGAAGGCCATTTCCACTGCGAATGCCGCAGTGAAGAAAGCCAGAATGGACACTGGACAGGATCTTGGGCGCTCTGTAGAGATCAGAACGGCCACGACCGCCTATTATCGCTTAGTCTACGCTGCGCGAAGGGACGGTCATGACTTACCCATGATATGAGAGACACTGCATTACTGAGCATATATCCATGGGGCACTACTTTTGCGAGTTCACCTGCTAACCCAATTGCGGAGATAGCAAGCAGGATTACCACCCACCCGGTCCTTTGCCTTGGTCTGTCTGATGGCAGTTCCGGACATGGCGGCTCTTCTGCAATAAAAGCCCTCATCCATTTTGGGCTCTGAACAAAAGAAACACGGCTAAGTGCATGACTTAATCCAATGATTAAGGCTATTACGCCTAGGACGATAGAGGAGTACCCCATGGCGCATGGCGACAGCCGAGCATTGGCCGAGTCCTATGAAAGGGTTAGCAAAGGCGAGTGTTTGACCACTGAGTGCGCAAATACCCATATTGAATGGCAAGACGAAAGCGCGTCATCTTCTTGATTCAAACGCATTGGGATTGCTTAAGTTGAGCATTCAGATGGTAGTCCATCGGAGGGGATGGACAGCAATGAGTGTAAAGCGGTGACCAAGCGTCCCCTCTCTTGTCTCCGACGAAAGTGGTAATTTGACTGCCTGGGCGACCGGGTTAGTACTTAATGCCTGAGGCATCATTTACATTAACTAAAGTGGGTTAAATTAAGGTTCCCCGCCTCGTGCCCCGACTGGAGAATATTTTGATTCTTGTTTCTACAGGCAATGAATAGGCAAGCAATTCTGATACCCTCATAATAGTGAATTGTTCTTCATCATTCTGTAGATATTATCTCGCTATTGTTAGGCAGCCAGCGACGCACTAAGATACCAGCCACTTAGGCCTCCCTGAAGACTCGATGGAACTTGTCGTGCTTCCCATATCCATTCAGTCAAAAGATTATTTACTAAAATCGTTGTTATAGGTCGTGACGAATGTCTTCTGAGCGAGCTGGGTTCTCTGAACAGCTAATACTCTCAGCAGAGCTCAGATCAAGATTAGCATTGCCAGGGGAATCGATAGTGCGTAATTCGGTCAGACAATTCGTGTCCCTACATCATTTATCAGCCCAAAAAA